GTTAATTTGTATGTTTAGTGTTGACGATAACAAACGAAAATAAATACAGTAATAAGTAAATAATAATAATTATTAATTTAAATTTACCGCCAAAATATCTAGTGATATTTTCTGGTGATTTTTCCTAGTGTAAATCTGACTTTCGCGTTTACTCCTCCTGGTTTAAAAACAGAGTATAATACGGTTGAGGGGATAATATGGATTTCTCACTATAACCATCTAATTACTCTCGCCTCCTGTAACTTTGCAGGGGGTAATTATCTATGTATTTCAAATGTTATAAAATTGGACAATATAGGGGTTGTTTTCAACTTTCAACCCTTATAATTCGCTTTTCCGTAACGTCATATAAAAGAATATGACATTTGCAAATTTCATTAAAATCGGTACGAAACGGGTTTTAGATGGAAATGAAGAACTTTATTATGTTGATTTTATTCAGTATTACACTTCGCAGCAATCACCATACTCAATAATATAATAATACAAGCTTAACTTCACTTATTCAATCAAATGTTGGTGTACAGTTTTCTATAATACCTGTCAAGGTCAAATTTTTAGGGTTTTTGTTGGTATTAATTTGTCTTTTTTTAATTAACATTAATTAAATAGTTGAGGTTAAGAATTTTTTATTTTATTTTATTTTAATTATTGATGCATAAATTAATAAAACCAAAACTTGAATTATGTCTGCTTGAATAATGATATTTAAAAAATTAAACGTCAATGTGACAAGTTTATTTCAAAATATGTCACCAACTGTTACCAACTTCATATCAACTTGAAATTTATTTCGGATAAAAACTTAATATTTAGTTAAATAATAGAAATAATCTTCAATAAATAAATTGTATTTCTTATCAATTTGATTTGTATTTCGATTGCATCGAACCAAATTTTAAGTTTCTTAATCCAAAAAGATGATAAGCGAATATTTCATAAATAACTTAACGAAATATCACTTTGTGTGTCACTTACATACACTCATTTTTTAATTAAAAGAATTTAATATTGTCATTAATAAGAAAGAATTAATTGTGATAAGTCTTTTGGCCTTGTTCCTTACCAAAAACGAAACTATTTATTGGCGAGAAAAAAAAATTTCGGTGTGGGCGCAGACCTTACAACTACTTGTTCATGTCTCCAAGTTATTCCTTACTTCGTTCAGTTTGCCGCTGAACGCCGCGGGTTGAACCTACGAGTTTATAGCACCTCGTAATCTACTAAAATTGAAGGTCTTCCTTCAATTACAATCATTTCTTTGACTTGAAATATTATTGAGTGTAAACAAAAAGATAGCAATTAAATAATTAAGGTTTATCGTCGTTATTGAGTCATGGTAAGTTAATTAAATAATAATTACCGTTTTAGTCAAATTAATTTTAACCACAACAACCTTAATTATACCAGTTTAGTTTCACTTTATTTTTTTAATTAACATTTTTGTTAAGAAAAAAAAATTTTCGGTTTAATATTAACTTGAGTTATTTGGAATTATTATAATTCCACCCTTGATTTATGCAGAAAACGTGTCTCGGTGGTTAGAAAACCTCGACTTGTTGTCGCCCCGCGAAACGCTATGAATATTTATAACGTTTCAGTTATTTTCGAACTGTTTTGAAATTATAAAACTGTCGCTTTAAATTTTTTTTATTTCAAAGTTAGATTAACATTTTTAATCATAAAATCTAAATTTTAATATTTGAATCACCCTGTATCGCGAAATTAAACTGCAGTGGTAAAGTTTGGTCAATAATTATTGCATCATGAGCTTGTTAATTATAAAAAGATTATGAAATGAGTTTGATGCTATAAAAAAGTTTGTTGTTGGGAGCACTTTAGAGGAAGGTATAGATTTTATTGGTTCTTCTTTTTGTAAAAGACTTAGATTAACCGGAGTCACCGATCATCGGTGTTGACTGACCTATATTCATTTTGCGGCTCGTGACCCCGCCTTTTGTAAATGGAATCGCTCGTGGTGGGCGAGGAAGGAAAACTTAACCTTGCCAACTACTTTACAAAATGAAAGAGTAATAATAACTGGTTAAAGTGGTCCTTTTTTTGTAAAGAATGCGAATTTTTAAGGGTATTATTAAACTTATCACAAAAATAATCGAAATTTTGATATATAAATAAATTCAACAATCCAAAATGTTGCACTCTGGTGTTCGCACAGCGCATATAGCTTTTACAACTTTCAGCTAATTGAGAGATGTTCCCCAGAGTAAAACCACGTCCGGAGATGTTTCAGCAACGTAGCCTAAGGGCTACGTTGTCCCCGAAAACCTCCTTAACTTTCAGATCTTATTATTCAATCAGTTTTACCTTTATGCAAAGTAATTGCGAAATAAATATGGAATTTTGCATCAAAACAGAAATTAGATTAAACCCAGTTTTTGAAACATTAAGGTTTACATTGACGTGTCAATGTAATATTTAACGTGATGTTAGCAACAATCTTTTTACTCTAACTTCATAGTTTATCTTCCCAAAAGTGACATTTAAACTGTCAAACATATTCATCGTAAACAATTTGAATTGGGTTATTGAAAATTTCTTTGATGGTTATTGAACCGGTTTTTTCTTGAATTTATAATAACAATTTGTCTTAAATTATCTCTATACGAAAATCTTGTTAAAGATTGATTAAAATTATCATATTTTTTAATGGTTTTTTTATGTTGGTGTTTATGAAAAATTAATTGACGTTTTGAATTTGTAGGTTATAAAGATCACTAAAAATACGTATTTATAAACGAAAAATCATAAAAATTACCTATGATTTTCATTCTTATTAAGTGGTTTCGTTCTTTGTTGTTTTTATTTCTATTAGATTCACTTCATCATTGCGATTTATCGTTAATTATTAAGAAAAATTAAATTGAACTCACCCAGTTTTTGAAGTATTGAGGTTAGGTTTACATATCAATGTAATATTTAACGTGATAGTAACAACAATCCTTTTACAATAACTTCAGTTTATTTTTCCAAAAGTGACATTTAAACTGTCAAAGACATATTCATTGCAAACAATTTGGGTTAGGTTGTTGAAAATTTCTTTGATGGTTATTGAAACGGGTTTCTCTTGAATTTATGGTAACAATTTGTCTTAAATTATCTCTAAAAAAAATCTTGTTAAAGATTGAGTAAAATTATCATATTTTATTAATAATTTTTTTTGTTGGCAATTATGAAAAATTAATTAACATTTTAAATTTGTAGGTTATAAGATCACTAAAAATACGGTTTTTATTAAAGAAAAATTACCATTGATTTTCATTCTTTATAACTAATTTTGATCTTCCTTATTTTTCATTTTTATTAGATTCACTTCATAATTATGATTTATCGTTAATTATTAAGAGAAATTGGGTTGAACGTAGTTTTTGAAGTATTGAGGTTAGGTTTGCGAGTCAATATAATATTTAACGTGATATTAGCAACAGTCTTTTTATTTCGACTTCATAATAAAATTATCCTTTCTACGCGTGACATTTCAACTGTCAAACATTTTTTTGATTTTTTGGTATCATTTTGTCCAAAATTTTCTCTAAAAGAATAAAATCTCGTTAAAAATTAACTAAAGTTATATTTTATTAATAATTGTTATTGCTTTTCGATTTTGTTATATTCACTTCTTAGAGGGCATATTCATCAAACAACTTCGGGTTATTGAAAATTTCTTTGAGACAGTTTTTTCTTGAATTTATAGTAATAATTTATCTTAAATTATCTCTATAAACAAGTCTTGTTAAAAATTGAATAAAATTATCATATTTTATTATAAATTTGCAAATTTTTATGTTGGCATTTAATTGACGTTTAAATTTATAGGTTATACCAAAAATTCGTTTTTATAAAAGAAATTACCTTTGATTTTCCTTCTTTATAACTCATTTTGATCTTCCTTGTTTTTCATTTTTATTAGATTCACTTCATATTCACGATTTACCGTTAATTATTAAGCAAAATTAGGTTCAACCCAGTTTTTGATGTATTGAGGTTATGCTCAAATATCAATATAATATTTAACGTGATATTAGCAACAATCTCTTTACCCTAACTTTATAGTTATCTTTCCCAAAAGTGACATTTAAATCGCTTTAAACAACAGAGATTATTTAATTCGAATACACAATATTGGAGAGCAGTTTTGCAGTAACCATAAGTTATTTTAAATAATTTTGCCATATTTGTATCATCGGATTTTCCATAAGTAGTTCTCTCTTTATTGTAGGTTTACCAACAAAGGAGAAACTTCACCCCCAAAATTATTTATGATTCTGTACTTAAACTGTGCTAATATTATACTTTTGTCCAAAAATTATTGCGATTTATCATTGAGGTTAGATTTGGGTGTCAATGTAATATTTAACTTGATATTTTAGCAACAAATTTTGAACCCTCTCTTCACAGCATTTCATGTTGATGTGTCAGTTTTTCAAGGTGTGACATTTAAAATGTCAAAATCCCAATTTTATTTCACCAAAAAAACTATATTTTCTATAGAAAACCCCCAGAATAAAGCGTTAATTTGTTGTATTTTAATTTGGTGCGGCAAAATAATTAACAAAATTAATTATAGCTCCAAAACGATTCCTTAAGAAGATTCTACTTAAAAATTATTCACTTTTAATGTTCAAAACGTGCACAATTTGTTAATTAAAATTAATTAAACGTTATTTTCTTTTCCTATATTTATTGTCAATATCTTTTATTTCAAAACGTGATTAATTAGAAGAAATTTTAAACTTCTCTTCAGTTGGGCGGTGGCCTGGAAACTTGATCTGTTTGTCACTCTATATATAAAGCCCCATTTATAGACAAGAAGCACTTTCCCGTAGCACAAAAGCTTTTCCGCATCGACAAAAAACTCCCCACATTGCAAGTCAATTGAATTACTTCATACAAGGGTTTGAAACCGATATATGTGGGTTCCTATTATTTATTATTATAATTAAATTGACTATTTTTTGAGAAGTACCATTTTTATTTTTCAGGACCAGGCATTAGATGCAAAACAACAAGCTGCATCACCAGAAGATACCGATGATTTGTCGCCGATGCCACCAGTTCAAGCCCAACAACAGGTAAAACGAAGAGGCGGAATATCCGCGGAACCAGTAACCGAAGAAGATGCGACAAGTTACGTAAAGAAAGTCGTTCCAAAAGATTACAAAACAATGGCGGCGCTTTCAAAGGCGATCGCAAAAAACGTTTTATTTTCGCACTTGGATGAGAACGAACGTTCCGATATTTTCGATGCAATGTTTCCAGTTAATTGTCTAACGGGCGAGGCAATCATCAGTCAAGGTGCCGAAGGCGATAATTTTTATGTTATCGATCAAGGAGAAGTCGAGGTAGGTAATTAAAGATATAAAAATAAAGAATATAAATGTAATTTAAAATAATTATAAAATGATACAACAACATGAACCATTATTTTCATCATCATTGTTTATATCATGGGATCCGCTATTACTAAAGCGATTGTAATTAATTTCAGTTGAATAATTGGAACGGAATGTATTTATAACATCTTCACTTCTAGGCGTTTGAAAAGATCTTTGTTGACTTCTTAAACGATTTTCTTCAAATGTATTATACGCTTGTCTTTGGAGATCTTGATTCGAATCAAATTTGGGTTGTTGAACATTTTCTTGATGGTTATTAATATGGTTTTCTCTTGAATTTTTGATAACAATTTGTTTCAAATTATCTCTATAAAAGAAAATCTGGTTAAAAATTGATTTAAATTATATTTTATTGGCATTTTTGAAAATTCAATTTGGCTTTTTTAAATTTGTAGGTTATAAAGTCATAAAAATTACCTTTTATCTTCATTCTGATTAAGTGATTTTGATCTTTGTTGTTTTTCAATTTTATTAGATTCCCTTCTTTGGACAAATTCATCAGAAACGACTGTTGGTGGTTGAAAATTTCTTTCATGGTTATTAAGATGATTTTCTCTTGAGTTTATGGTAATAATTGATCCAAAATTATCTCTATAAAAAATTTGTTAAAAATTGATTAATATTATAACATAACATTTTATTAATAATGTTTTTATGATTATAAAAATTTTTATGTTGGCATTTTTGAAAATTTAATTTGACGTCTTAAATTTGTAGGTTATAAAATCACTAAAAATTCGAAAAACGATAAAAATTACCTTTGATTTTCATTCTTATTAAGTGATTTTGATCGTTGTTGTTTTTCATTTTTATTAAATTCACTTCATATCGTTAATTATTAAGAAATCTTAGGTTAAACCCAGTTTTTTAAGTATTGAGGTTAGGTTTAAACGTCAACGTAATATTAGCAACAATCTTTTTTCTCTAACATCATTAAAAATTTCGTTTTTGTGCAAAATGAATCCCTGATTATTTCTGCAACCTCGATTTCGATAAAAACTCTAAAATTAATGTTAAAAATGGTATAAAAATCGGAAAAAAATAGCACTGAAGTGAAGTTGGAGTTGTCCGATCAATTTGTCAAATTCACCTGTGAAATTAATAAAACCTAAAAATGGTTTAATCTAATTCGTTATCTTTTTTTGATTCTGTGTTAAGTTTTAAACGATTAAAATTATAAATATGCGTTAAAAAAAGAATTTTTTAAGTATTACAGATGATTTTTATAGTTTCAACAAAAATAAAATCCGTTTTTATTAAAATATAAAATATGATAACGCTTCATGGCCTTGGCGCACAAATAACTATTTAATAAAAGAATAATCATATAAATTACCTTTGATGTTCATTCATAACAAGTGATTTTAATCATTGTTGTTTTTCATTTTTATTAAATTCACTTTATATCCTTAATTATAAAGAAAACTTAGGTTGAACCCAGTTTTTGAAGTATTGAGGTTAGGTTTAAACGTCAACGTAATATTAGCAACAATCTTTTTTCTCTAACATCATTAAAAATTTCGTTTTTGTTCAAAATAAACCCTCATTATTTCTGCAACTTCGATTTCGATAAAAACTCTAAAATTAATGTTAAAAATGGTATAAAAATCGGAAAAAAAACACTGAAGTGAAGTTGGAGTGTCCGATCAATTTGTCAAATTCGCCTGTCAAATTAATAAAACCTAAAAATGGTTTAATCTAATTCGTTTTCTTTTTTTGATTCTGTGCTAAGTTTTAAATGATTAAAATGATAAATATGCGATAAGACAAAAATTTTTTAAGTGTTACAGCTGATTTTTATAGTTTCAACGAAAGTAAAATCCGTTTGTTATTTAATCAATTTGATATTTTGTGTGCAACGATAACGCCAGATAACGCTTCATGGCCTTGGCGCACAAATAACTATTTAATAAAAGAATAATCATATAAATTACCTTTGATGTTCATTCATAACAAGTGATTTTGATCTTTGTTTTTCAATTTTATTAGATCCCCTTCTTTGGACAAATTCATCAGAAACGACTTTGGGTGGTTGAAAATTTCTTTGATGGTTATTAAAACTGTTTTCTTTGGCACCAATTTGTACAAAATTATCTCTTTAAAAAAAAATTTGTTTAATTAATTAAAATTACATTTTATAAATAATTTTCATTTTTTTATGTTGGCATTTTTGAAAATTTAATTGACGTTTAAATTTGAGGTTATATATCACTCAAAATTTTATTTATTAATTAAATTTACCTTTGTTTTTCATCCTTATTAAATAAATTTGATTGTTTCTCAATTTTATTAGATTCACTTCTTCGGACATATTCATTCGAAACGCCTTCACTTGATTGAATACTTTTAGAACGATTTCTTCTCGATCTTTGCCCCCCAATCACTTCAAAATCATTTAATTTGTTTCCTTTTGTATTAAGTGATCTTTTGGGAATACTTTTTAAATCGGATGGTTCATTTTGAACATTTAAAACGTTTACATTAACATTAGACTTTCCTTCTATTACATTTGGAGTTGGTTTTGAATTATCGATACGAATACAATTATTTAAGAGAACATATTGTGGAATCGGGGATAGTTGATTTATATAATAATCTTCATCCAGCACACTATTTCCACTTGATATACTGATTCGATCATCGATATCTGTGGTATTATTATGGTTGAAGAGATATTGTTTCGCAAATGCATCACTTATACATTCCTTTTTAACCTACAGAAAAAACGACCATAAAATTAATTAATAAATACTATTAACACGTTCTTTCTAAAAGTTTTAAGAGGTTAGTAACAAAAAATTTGTTTTTCTTTATTACTCACCTTAGACATAATAACGAATGATTTTAAAACTTGAATCGAAATGAATAGATGTAATTACATAAAGTTATAGACAGTACAACATTCGTAATCTTCAAATATGCCGATAATATTTTTTACACAAAATGGATAACCTAACCTCACTTTACATCTTTTTCATTTTTAAGTTGGTAGAATTGTTTTTTAAATTCAAATTAATTAATTATTTTTTTAAATTTAGGTATTTGTTAATAACAAATTAGTAACAACAATTGGTGACGACGACCATAAAATTAATTAATAAACACTATTGACACGTTGTTTCTAAAAGTTTTAAGAGGTTAATAACAAAAAATTTGTTTTTCTTTAATACTTTAGACATAATGACGAATGAATTTAGGACTTGAATCGAAATGAATAGATGTAATTATATAACATTACAACATTCGTAATCCTCGAATATGCCGATAATATTTTTTACTCTAAATAACCTTGAAAATGAATTCAAGATAACCTAACCTCACTTTACATCTTTAAGTTGGTAGAATTGCTTTTTTAAAATTGACGTTAATTAATTCTTTTTTTAATTTTAGGTATTTGTTAATAACGAATTAGTAACAACAATTGGTGATGGTGGAAGTTTTGGCGAATTAGCTCTGATTTATGGTACTCCGAGAGCGGCTACTGTACGTGCAAAAACCGACGTAAAATTATGGGGAATCGACCGAGATTCTTATCGGCGCATTTTGATGGGATCAACTATCCGGAAGAGGAAAATGTACGAAGAGTTCCTTTCGAGAGTTTCAATTTTAGAAAATTTAGATAAATGGGAACGTTTAACGGTAGCGGATGCGTTAGAACCAGTTAGTTTCGAGGATAAAGAGACGATTGTCCGACAAGGTGAACCAGGAGATGATTTTTACATCATCGTCGAAGGAACCGCTTTGGTTATGCAAAATAGAGAGGGTGAGGAACCCGTTGAAGTGGGACGATTGGGACCAAGTGATTATTTTGGAGAAATCGCTTTATTACTTGACCGACCAAGAGCTGCAACGGTCGTTGCTAATGGGCCACTTAAATGTGTTAAACTAGATAGAGCTAGGTAATAATTAACAATAAAATAAATTAATTAATTAATTTTGTGTTATTGCAGGTTTGAACGTGTATTAGGATTATGTGCCGATATATTAAAGAGGAACATAACTCAGTACAATAGCTTCGTTTCGCTCTCCGTGTAAATAAATAATGGGGGAAATTAAAAATTTAAACGCATCATGTATTTATTAAATTATAAATTTAAAGGAAATATGAAAATCTGAACTCGTTCAGCCAAAATTAAAGTCTTCTTTGAAAGAGCACGTATTATTAGTTCTTTAGGAGGTGTCTTCTGTTTCATATTCTTCTTCGGTGCTGAAAATCGAATCATCGAAATCTCATATTTTTCTATATTTCTGATAAGAGGCACAAAACAAAAAATGATGATACACAAATGTTGCCAAATTAGAAAAAAAATATATATGATGATATAATTTTTTTCTAGTTAAATACACATTTTTATTAACTTTAAAACTATTCGTAAATGGAATGAGATGTTTAATTAATTATTTTTCTTAGATAATTCAAAATTTATGTGTATAAATAATTAAAATTATAACAAAAATAAATATACTTGTAAATATTATACTATAAAACTTAAACTTCCTGTTTCTTGTAAAAAAGAGAATAAAGTACTACTTCTATATATAATTAAGTCTTTAATTACTTAACTTTTTGTTTCCTTCACAATAAATTTACATTATATTTTTATAATCGTCATAGTGAGCATTTTCTCCCCAAAAACCGCATATTATTACTATGATAAGGACAATACTTCCTGACCATATAGAATTCATAGCTAATTTTCCGCTCTATACGGTGGTATATAGGATTAACAGATCGCATGGTTGCAGAAGCATTTTTCCTCCAAAAACTGCAAAAACGGCGTATCTTTAAACCGTACGTAATTGTTTACGGTGCCATAACTTTCTTATATGATACGAACAAAACTCCGTGATTACCTACAATCCATAGGAAATTTTCCGCTCTATACAATGGTACATAACTTTAATAGATGGTATTATGGCACAAGCATTTCCACCGATAAATTACAAAAACCGAGTGAAATTTTCGTAAGTAAATCTTTACAGCGCCATAATTTTTGTATATGATACAGACAAAACTTCGTTACTATACAGAATACATAGGAAATTTGTCGCTTTATACAGTGGTATACAACTTTAACAGATCGCATGGTTGCACAAGCATTTCCCCCCCAAAAACTGTAAAAACCGCGTATAATTGCCGTATATAAATATTTACGGTGCCATAACTTTTTTATATGTTACGAACAAAACTCCGTGACCATGTAGAATCAATAGGACATTTTTCGCACTATACAATGGTATATAACATTAATAGACTTCATGGTTACGCAAGCATTTCCCTCCCAAAAACAAGAATCATTTATTAGGCCTCTTTCTGGGTCTATCCCGACAGATATTGACTGGACAAAACTCTAATTTGGATAACTCAAAGTGTGTTCTTTTCAAATTGATAAAGCTTTTTCTTTAATTCGGGTCCACAACGGCTGCACATGGATTGATTTGATAATTTTAAGGTGTATTCGGTACACGGCGACGTTCTTTATTTATTTTCGCCGTTCATATCATGATATTGACGGTTTTAGATGAAGAGAAAATAAGGTTTTCATGTGGTGTATTTAATATTTCGCTCTCTCTAAAGACAACAAAAATATCGGCTTGTAAATTTGGTGGAAAAACATGGGTAAAATAAGGGATATTAATAAACATTACGTGTTCGCGAAATATTTAAAATGACAAGTGGACCACGTTATGCATCACTTGACTAAGCGACAAATGAATAATGTTGAGAAAAAAGGCATTTTCGTTGTCAGCTCTCTAAAAATATAAGACTTCTCAGAATAGACAGGCTCTAACTATTGAAAATTGTTTGGTGCCTGTCCATTTTTATCACAGAACACTGATGACAGCTATCACAAGCACAGAGGACATACAGGATGTTTCTGTAAGTGGTGGCATAAATTTAATCACTAAAACTAGAGATAAAATGATGAAGATTCATGTAAAAATTTTTGAAGAAAATAATCTAGAATTTGATTTTGTACTTTTAAACTAGGTTTTATTTTTATAGAATTTAAGTCTAACCAGTTTCGGCCCTTGGCCATCTTCAGAGACACTACAAATTGATTAACATCTCTCATCATATCTATTTTACAAACAGGTTTCTTAATATTTCTTTTTGTTTTGTAAAAAAAAATCACAGCAAAGTCGAAATGAGATTATTAGTTAGTAAATTACAAGATTAAAGTTTAAAAAGTTGTAAAATGAAATTAAGGAGAAAGTGCTACAAGTTTACAGGTTAAAATCTAAGAACGCTCTTTTTTAACAAAAGAAATATTAAGAAACTTGGGAAAAATTCAAGAATAATATGGCTTAAAAATCCACGACCTTTTTAATCAATAAAAAGAAAGTGCGGAAAAGTGACTAACACTAGATTAACTTCAGTTATAACACTTTTATTATATGATAACTAACTTCAGGTTTAAAATTTCAACCTCAATTTTGACATATTTGTAATCTTCATTAAAAATCCTTTAAAATGAGTAAAAACACGACATATTTATCTTCAATATTAATGAAGTTATGGTCAACTTCCGGTTCAGAATGTCAACGTCAATTTTGACATATTTGTAATCGCTGTGAAAAATCCTTTAAAATGAGTCCAAACATGATACTTTTAATTCCAATATTACTCGAACTATAAGCAACTTCCGGTTTGAAATGTCAACGTCATTTTAACATATTCTTAATTTATATAAAATGTCTTAAAATTTGTTACAAAAATACAATAAAAAAAATCAAAAATTAAGGTTGGTATTAATATTTAAAAATTAAATTGCTATCTTCATTGTTGCTAACTTCGGGTTTAATGTTTTTTATTCTATCTTTTTTGAGATAAGTGCGTCTTGTTTGGACTCATTTTAAAGGTTTTTTTAATAAAGAATATATACAAACATGACATATTTATCTTCAATATTAATGAAGTTATGGTCAACTTCCGGTTAAGAATGTCAACGTCAATTTTGACATATTTGTAATCATCGTGAAAAATCCTTTAAAATGAGTCCAAACGTGATACATTTAATTCCAATATTACTCGAGATATAACTTCTGGTGTGAAATGTCAATGTCAGTTTGACATATTCTTAATTTTTTATAAAATGTGTTAAAATTTGTCACAAAAACGGAAATATAATAAAAAATTAAGGTTGGTATTAATATTTAAAAATTAAATTGCTATCTTCATTGTTGCTATCTTCGGGTTTAACGTTTTTTATACTAACTTTTTTGAGTTAAGTGCGTCATCTTTGGACTCATTTTTAAGGTTTTTTAATGAAGATGACAAATATGTCAAAATTGACGTTGAAAGTTCGAACTTTTTGGTTTTTTGAGATAAATGCGTCAAATTTGGACTAACTTTAAAGGTTATTTTATGAAGATTACGAATATAATAATAAAATTAAAGTTGACATTGACAACTGAAAGTTTTTTCACTACTAAACCCGAATGTTTTAGGTCTTTCGGTATTCTGTATTTTTTCTAAGATAACCTACCAAACAGCATGAAAATCTCTAAAAACGATAAAATGTTGCTTAGTGAAGTGATGTATAACGTGGTCCAATGAAAAGTGGTTTTAATATAGTTTATTTTAATTTATGGTAATAAATATTAAAACACAAAAGAATCTGTTAAAACAAATATATTTATTAATAAGCAAAATTGACAGACGCATATATACAATTTCAACAATAACATCTTCACCCATGGAAAAAGTCATCATAATATTCTTACTTGACTCAATGAGAAAAAACCTCTTAGAGGATATCTTCTTGAAGAAACAACAATTATGATTATAATTAGAGAAGATTAGAAGACTTGCCGACCTGATTTCATAAAACGAAACCATCCAGTAGAAAAAAAATTGAACAAGATGAAACATGGAATCAACAATAAAATTACTTTGCGATGAGAGATACATGTTTAAGTTTTGAGAGAAGATTAATTAAGAGGTGTGAGATCAAATATTTGGCAAAGCCAACATGCTGCACTTGCAATCGACGGAAGTTTTCCCGTCGTCCACGTAGGTCAACCCAAAGGGATCAAGAAACGAGAGACATTCATCCTGGGATTTGAAAGCCATCTCTTCGGCCACAAAGCTCACAGTTATGTTTTGACGGTAGCTAAACAGATAAAAATCTAGTTAATTATTTTAATCGTTTAAATTAAATTAAATCACAAATTTTTATTCATTTTCACATAAAAATTTGTAATTATTAATTTTTTTTAGTTAATAAACAGTCTCTTTGTTTAATTAAGTGTAAAATCTGAAAAGCAATTTAATTAATTTATATTTTTTTTCATTAAATTATTTTTTTTTAAAGAAAGATTCTACTTACCTCTTAATCATATACTTAAGATACAGTTTTCTTTCCCTCTCGATAAACCAGTCGACTAAATAACCAGCCATGAGGGGTGCATTTAAATAAAGCTTAAAAAACCTGTGGAAGTTCCCCATTGCCCAAGCCGAACGTAGTTTTAAAGCAAACGAAATCGAATCATCTTCCTTCTCTTTTGATGAAAGAGACTTTAATATCGTCATTATATCTAAAATAATAAACGAATTAAATCCAAGTTAAGTTAGGTTATAAATAATATTACCTAATGAATTTTTAGTAAAAATATAATATAAAATCCGATAAGCTGTAAATTCATTCTTGTGCTCCCCGACTCCTACCTCAGAATATAACATTTTAAGTTGAGTTTGGCATTGATTAAATTCTTCGTGGTCTCCTTTTTCCAACGCGATTCTTGCGTGCGTTTCATATACTTCAACTGTAAATTCATTCCGAACTCCTTGAACCTATCAATTAATATTAATTGTTAATAAAAATATCAAAGTAATTTAATATTAAGATAAAATTAAAACAAAAACATCTTTTTTATTTAAATATCTTCGATTTCGACTTCTTAAATGTACTTTAGAAGAATGGCTACACTCTGATAGAGACAAGATTTATGACAGATGTCATAATGACAGATGTCATAATGACAGTTAAAAATTCTAAATGTCAAGTGACAGAACGAATGTCAAAATGAAAAAATTAAAATTACAGATAAAACATTAAATTGGTTAATTACGAAATTCTAAGTGACTGAAAGATGTTAAAAAAACAAACTGAAATATCTCTGTTGATAAATAATATGCTGAGGGTTATGTAGCTAAAAAATTCACAATGTCAAGTGTCAAGTTATTTTAATTGGCTGCATATGTTTTTTTTGCATATTTTGATAGAGGATAAATACCTCTACGCCATGAATATATCAAATCATATGGTTGTATAAGAAAAAAATCGAGAAAAAATGCGTTCTCTGAAAATATGAAATCAGCAGATTACAATCAAAGTAGGCGCCGAAATATACAGGCTGTATCTGAATGACGTGCCCAAACTTAAGGGGGTGATTTTTTAGGCAATTTTAAGGGTACTTTCTTATATCTTAAACTATCAGCAATTGCGACTCCCCTGCGAGAGAAAAACACTGACATTTAAACGTCAAAAATATTTCTGATAAAGATTGCAAATCTGATAAAATTGCCTAAAGAATCACCTCTGAAGTTTGAGCATGTCATTCAGATACACCCTATAATATAATAATAAATGTTTGACATTAANGGTTATGTAGCTAAAAAATTCACAATGTCAAGTGACAGTGCAAATGTCAAAATGACAGATCAAGTGTCAGAAGGGCAACTTAACAAGTCGAAATGACGGATAAGTTTCTACGAATGTTTTTTATCTTCTCTAATTAGTTGTAGTGATAGCGTTAATTTTAGTTTTAGTTATTATTCAGCACTAGGTTGGTATATATTTTTATTGAACTAAAACTAGAAACATTTGGGTTTAACCGCACGTCTCTGAAGACGACTAAATCCGAATGATTCTACAGGGTGTGTCAAATGTCTGGAATATAGCCAATAATTTCGCCATGTGTGATTTTAAAGAAAAATGTTCCAAATAAAAAAATTCTTTATTAATAATTGTGGCGCAGTTTTTGGCGATATCTGCTTGTTTACATTGTTTTTGTTTCGTTGCTATGGCAACCAACATTCTTATTTTAATTGGCTGCATATGTTTTTTTTGCATATTTTGATAGAGGATAAATACCTCTACGCGATGAATATATCAAATCATATGGTTGTATAAGAAAAAAATCGAGAAAAAATGCGTTTTCTGAAAATATGAAATCAGCAGATTACAATCAAAGTAGGCGCCGAAATATACAGGCTGTATCTGAATGACGTGCCCAAACTTCAGGGGGTGGTTCTTTAGGCAATTTTAAGGGTACTTTCTTATATAAACTATCAGCAATTTCGGCTCCCTTGCAAGAGAAAAACACTGACATTTAAACGTCAAAAATATTTCTGATAAAGATTGCAAATCTGATAAAATTACCTAAAGAATCACCCCTGAAGTTTGAGCATGTCATTCAGATACACCCTATATAATAATAGCGGTGAATAACCATTATTCACGGCTAATGAAGTTGATAGATTTGAATAATTATTTAAAACCGTATTATTTAAAACGTCAATTTAATTTAATTTTTTTTACTTTTTAAATGTTTGACATTAAAAAAACGTAAACAAATTCCTTTTTTAGTATGACTTAAGCATAAATTAATTAATTTTCGTAAAAAACCATGACGTTTCATAACATTGACATTTAATTTTTACAAATTGTTGTGAAGTTGGTTACAGTTGGTAACATTGAATTTGTGTCACATTGACGTTTAACCTTTATTCAAAAATTTATTTAAAAAAATAATTTTGTCCACGACTACCTTATAAACGAGTTTTCTAAAACAAAAGGGTAGTCATTTTTCACAGAGTGAATAATAGCGGTGAATAATTACTATACTCTGTTTTTAAACCAGGAGGAGTATTTTAAATTTGTCACCAGATTGACCTTGCACGTGATTGGTTGAATGCGAGGATGGTTCACACACAGGCAATTTCAATTTGAAGGTTAGGTTATTGACAATTCGACAGTTTCGTGTCATTATTGTAAATTTTGTGTTCTTAAACCCTTCGTTATTATATTTTGAAATAAATACACTCATAACTTCAATGTTAATTTGTATGTTGTGTTGACGGTAACAAACGAAAATAAATACAATAATAAGTAAATAAATAAATAATAATAGTTATTAATTTAAATTTACCGCCAAAATATCTAGTGATATTTTCTGGTGATTTTTCCTAGTGTATATCTGACTTTCGCGTTTACTCCTCCTGGTTTAAAAACAGAGTATAATTACCATTCATGGGTAATCAACTTGACAGACTTCAATAATTATTTGAAACGTCAAAATTTCAAAAAAACGTCAATTTAATTTAATTTTTTTGAATTTTTTAAAGGTTTCACATTAATAAAACGTAAATAAATTCTTTTTTTTAGTATGATTTAAGCATAAATTAAATAATTTTCGTAAAAAAAACATGACGTTTCATAAAATTGACATTTAACTTTAACAAATTGTTGTGAAGTTGGTTACAGTTGGTAACATTGAATTTGTGTCACATTGACGTTTAAACTTTATTCAAAAATTCATATTCTTTTAAATAAATTTTAATAGTAATTTCAGGTTAATTATGCCACTCGCTACGTTTGTGTCATAAACTTAACCTTAGTGAATAATACCCCTCATTATATGCTCGTATAATAATATACTATTTTATATTCCTTTTTTTATGTCGAATAATAATGGCGAGTTATTCGACTATTCGCCATAGGGAATTGCGATTAATCGGTAGTATTCGACTATTCGCGGCATCTCTACAAATGACATTCGAAACGCATTTTTCAAAAGAAGTACAGCTTAACCAAAAGGTTTCTACAACAACTCCATACAAAGATTGTTTTTGTTTAAATTTTATCTTAATAATATAATTTAATTATCGAATTAACTCATAAATAAATACTTACGGTAAGATCTTGCCTAATAGATTTCAATTGATCGCATGCGTAATAATAATCCTGTTTTTCCAACCATTTACTCTTGACGTTCTGCAATGACAATCTGAGCACTTGGACTGGACGTACTTCACAAGGTTCTGGGGCCTTGGTAAGTCGCAAAAACGACTTTTCTAAGTCCTGACATGTGCCCACTATGTGAAATTCTGTCCAGTCTAAGTCTCCTGCACCATCCTGTTCAAATTTATTATTTACCGTATCGATAAAAAAATTGGTAACACCGGAAATTTGTTTGCGACGTTTCGCGGGGGTGGGCGCTATCGTACTTGAAGACGTTTGCCCCTGTTGCTTTCCGAAACGTGCGGCGCGTTGTTGTAACAATTCCGAATTTTGTTCCTCATCCAAACCTGACGTTGCAAAACCGTTCAATGAATAAAAATGAGATTTCTTCTCTTTCTGTTTTAACAATTTTTTTTGTTGCTTTAACGTTAACGGCTTTTGATTTTTATTCGCCGGACCTAATCTATCCGTTATTTTACCTTTTTGTTTCGGTTTAATTAGTGGTATAAACGACTCGGAACTTGTTGATGAACTAAAATTAAATTAATTATTAAAATTTCATTATTTAATTACAGGTGTCTCAGCGTGACCATTTATTAGACGTTTCTGGGGTTCTGGCCAAAATAAAAATTTAAGAATTCAGATTTAAGTATTATCAATGAAGTAAATACAACGGTATTTTAATACTGAAAATACCGGGATCCTGTACATATTTCAATCTTGAAAATTATCCCGAGAAATCGATTATGATTTCGGGATTATGTTTATGTCATTAATTTACTATTTTTTGAAGAATAAGACTCGATCTATCGGTTGGCTTGATCTATTGATCTATCAGTTAACTTTATTCTGCTCTAAACAAACAACACCCACCTGTCCAGTTAACCAAGAATGCACTCCTCAATACATTGATTCAAGAAATTCATGTATTCAATAATGGGGTTGCATGGGTAAAAATCTTCAATTCGCTTTTAAATGTTCGAAAACTATTCCACCAACAAGTGCGGAATCGGGAAATCTCTTCAGCAGGTTTATTAAACACAAAATTTAGATATCGTTTAGGGGATAAATAATAGATAAATTGTTTGTTCTGCGATATTTCTTTAAGAATAGTTCTATGGATGGTAGATTTTTTTATAATGCATTGTATTATGGTTAGAATAAACTGTAACGTTAGAAACACCTTGACCACTTTTTATTTGTAATTACATATGTAGCCCATAAAACCCGGGATAGAGAATTCTGTTCCCGAAATCCCGGCATTATAAAAACCCTTCTTGATTGCAATCCCTAGTTGCCAGGTTACACACATATAATATAAGATGTCATAAAAATCGTGCGATGTTGAAATTTGTTTAAAAATGATTCAATTCTAATAAGACGTGTTACATATAGGCATAGGATTCTAGTAAAACAGTTTAGACGAGGTTTGTATATAAAAGTGATATAATTAAAAAGAAATATCACAGTTTAAGTAATTTCTTCGCGCCATCTAGCGGCGAATAGACGTAACTAATAGAGAAATTTACAGTAACCCACAATTCGAGTTGAAAACGCTATGAGTTTATTAACACACCAATTATTATACTATTTTTGTAATAAAATAGTGAGAAGTACACGTCAAATCGTGAGATCGTGAGACCTGGCAACCTTGTTTGTGAGTCTAAAACCAGTTAAAATGAATATAAATAACGTAAATAATGTTTATACAAATGAAGAAATTCATTTTTTATGCACGGAAAGTGCGACAAAGTTCTTAGGAGAACTTGCAGAATGTAAATTTAGAAGAATAGAAGCAACTGTTTTACATTTTGGACGAATTAATCGCGTATTAAACCGATTAAAAAATGTAGTAGATAATGCAGCGGAAGAGGTGAATACCTTGGCTTATTTCGAGTCCAGTCCCAACGCCTTAATTCTAGCTGCCAAAGAAGATCTGGGAATCATATTACGAACTTTGTCACGGTTTTCATGTATAAAAAATAAATTAAGATTTCTTGATTTGTGTAAATATTATCAAAAAAAAAATCTCAGAGAAAAGTTCATTAAAAATTTAAAAAACTGTGAAGGAGCAACATATTATAACCTTGGACAGAAAAACATCCACATTCGACTTAAAAGAAAACTACCACAAGATTTAGTCACCTATAACATAAGTAGTGAAGAGGAGATAACTTATTAACCTTATATAGTACAAAGAAATAAAACATTAATATTAAATATTATAAATATTGTGTATAACATATAAAAATGTTGATCCAATAAAAGCTGAAATAAAAAAAAAAAAAAAATTGTCGATATGAGGTGTGTATTTTTCAAAAGACCATAATTATCTTCCAAAGTATTAATGTTAGGTATAGAACATATGGGATATAAAATATGTAAAATGAGCCGCTGAAGACGGCTAAGTAATAAAATATGGGGAGTGCCATGTAAAAAAATGAAGTTATGGTACTTCCAAATTTCGAAAAGGTAACATGCCATAGTAAAGTGATCAAACGATATTATTATTATTAAGCATGTTCTGAATCCTAAATTGATATCCCAAAAATCGAGTGTTCTCTGATTTTTTGAACAAACGTCTGCTGGAGCAGATTTTGAAGGAAAAAGAAAAATTCAAATAACTCAAGAACAGCCAAATAAAATTGCAAAAAGTAATGTTATTCATAAACCTTGAAAATAGACAAATCCAAATATGTAAAAATTTACAGGGTGTTCTACTATCCGTGCAAAAAGGCTCCTCACTTTAGAGATCGATATCTTCGTAACCGCTCGATGGAAAAAATTGAGGTAAAGTTTATTGTAAACAGTGAACATTTCTGCGTATCACATGTTAATTTGGAAATTTTCGGGTCTGCGGTTTTTCTTTTATCGCGAATTTATCAGTACGTCGCGCCTTTATCTTACCTCCATAAAGAAATAAGACGCGACGCCCTGTCTGGGACGCACCATCTGTTCCGATTGGACGGAACCCCCGTTACCCCGCAGAGCTTATATCTGTTAATTTGTAATTACATTAAATCGCTCTTAAAAAATTAGGGAGCTCTAATTTTGAAAAACTGATAACGGAATCCGAAAACCGACATTATTTGACATATTTTGCTCAAATTCACGAGCCGTTTTCGACATAACGGCATCTTACTAAACCGCGATTTTCCGCGAAACTGTATGGAATATCGAAAAAATAAAATATGCCACTCATTAAGAACATATTAGGCTACCACCTGTTCAAAATTCAAATTTTTTCGTACGATAGTTTTCGTGAAAAAAAAATCGCAAAGTTGATAAAGTTGCCGGTACCGTAAAAAATTGGGTACTTTTTTCATTTAACTCGCGATAAAAAGGAAACCGTGGATTCAAAAATTTTCAAATTTACATATGTTACGTAGAAATGTTCAGTGATTATAACAAATTCTGTCGCAATTTTTTTTATCGAACGGTTGCGAAGATATCGATCTCTAAAGTGAGGCCCTGACTTTTTGCATGGATAGTGGGGTGGTATAAAGTAGGTGGCGACTTCCGGTATAACCGGAAGTGCTAGAAATCTGAAAATATATTAGTCGAAAAGAACGCAATTGATAATACTTAAATCTAAATTCTCAAATTTTTATTTTGGCCAGAACCCCAGAAACGTCTAATGAATGGTCTCGCTGAGAAAACCTGTATAAATAAAATTAATTATTACCTTGAAGACCTATGCCTTTTTGGACTCCTCGATTTCGATCTTGATTTTTTATAAAACAAAGCTGGCGATCTCGATCGTGATCTCGAAGAAGACTTACTATGACCTCGAAGCGTGGATGCTCTAGAACCTAATCGTGCGCCCATCGCTGCCGATAAACCACCACCTTTTTTAGGTGTTGTGTTATTTTGAAATTGGGCGAGTTGACCAGTTACGATTTTCGGTTCTAAATTAATTCTTTCGCTGTGAATGCTCGGTAAAGGCTCTTTCGTCCAATCCCTAACCCATAAATCACCGGTCGTCGATGCATTCGTTAATTTTCCCTTTAAAACAATATCAACTTGATCACGATCAATTTTTGTTTTACACTTTTCGTAACATCTCTTAACGTAATCTTTCAACGAGTCGGGCCATTCTTCCGTCGGATTAACTAAAGGATTTGGAAGAGGTTTAGTTTTTGGTGTTTCTGTTGTTGGTAATGGTGGTGGGGGCACCTTCGTATCCGGTAACGGTGGTATTGACGGTAAAGGTGGCATCAATTCCGGAGGCGGAGCGGGTTTTGGGTCATTTTCCGGTGGCGGTAACGGAGGCATATTAAAATTATTAAAGTTTAAATTGTTCTGATTATTTTTATTTCGCTTTCGCTTTTTTTTAGCCGCCCCGCTCGTCAACGAATTCGCTTGATTCAACCCGTTATTTTGAGGACCTTTTTTATTCAAACTAAACCGAATATTTCCGAATTGTTTCTGTATAGGAGAAGCATTATTGAAAAATTGGGGTGTTTTTTGTAAAAGGGGTGGTGGAGGACCAGCTGGTAAAGGTGGAATTAAATCTTTCTTTTCCCCTTCTTTTTTATTATTATCAGTGTTATCCGCTGCAACAACGGGCTTAAACGTTTGCGCATAATGAGCGTAATTCATCATTTGCGGGTATTGATAATATTGGGCATATTGCGCGTATGTTTGGGGCGACATTCCGTAAGGAAATTGTTGTCCATACATCGCCGCATAATTATACATCCATTGATTTGTTACCGCTTGTTGTTGAACTATCGGAGTTGTTGTTGTTGACGAGGTCGTGGTTGATGTGCTCGATGTTGCGCTTTCTGCCATTTCCTCGTGTACCTTAAAACCAAGCAATTAATAAAAACAACCCAATTTATAAATATATTTCGTTGAAAATGATCATATTAAATTACCAAAATGGCGCTTATACAAAGAAGCTTACCTGTAAATTTAAGCAGAGAATAATTTAAGGAATATAGAGTCGTCGTAAATAACACTAGCACTATATAAACAAATAATAAATATAATTAATTTAGTTTTTTAATTATTATTATACACTATTGGCACTTTATAAGAAAAAAACTTATAACCATGACACACACTAGAAAATGTAATTGGAAATGTCACAATTGGTCGGTAAGTTAGGTTAAGTTAAAAGTAGCGACATCTATTAATTCGAATTTGTACTACAAATGCTATTTTTAATTTTATTTTAATGAATTAATGTTTAATTAAAAAAGTTAAAGGAAATACGAAATAAAACATGTATATCTTGTTTCTAAACTTTTATCATAAATTAATTTTTCATTACTATTCGTACTACTAAATTTATAGGTTAGATTACCAATATACAATTCTTTTTGTGTTTTAAACCTTTTTGCCTCTTCTAACGGTGTGAAATAAGTTTTTTTTAGAAGTGAATATGAATCTTGAAGCTTATAGTAGCTTACAATTAGTTTCCTTGCCTCTGACAAGCTTTTAAATAATTGTAATATTCTTTAATATACAGGGTGTGTCAAATGTCGGGAATATAGCCAATAACTTCGCCATTTGTGGTTTTAAAGAAAATTGTTTCAAATAAAAAATTCTTTAATAATTGTGGCGCATTTTTTGGCGATACTAGCTTGTTTACATTGTTCTTTATTTCGTTACTATGACAACCAACATTGTTATTTTAAATGGGACGCATATTTTTTTTTTGCACATTTTAATAGATACCTCTACGCGATGAACATATCAAATCATATGGTTGGGTTGGCAATTTTTTGACATTTAAAGCTGTCAACGGCGTTATTTCGGTGCCTACTTTGATTGTAATTAGCTGATTTCAAAAAACTCATTCTTTTTAGATTTTTTACTTATACAACTATATGATTTGATATGTTCTTCGCATAGAGGGACTTATCCTCTATTAAAGTATGCAAAAAAAATATATGCATCCCATTTAAAATAACAATGTTGGTTGCCATAGCAACGAAGCAAAAGAACAATACAAACAAGCAAATATCGTCAAAAAATGCACCATGATTAATAAAGAAACTTGTATTTGAAACATTTTTCTTTAAAATCACAAATGGTGAAGTTATTGGCTATATTCCAGACATTTGACACATCCTGTATAATGCTATAAAATGTAGGGTATTCAAACAAAAAATATCACCAAGGAAGTCTCTTGCTCAAAATGGTGTTGTTATTACAGCCTATCGTCTTTAGAAAGTGATTTGATTAGCTGCAAATAGCAACATTTCTTGGTTATAAGAATGTTCATAGCTAAAGTTTTTACATAATATCCAGAACTAAAAAACGTAAACATATTTGAAAACTCAACCTTCTTAAAGAAGCTAGGGAACCTGCCAATATCAGTAGAGGTTGATTGCCAAACAAATAGACCATGATGATTAATTATTACTTAGTATTATTGACTTTATAGCAACTGATAAATTTCTACAACAAAGCAGTTTGTATTGTCAAGAAAGAGTTGATATCGCCTTGTTTTAGATGCTTATAATTACAAATACATTTCAAACATTATAATAAATCTGACAACTCCAAGTGTCTTTTATTATTATAAATATAACATGGTGTCAGGGGTAAAAGAATAAAGAACCGGAAAAGAACATACACATTTGTAGTGCTTTGTTAACTTCATGTCTTTTTATAATTCTGCAACACGTATTGTTATGATTTCAAGCAAAGATTTTCGTTTTATATGAAATTTAATTATTATTTCTCTTTGTTCATTTGAAAATTCGGTTAACTTTCTACCCACTTCGAATTTTGAACTGACTTTGAAGTTTTTTGAAAAAACCAATGCTTAACAATCAAAATGGGGACAAAACAAGATTGAAAATCTTGTATATATAACAGCTAAGCTGTTCGAATAACCAAGACATATACTTTTGCTTTTACTCTTTTTAAGTGAAATAAATCATCAAAAATATTTGAAATTCGTTCTACCATTCTTGAGTAATTCGTGATTTACTACTTTTTGCATTCTGTATTTAGAACCCAAAATTGACATTTGAGGTTATGTTGCTTTATTTATTTAGAAATAGTTATCTCGAAGCTTCTTTCATAGATTGTTATAATTAAGAGTAAATACATCCAATTTATACGTTATTTATTACATAAATTTTAACTCTCCTTTGAGTATAAATGAAATATTAATGAAATATGAGAGCCCTTTGGGATTAAAATATACATCGCTAGATGTCGCTGACGTCAAAATTATTAATAAAGTAATTTAATTTTTATTGCTACTCAATATTTTGCGTACATCTCAATTAATTATCCTTTGTAGAAAATAATTTTCATTCTATTTTGTCAAAAATTTACTGTCAAAAACCCCTGAATTTACTTTTCTTTTTAATTTGGAAATCGTGGTTGCAGTTTGTTAATAGTGTTTATTTTCTTAATAAGTATATTTTGATAAACAATTTTTTGATCAATTTAATCTTTTATTTACTTATTTATTATAAAAATATAAATAAATTAAATAATAATAAAAATAGGAGCGCCATCTATGATTGATACTTCAAATAAATTCTATTATAAACTTCACAACACAAAAATGTTTAAAAATTACAAGTGTCAAGTGTCTCATTAACACCGAAAAGATATCCCGCGTTTTACCTCCAAAAAATAATTCACAGTCAAATTATTAAAACAAAAATCATTTATAAATAATTCCCTTTAAAACGCAACGTTCGTAATTTTATTTTTTGAAGTTGGCTAAACGCGTACCAACAAAAAACTGTTAAAATCACGTTTTGCCGGTTTCTCACATCACACGGCGTGGTCTCATTTAACATTATCGAAATATCCGAAAATGAATAGCATCGTAAGAGCCGCTTTGCGTATAAACGGTTTTAGGCCGCTTTTGAGTTGTACGAAAACGTCGGTCTATGCGAAAAATGCCGTTCAACAGCGACAGCTCGCCCGGAATTTTTGGTACATGTGCAACGTGCGAAACGATCACTCCACCGTTTCTTCGACCGTTTTGAAGAGTCCAAGCGAAATTTGTAGCTGCGGGTGCGGAAAACATCACGTTCATAGTAAAGCCGAAAAGGAATTAGTCGAATTTTTAACCGAGGAGATTTTGGCAGAACGGAAAGCACAAAAAGTTAAAGCAATTCCAACCGAAATCGATGGGTTTAAAGCTACGTTAAACGGCTCTGAAATTACCTTAACTAAACAAGCAGATAAAGAAACGTAATTTACTTTGAATTAATTTAAAAAAAATTTTGACATTTAAACAAACATAACCTCAATTTATTTTAATTTAATTATTTTCTTTGTTATTAATTTATTATTAATTTTATTTTGAATTTGTAGAGTAAAAATTACTTTTAATGTAAATCATACTGTTGATACTGATGGAGAACCAGAAGTTATGCCAAATATGGATAAAGCAGAAATTGGCGAATTAAAATCAAAACCATCGTTTAAAATTGATTTGATTAGAGGTGATGTTACTGTTTGTTTAGTTTGCTCGTTTATTGGACCAAACGAGCAAGAAGAAGGTTATAGTGAGTTAAAATTTTTTTTTTTGAGGTTATGTTATATTAAATTTGCTTTTAGATGATATTTTTGGAATTGATGAAGTTAGTATTTACTCAGGAAGCTGGAATGAACAAGTTTATGCCGTTTCTGGAGAAGTAATAGATTCTGTGAGTTAAAATAAAATAAATTTGATTTGTATTATTAATAATTTAATTTTTTAGTATTTATATGATCTTTTAATGAATTACTTGGAGGAGAAAGGTATTTCGAACGAATTTGTGGAGAAATTATCGGATTATAGCACAGCTTACGAACATTCGGCTTATATTGGATTACTTGAAGGTCTCTCGAAGTTTGCTTCAGCTAAATAAAAATCAGTTTGGAAAAAAAAAGAAAAAAATCTGTTTAGGTTTAAGTGTTTTATTACCTGTAATAGTGTTTTTAATTATTTTCAATAAAACTACATATGAAAATTAATTAAAAAATTACATGTTAACCAATTAATTTATTAAAAAACAAAAATCTACTTTCAATTAATTTCATTCACTAATAATTTATTTTGTCAACTTTTTTCTTGTGATGGAACTTTCCTTTCGTGCTCACTCCCAAGTAAATTCCTTTCCACTTCATGCCAATCAATCCGATTTTCAATCATTGCCCTTTTAACGCATTGCTGATAAACTTTAAATATCGGTTCGCACATAGAATCGTTTGTGTTTCCTTTAAGAAAATGTTCCGAAAACCATGTATTAAAACAATTGTCATACTGCTGTTTTAAATCATTACAAGCTTCGCCTATGCTGTTCATCCTTCCCAAAGTAGGTTACATCGAACACTAAAATAATTCCTTCCAGTTGTTGCTGGTCACTCATGAATAAATTAAACGAAAACGATTATTTACCTGGAAATTTCAAATGTCCATCAATACAATTCTTTTTTAATTATTTCTTTGATTCTTGTCCTATTTTTTTGTTTGTTTTAGGTTAAGTCGTTGTCTATCAACTTTTTATTATTAATCATTTAAAAAGAACGATAAAATATTTTTTTAATGACGAGTAGAACACGTGGTTTGATTAAATTTTTAATAAACAAATTATCGATTAATAATTTCTAACCTTTCATTTGGAATGTGAGTCAAATTCATTTTCATTATTGAGGTTAGGTTAATACTAATAATTTATTTTTAGTTTAAGTTAAAACATTTTATGAAATATTTCATATTTTTCTTTAAACCTTTTATAATAAAACGATTTTTGTTATTAATTTCTTTAATTTTTTAATAATAAAAAAATGTAGAAATATTTTAAATGTTATGTTGGTACGATTGATTGTCACTTTTAACCTTTCAAATTTTGAAAAAATTGCAGGATTAAAAAAAAAGCTTTATTTAATGCTCGGTTTTATTAAACGGGTTCTTTCTAAAAGGATTCTAATTAAATAATTATATTTCCAAACTCTTAATCAATTAATCATAGCCAGTTTCATCATCACTATTATTAACAAACTTCCTTTAATTACTTCCTAATTAATTATGTTAAGTACCGGCCGTTTCTTGGGCAACCGATGTGGTTTTGCTCGTATTAACGGAAGTGGCATCACCCTCTTCTTTAATAGCTAACCAAGGTAATCGAGCTTGCAATTCAACCCTAAAAACAAGATTTAAAACAATTCTTCTTTAATAAAATAAATATTTATTAACTAACCTGTATCTTGGGTGACTAATTGCATAAACATAAGGGTCTATACACGCAACTAATTTGCAAGTTAAAGCTGGTATCATAGTGACACCCGGTGTTAATAAGCTTGCATCCCCAAAAGATCCAATTAAAGCCATCACTGCATATGGAGTCCATGAAGCAACGAACAAAAAGCAAATTGTTATCGCCGCTTTAGCTATTCTTACTTCGGCTGATTCGGATGCTTGGTTTGCATTGCTTCTTAATGATTCCACATTCATTTTTTTAGCCTTAAATAATAATAATTATTAAATTATACTTAATTTTTAGTTAATTGGACGAGAAATTAGCACGCAAAATATTGATAAGCTTTTAATTATTCCGAATAAAATCAACTTCCATTAGGAGATTCTTTTAAAATCCAAAATGATAATATATTTGGAATATTTTATCAGTTAGGCAACTTAATATGCAGATAATAAGTTGTGGTTATAGAAAAATCATGTTTTGTTATCTCCTAAAAGAGGTGGAATAGTGAAAGCTGTAAGAACATAAAAATGATAATTGGAAAAAGGTTAAAATTTGGACAAAAATGAAGAACGAATTTGAATCGTTCTACATGATACAAGAGAAGGTGCACAAGTCAAAGCATATGCAAGAAAGAAAAATTACAGCTTAGGAATAAACTAAATTAATATTAATATATTAATAATAAACTGTCAAACCTTTTCTTAAAAGACGCACGACAAAACTCGAAAGTTTTTAGTGTTAGTTCTAATTTTAGTTAAAAATATTTCAATATCTATTACTACTCAATATTTTGCGTACATCTCAACCAATTATCAATAAAAAGAGTAATAATTTTCAAAAAAAAGTTATACTTGTTCTTTAAGTGCTTTTTCATGTTTCATAACATGTCCAACAATTTGACTATAAAAATAAATAATCATAGTCATTGGTATGGCATAAGAAAACGTAAAAATAACTGCCACAAAAAGATCATTATCGAATGTATCCGTAAAATAATCGAAAGTACAAGATGTTAGATAACCTTCGGGTACAAATCGTCCCCAAATTTCCAAAAATGGTAAAACCGCCCAAGGTATTGTGTACGCCCAAACGACAAAAACCATCACCAAGGCTTTAACTCTCGTCATTTTTCCTTCTAAAGGATTTGAGATGGTCGTATATCGATCGTAAGCGATACAAGCGTTTGTCATTGCGGCTGCAATTCCGGATAATGACCCTAGGAGAGCGAAAATTTTGCATCCCATTATGCCGCACGCGAAGCCTTTATTAAAAGCGTTATAAATAAAAATTGGGGATTTTGCCATCATGATAAAATCGCAAAACGCCAAGTTTACGATGAAAACGTTTGAAGGAGTCCGAAGATTTTTAGCTCTAAAAAGATAATTTTAAAAAAGGATTAATTTAATGGTTAAATTTGAAGGTTACGCAGTAAAAATCCATAAAACTAATCCATTTCCCGTTATGGACATTACAAAGAACATTATGTAAATAATTGCGAGTAAATAATGTATCGATGATTCAGGTTCAGGATATTTTAGCCATTGTATTGGTACGTACGCCAAACTTTCTGGTGGCAAATCCCATCCTATTGTTTTCCTTGTACCTAATTCCATTTCAACCCTTAAAAAATATTTTTAATTTATTAAAATTAAAGTTTTTTTTGCTATAATAGCTGTTTATATTTAGGGTTTCTGTTGGTGTTATCTAGGGTCCCTATAATATTTGACATTTTTTGATTTTTAGTAACATTTTCGGAAACTTTATAATTGAGGTTAATTCAATATAAATTAATGAATATAAACAATTAGACATCAAATTTAATTATTTAAGTATTATTATAAAATAATTCGAAAATTATGCCTTTTTGAATATTTAAAGTTTAAACGTCAAAGTAAATTAAAAACTGTTACCAACTTTGCAATAATTTGACAGATATTATAGAAAAAAAAATTTAGCTGTGATTTAGTATAAATATTTATTGTATTTTAATTTAATTATAAACATTACCTTGGCAATGCAACAATATTAGAAGAATTCGGCAGCATTTTATTATTAATTTTTCTTTTTGTTTTATTTCTTTATTCAAAATCTACCACTACTGTTGAAAACGAACTGCAACCGTGACACTCAAAATTGATTCTTTTATAGAATCGTCTTTAATCTTTTCATGCGATTGAGCCGATCGTACGTAATTGTATTAAAGGATTTTATTTATAAGGGAATTGGAATCAAACTAAAAAAGAAAAAAGATTTAATCTAGGTCAGCGCGTAAAAATGGTTAGAAATAAATAAATAAACAAAAGATATTCGAAAATAGTTTATGAAAGACACGTCAAAGTCAAAAAAGAAAGTTTTATTTTATAAAGAAAGATAATTATTTTATTGATCAAACAAGAGGTTATTCTCAATTGGAGTGTGTTGGTGATTCGGGGAACATTTAAAGTGCAAAAATGTCGCAAGAATCTGTTGATTCTAGTGATGATGATGATGGTGGGTCTGGTTCAACTCTTGAGAGGGGATCTCTTGAATCTCTTAGAAAAACTCCCATGTTTTTTTGTCGACCACCAGAGAGGTTTAAAAGGTATATATTAAATTTTTTTTATTTAAGAAATATAAAATTTAGTTAATACAATCAACATTTTTTAACATCAACACCATCTATATTTCATTCATCAAACTTCCATAACATTTTCAACGTCAAGAAAATTTCGGACATCTGTCAAACGCTTTTTAAGTTTGGTTATGTTTATCTGAAGTTGCCTTAAATTTATTATCAATTAAAGAAGTGATTCACAAAACACATCAATTTCCACACAATCCACATTCAGCTGAATATAAATAAATTGTGACATAATTTTGATTATGCAACACAAACTGCACAAATCCTCAAAATAACCGCGAGATTTAGTAATTTTTTATTTAATCAACCTAACCTCATTTTGACATGTCAAATATTAATCGTTCTTTTTTAATGAATAACATTTCATTTAAGCATTTAGTGATTTGGTTTAACAATATTAACATGAAACATAATTTAGTTTAAAAAGATATAATTATTTAAGGGAAAATAAAGTATCGGTTTATTTATTTATTATTTATACACAGCGACATCTAGCAACAGTAAATAGTATTTATTTTTAGGTTGGTACTAAATTAAAATGTAATCTAAAAGTTAAACTAAACTTTTGATTTTCACTTTATATTCCACGGATGAAAACACAAAAATAAACTCTTAACTTGTTTATTAAAATTATTAATAAGATGGTCATTATGCATTAATTAGTCATGTAAAAATAAATAATGTTGTGGAGTATATTTTATTTAGTTGTCAAGTTTGGGATTTTTTTGACAGTTCAAAAATGACTTAAAATTATCATTTTTTTAAGGTTAAGTTACTTATTCTGTTTTTTTTTGTAGAAAGGCAAATATAATACCATTTCATGTCCCGCATAAAAAGCTTTTGGAAAAGCTCGAGAAAAAAGTTGAGCTTCCCGAACCTTTGGTAAGTTTTTTTTTAATTAAACTATCTGCATTAAAAAATCGTTTTTTATAGACTGGTTTTAGAGCTCATCAACAAAAAATTTTGGATCAACGCGCTGGAATTAATCTCGTCGATGGCGATTTACCGTCCGCGGGTTCCAGAACCCCAAGTGATGCGTCAATTTCGAAACAGAAAGCGCAAACTATATCGTTAAGAAAGAAACGTAATTATTAAAGTTTTATTTTTATTTTTTTAATAAATTCTTGTGGAGTTAAACATCTTTTCTAATTTATTTTTTAGCTAAAAAAGATCAACAATTAAAATTTCGAGATACTGGCGTTCGGCCTGTTGTCAACCTTGAAAGTCATATGTCAATTGGAGGTGGGGGGGCAGCGGGAGACATAGTTTTACCCCATTTTAGATTGAAAAACGTCGTTTTACAAACTAGTTTAATTCAGAAATTGCGTTCTGGAGAAATTCCCGGCTTTGTTTATTTAATTTATGCCGTTCCAAGATCTTCGGAACATTACACACCATACGCTTTAACGTAATTAATTTTTATTAAATTTTTATGTTGGTATTTAAGTCAAATCAGCAACAAACTTAAAACATTTTAAATACTTAGGTTACGTTTTATTTGTCGTACTAAAACATAACCTAAAAAAGTAATTATTAATTTAATTTTTATTTAAGTATGGTTCCTTATGAAAACATTGATCAAAATTTATTTTTAACAATGAGCGCTCAAGGTGTTTTACAACATCACGGTCTAGAACAAGTTTTTACGCCGCTAGAAAAATGGGAGGCCGAATACAACCTTTATTGCCGTTTGATGAGGATAAATACGTTTTTTAATTTCCGGATTTGGAAGGCTTTCTACGTTTGGCACAAAACGATCATTTTCAATAAAATCGCTAGGGCCAAAAAAAATCTATCCAACAACCTGTTCATTTTAAATCCTTTATTGGGACCGGCGCTATTAAACATAAGGAATATGTGCGAAAAAATGGCAGATTTTACTTTTGCCGACGTTAGCAACATTGAAAATTGGGAATTATTTTATTTTATCGAAGCGCAAGTAAGGATATACAATGAATTTCATCTAAAATGCAATATACAAAAATAGGGCATACCTACTTACTTTGTCTCACATAAAATGCAACATGTTAATGTAATTTGACATTACAGTAAAACCTCGATGTAACGGATGATTACGGGGAACGCAATGTTCGTTATATCTCAATAAAAATATATAATAATGTAGCGCTGAATAATAAATAAAGGTAGACTAGAACAACTAGAACACTAGAATTGACACTAAAACTAGAAACATTCCGTTTAGTCGTACCTCTCTTAAGACCTGGAACTAGAACGATTCAGGTTTAACTTTCTAGTTCTAGGTCTAATGTTAGTTTTAGTCTTACACTAGCACATTCACTAGAACTAACACAAGACCTAGAACTAGAATCATTCGGGTTTAGCCGTCTTGAGAGACGTGCGGCTAAATCCGAATGTTTCTAGTTCTCAGCCTAGTATTAGTTCTAGTGTTGCACTAGCACTATCACTAGAACTAACACAAGACCTGGAACTAGAATCATTCGGGTTTAGCTGTCTTAAGAGACGCACGGCTAAACCCGAAACTTTCTAATTCTAGCTCTAGTGTTAGTTCTAGTTTTAACTGTTATTCAGCGTTAAATTGTTGTGTATTCTTCATTGAACTAATCTTAGACCTGGAACTAGAACCATTCAGGTTTAACTTTCTAGTTCTAGGTCTAACGTTAGTTCTAGTTTTATTCTAGCACAATCACTAGAATGGCCCCTTCTAACCCCCGGCTAACTCCTTCTAGTTTTAGGTCTTGTGTTAGTTCTAGTGATAGTGTTAGTGTAAAACTAGAACTAACACTAGATCTAGAACTAGAATCATTCGGGTTTAGCCGTCTTGAGAGACGTGCGGCTAAATCCGAATGTTTCTAGTTCTCGGTCTAGTGTTAGTTCTAGTATTGCACTAGCACTATCACTAGAACTAACACTAGAACTAGAATCATTCGGGTTTAGCCGTCTTGAGAGACGTGAGGCTAAATCCGAATGTTTCTAGTTTTTGGTCTAGTTTTAGTTCTAGTTTTACACTAACACTAGCACTAGAACTAACACAAGACCTAGAACTAGAAGGGGTTAGAAGGGGTCATTCGGGTTTAGCCGTGTGTCTCTTATCACGGAAACTCAGAATTATCATAAGGACGTCATCTTTTCCAAGCAAAACTTTTCCTTTGCAAGACTACTCAACGCCTGTACTATTAAGCTGTGTAGCATTTTATGTGGGACAGTACAAGTGCATAGTAGTTTCGTAACTGCATTCATATATTGCGAATTATATGAAATTTCAAGTATTATAATTTAGGAGTTCAAGTAAATTTGTTGTGATTTTTTAGATGGGAAAACTTGAAGAAATAATAGCTGAATTAGTAAATTATAGAAACGTTACCAAAGAAATTATTTATAACGCTTGTTTAGGTGCTTTATTGGGACGTGGATTTATTGTCGATGAAACCATTGAACTTGAAACTGAAAAATGTAACCAAACAAATTTAAGATAATTAATGATTTATTAATAATTTTTATTTTTAGCGAAATCTAAAAAAGGAAAAGCACCAAAAGCTTCTTTTATCGAACAATCGGAAAAGAAAAACTTTTGTATACGATTAACTTAGTAAATATTCTCTAAATTATTTCTCTAAATTCATATTAATAATGATAAATTTTTTATTTTAGTTTTATAACGCTTACTGATTATTTAACATTAAATATGATGCACGGAATCGTTTCAAATTCCGCAACGGGATGGTTAAAGACGCTTGAAACTCATTTAAAATATTTACCGTCAGTTGAATCGATACAAGGCACTCCGTTAGATAAACAGATTATGATTCCAAGATCCGAAGATGATCCTCAGGTAAAACGGAAAAGATTTAGTATTAAATTATTTATAAAAACCTTTTTAGTTACCTTTATTGAGAATACGAGTCATCATAAACGAAACGTTTATCAGTTTAGATCCAACCCACGATGTGACAGCAAACATTTTTAATCAAGTTTGGGATTTATGGGAATCTCAAACTTTAAAAATTAAATCTTTTTTGGGCGATAAACTTTATAATTCATTTACATGGTATTTATTTGTTACTTTTAGATTTTTTTAAAGTTAATGTTGAGTAAATAATTGACAAGTTATATAAAAGTTACATGCTATATACTGCTGCTTACAAAATTGAGTATCCATTCCTTTATATACTCAATTTTGTGAGCAACTGTATGAATAAATCATATTCCACTTCTTGTCAAACAAAAACTATCAACTTAACTTAAAGAGAAAATATCTTTTCATTATTTTTTCAAAAATTTTTAATACACCTTTTTTAGTCCAATTATAAATGGAAAAGTTGAAGACAGACTTTGTGGATTCGGCCCCCCTTTGTTTTTCTATTTAAGCGACGATCAACATTTAAAAGCGGTTAAAAAGACGATTTTCGATCACATCCGATTAAATTACGACGTCGCGGACGTTTTTGTAAAACGTTTGGAATATATAAGAGAATTTTTTGCGGCCGATAAAAACACTCCGCCGTCTATAATTGAAGATGAAATCCGTTTGGAGGTTTTTCGTGAATTGTGCATACGATTTCATGAAGAAATCAATATCATTAATAGTACGGTCGATAAACAACCATTGGGAATACATTATTTACAATTGGAAGATTTTAAAACGCAATCTTTACCGGAATCGACGCGGTTATTAAATATTTTAGAAAACGTTTTACCCAGGTAATTTTTGATTTATATTTTAAGTTATAATTTAATGATTTTTTTTTTGTTATAGAATCGGGAGAGATAACGTTAATAGATTAGCGGACGAAGTTGAGTATTCGGCGAAATATTTAGAAAGAACAAACACAGAAACGTTACAATTTGTCGAATATTTCCGCTTTTTGGAAAAATGTACCGAGCGAATCGATGTTATGGAAAGCGATTTGGAATATTGTAAAGAACTTTACGATATGACTGAAGAATACTCGATTCCAGTTCCGGGTGATGATATGTCGAAGTATTTAGGGATTAGCGTCGATATGGGCAGTTTGCGGAGTTTGATTGATAGGAAATTAGAAGAGAGGCCGAAAGCCATCAAACAATTCACCGATTTAATGAACAAAGATATTAGCGCATTAATTTCGGACGTTGGTTGCATCAAAGATGAATGTCTCCAACCTTGGCTTTACGACATCGAATCGAATCCCGAAGAAGTTAACGGCTTTTTAGGAATATTATATGAACGGTTACTCGAATGTGTTCGAAGAGCCAAAGAGTACAAAGAATTTCAAAAAGAACTTAAGGTTAATTAAGCTTAATATATAGTAAAACCTCGATATAACAAACTTCGGATTTAATACATCAATACATTTACATATTAATGTTGGCCCTCATAGATAGAATCCAACTCGGGTTATTAGCTAAGTTGCTCTATTCTATGTTTCTATGCTAGTTTTAGTTCTAATGATTGATGAAAATGATAATGATGAAATTTTTCATAGAACTAAAAATAAGTAGAACTATCACAATTTTTCATATAACAGATTTTTTATTATATCGTATTAGTCCATTATATCGAGATTTTAGTGTATAATCATAAAACGAATTAATTTATTAATACATTTTTTAGCTTGAAGTATCTCGTTTTGATATATTAGATGAAGTGATGAACGATGTTAAATTGAGAATGTTACTTTGGGAAAGTGTTGATTCTTGGGCTAAAACGATCCAAGAATGGTACGAAACCGAATTTACAAATTTAGTCCCCGACGATATGAACTTATTCATCGCAAAAAATATGAAAAGTATTAATCAATTAGAAAAGGGTCTCCCCAAAAATTTAATTGTCCCAAAATTAAAAGAGGACGTTGAAAAGATGAGGGATAAAATGCCGGTTGTTACGTATCTAAGAAATCCTTCGTTAAAAACGCGGCATTGGATGAAAATCGAAAATGTACTTAACCACAAATTTAAAGCGGATGAAGTTATAACTTTGGAATTGCTTGAGTCTTTGGGTTGTTTTGGTTACCCGGATGAATTGATGGAAATATCTGGTATGGCCAGTAGTGAGGCTTCTTTAGAAATACTTTTAAAGAAAGTCGAAGAAAATTGGGAGTCGTTAGAATTCACTGTCGTTCCGCACAAAGATACTAAAGACGTTTTTATTATGGGATCAACCGAAGAAGTCCAAGCCGTTTTAGACGACTCCAACATAAACATAACAACAATCTCCAGTTCGAGACACGTCGGCCCAATCAAACCGCGAGTTGACGAATGGATAAAACAACTAGATTTATTCACAAAGTGTTTAGAGGAATGGTCAAACTGCCAACAAAGTTGGGTTTACTTAGAAGTAATTTTCTCCGCCCCAGACATCCAAAGACAACTCCCTACCGAAGCAAAAATGTTTTTGGTAGTCGATAAATCCTGGAAAGAATTAATGAGAAAAACTGCAAAAATGCCCTTGGCTATGCCAGCCGCTACAGCACCCGGAGTTTACGAACAACTCCAAAAAAACAACTCCCTTTTAGAGCAAATCATGAAATGCCTAGAATCTTATTTAGAAACAAAACGAGTCGCTTTCCCCCGATTTTATTTCTTATCAAACGACGAATTACTCGATATTTTAGCGCAAACGAGAAATCCCCACGCCGTTCAACCCCATTTAAGAAAATGTTTCGATGCCATTGCGAAATTAGAATTTGGCACCAGAAAAATAACCGAAGAAGAAGGAGAAGAAGAAGGTGGTGGGGCCCCAGTTGCTGCTGGTTCCGGCGGAGAAAAAGTTGTTTTAACCACGGATATAATTGCGATGCTTAGCCCCGAAGGCGAACGAGTTCCATTAACGAAAGGATTAAAAGCGCGCGGAAACGTTGAAGATTGGCTCGGAAAAGTTGAAGAAGGAATGTTTACCTCGTTAAGGAAAATTATGAAAGCCTCAATCGGCGATTACATACACTCACTTCGTAAAGATTGGGTCCTAAGACATCCGAATCAAATTATTTTAACAGTCTCGCAAATTATGTGGGCTAAAGACGTTCACGGTGTTTTAGATAAAGAGGGAACCGATAAAGACGTGGAATTAAAAAAGTTTGAGACAAAATGTATCGGCGATTTAAACGATTTAGCCGCGTTAGTTCGACAAGATTTAAGTTCGGTAACAAGGAAAATTTTAATTGCTTTAATCACCGTTGATGTTCACGCAAGAGATACAATCGCAAATTTAATCCATCACAAATCCTATTCGAGCGGAAACTTTGAGTGGTTAAAAATGTTGCGGTATTATTGGGTAGATTCAAGTGATCGTTGCGTAACAAGAATGTCAAGTACTTCATATCTTTACGGTTACGAATATTTAGGAGCCGGTGGTGTTTTAGTTATCACCCCATTAACCGATAAATGTTATCTTTGTTTAATGGGGGCGCTTCAATTAGATTTAGGCGGCGCCCCAGCCGGACCAGCTGGAACCGGAAAAACCGAAACCACAAAAGATTTAGCCAAATCAAACGCCGTACAATGCGTAGTTTTTAATTGCTCGGAAGGTTTAGATTATAAAATGATGGGAAGATTCTTCTCAGGTTTGGCCCAATCGGGAGCTTGGTGTTGTTTCGATGAATTTAATAGAATCGATATTGAGGTGTTATCGGTCATCGCCCAACAATTAATTACGATTAGAAATGCAAAGCTTATTAGAGCCGCGAGATTTATGTTTGAAGGTAGAGAAATTAAGCTTGTTCAAACTTGCGCTGCTTTTATTACGATGAATCCTGGTTATGCCGGAAGAACCGAACTTCCCGATAATTTGAAAGCTTTGTTTAGACCTGTTTCGATGATGGTTCCTGATTATGGTGATTAAGAAAAATAATAATGTTTAATAATGTTTTATGTTTTAATTTCTTTTAGGTTTAATAGCTGAAGTTATTTTGTATTCGGAAGGATTTGAATCCTCAAAAGTACTTGCGTTTAAGATGGTACAAATGTATAAACTTTGTAGCGAACAATTATCGCAACAAGATCACTACGATTTCGGAATGCGTGCTGTTAAAAGTGTTTTGGTGATGGCCGGTTCTTTGAAAAGGGCAAGACCCGATCGAAATGAGGATGTCGTGCTTATTTGCGCGCTTAGAGATAGTAATTTACCCAAGTTTTTGGCTGATGATGCTATTTTATTCCAAGTATAATAATTACCTAAATATGTTTATATTTTTGATTTGACTTTTTTGTTTTAGGGGATCTTGACGGATTTATTCCCGGGGGTAGAACTTCCGGTACAAGATTACGGCGAGTTTCAACAAACGATTATAGCTCAAATGGTCGAACATAATCTCCAGCCTGAACATTGTATGATCAAAAAAATTATACAGTTACATGAAACGATGATTGTTCGTTGGGGAGTTATGTTAGTTGGACCAACTGGTGGAGGAAAATCGGCTATATTAAACGTAATTTTTTTATTACCTCAAATCAACTCAAATAGTTTAGTTGAAATCATCAATAAAAATGAAATATCAATTGTCAAATTGTTGAGGGTTGGTAACAATTGATAAGATTAGCAGGGAATTTTGTTATATCATGTTTTTAAATCAAAATGTGTCAAAGTGACGTTTAAATGAAATATCAATTGTCAAATTGTTGAAGGGTTGGTAACAATTGATAAGATTTGCAGGGAATTTTGTTATATCATGTTTTTAAATCAAAATGTGTCAAAGTGACGTTTAAATTTTTGTTGTTCAGACATTCAATTTTTGGTTTTATGTTTACACAAAAATAATTAAAATAAATTAAACGCAAGAAAAACACGCGACTTATTGGAAATATTTTAATAAATCTTCTTTCTTCAAGAGATTTTAGCCACGACACTGCTATGAACAGTGCTAAAGTGTTTTAAAGAATTTTAAGGCATCTTAGGGCGAAAAAAAAACAGGAAATTGTGTTAACTTTTTATGCATACCTACTTTCTAAAGAATGGGGATAAAGAATCCATAACTTAAGAAATCAAAATCAAATACTTTGAGCGTGGACTATGGCATTAATAAATCACAATACTACAAATATTGAATGATTAATTCTAAATTTTTTTTCTTCTAGGCTCTCAATTGGGCTCTTACTACAATGCATGATACAGGTCACGAAGGTCCATATTATCATCCAGTTCACACATACATAATGAATCCAAAAGCAGTAACAGCCGGTGAATTATACGGCGAAGTAAATCCGTTTACTTTAGAATGGAGAGATGGTTTAATGGGTATTATGGTAAGAACAGCCGTTCAAGACACCTCCGAAGATCATCAATGGATTATTTGCGATGGTCCCGTTGATGCCGTTTGGATCGAAAACTTAAACACCGTTCTCGATGATAACAAAATGTTATGTCTAGCCAATTCTGAACGGATTAAATTAACGCCTTACGTTCATTTTGTTTTTGAAGTTATGGATTTATCGCAAGCCTCACCCGCAACGGTCAGTCGATGCGGAATGGTTTATGTTGATCCGGAGGAAATGCGTTGGTTCCCTTACGTAAGATCGTGGTCGCAAGAATTAAGCGAATCGATAATTTCACCGGAAATGAAGGATTATTTGTTGGCTCTTTTTGAGAGATACGTTGATGGGGGATTAACGTATGTGAGAAAATATTGTTTATTTGCGATTCATCAAGTAATTAATTAATTTAAAAAGAATTCACTTAGTAATTGCTTTTAAGTTTAGGTTGAAATTAGTAAAATAATGATGCTCTGCGCTTTAATAAAAAGCTTTTTAATCGCACCCGGAGCTGTTGATAGAATCGCCGAAAAAGCGAAAATAAGAAACTTTATATGCCAAACTTTTATATTCTCGTATATTTGGGCTGTGGGTGGTAATTTAGTGCAACAATCGATGGAACGTTTAGAACAATTTATAAGAGATCAATTTGAGGATAACCCCGACGCTAGATTACCACAAGGAAATGATTTATGGGAAGTTTACGTAGACGTTAAAGCCAAAAAAATGGAACCGTGGAATAAAATTATGCCCGAATTTAAATACGACAAAGAAATACCATTTTTTGAAATGCTCGTACCAACCACCGATACCGTGCGATTTGGATTCGTTATGGAACAGTTGGTTACTGTTAATTATTCTGTTATGTACACCGGCGAAACTGGTTTGTATAAAAAAAAATTAAATAAATTAGGAAAAAATAATTTCCTTTAATTTAGGTGTTGGAAAAAGTGTTGTTGCTAAAGTTGTTTTAAATAAAATGTCAGCGACTGGTTTGTACGTTCCGGGGATATTAAATTTTTCCGCCCAAACAAGTAGCGCGCAAACGCAAGAAATCTTGGAATTAAAACTTGAAAGGAAGAAAAAGACTTTGTTGGGGGCTCCAGCTGGGAAAAAAATTATTATTTTTGTTGATGATGTGAATATGCCTAAGTTGGAAACTTATGGAGCTCAAGCACCGATTGAACTTTTAAGGTAAAATCTCATTTATTATATTTATAAGTAAAACAGAAATCTTGTGTACACCTCAGCCGTGATTAATTGTTTATAACATTTTAATGGTTCATATTTAATCACAACAACAAAGTTAGGAATTATATATTTTAATTTAATCTTTATTTTCAAAATTTTGACATAACAAATGACATAAATAAGGACATGGGAAGAACATTAATGCGCAAAATTTAAGGCAGAGGAAAGGATACAAACGCTACATGAGATGACACCTAGTCAGAATGCCAAAAGAGAGAATTCCCGGAAGAGTAATGGAAATGGGAACAGTGGGAAAACGAAGAAGAGGCAGGCTAAGATTAAAATGGGAGGATGGAGTGGAGGAGATAGTGCACAAGAGAGGAGGAAGTGAAGAATATGGCAAGGAAAAGACATAGTTTTAGAAGATGTAAAGAGAATCCCAACAACACCTCAACGTTGTTACCAACACATTTTTTATTTAATCAGTCTAACCTTACTCTGGGCACTGGGTGCTCTGAGAGCTTCTCCAACAAATGCATTAACGATCGAAGCAGGTAAAATATCTATCGAAGTTAGAGCAACACTTCTGTGTGTGGGATTTCTGACTAGAAGTCTTAGCATAATCGATTGTCCAGTGATCAACAGAGTAAATAGGATTTCGCAAATCTTCATCTCACGGCCGTTGCCAAAGAATTGCCCTTTGATTGCTAAAATCTACTTAAAACTCAAGCCTGCTATCCCAAATTTATACAGAAAACAAATGCATGGCATGCACACCGTGGAATATAACAACGGTGGGCAAATGCGGCTTAACGAGCCGCATGCGGCTCTTTGAAAGATTATTTATGGCTCTCGATAAATGTACTCGGGGTCCTTTTTGCATACCTTTTTAATATATACGCATTTAATTGCGGCTCGCGAAAAATTTCGAATTTTCAAAAATGGCCTATCAAGGAGCTTGCCCACCCCTGGAATATAACGTCAGAATGCTGGTACCGATGATAACATTTGTCCCCGAATCATATAAATGCTTAGGATCAAACAGTGGAATGATTAATGTGCTAGGTAAGGAGATTGAGCAATACATAAAGAAACAAGATTCAAGAGACAAAAAGTGTTTCATGCTTGATTTATGTCCTTTCAATTGCAATGTGATAATTATAACAGATTCCAACAGCATACTTGAGCGTATTAAGAACCTAAATCTTAAAAAGAAATTACATCCCTATATCAGTACAGCTTTAAGTCTATTTTTGGCATATCAGAAAGATATAGATATCACACTGGTATGGGTACCGGGGTATATGGGAAATGAAAAAGCAGACAGAGGAGGTGCACAGAGTAAAAATTAATGGAAAAAAATTATAACGGCAAGATATTGATGACATAAACCATCCATGAGAACAAGAGTGGACAAGAAGGAGCTCAATTAAAGGGATTAATATTAAATTAAATTCCATGGTTCAAAAAAGTTCTCTTTAAAAAAAAAGTTCTACACTTCATTACTGGACTGAGAATAGGACGTGCGCTATGCGCCACCTATCTGTTTAAATTAGAATTAAAGATACCCCACAATTCGATTGTGGCGAAGAGTGGTGATCTGTTCATTTTTTCTGCTAATAGCTCCAAGTGTTTCACTATCAAAGCCAGCCCCTTTTTTTTCTGAATAGGCAGCCTTGACATTTGGGAACATTTCATCACTATCACTGGTAGCGTGGCTGATCCATAACTCCAAGTTAGTGCGAAAACTTTCACTTAAACAGAAGAAAGTTCAAAGGTTGCGACTTCTTGGTGAAAAAAGGTTTTGTCGTTTTGAACCTTAATGATGAGGTGTACACAACAGTTAATTATTTTTTTTTTTGAAATTTTACTTCATTAATTCATTATTTTTGTAGACAATTTTTAGATTTTGGTGGTTTATACGACCGCGAAAAACTTTTCTGGAAAGAGATAAAAGATGTGGTAATTTGCGTGGGTTGCGCACCACCCGGTGGTGGTAGAAATCCATTAACACCGCGATTTACCCGTCATTTCGGGATGTTATTAATCCCCCCGCCGAACGAATACAGTCTAAAACAAATTTTCAAGGCGATTTTAAAAGGATTTTTCAAAGACTTCGCGCAGCCGATTCAAGATCTCGCCGATGCCATGATTAACGCCGCCGTAGAGATTTACGCAAGAATCGCTGTGGATCTACTTCCGACTCCCGCTAAATCCCATTACGTTTTTAATTTAAGAGACTTATCGAAATGTGTTCAAGGTGTTCTTCAAGCGGATTCGGGAACTATGCGCGAAGTTACTCAAATTTTACGACTGTTTTATCACGAGTGCTTAAGAGTCTTTCACGATCGATTAATCAACAAAGAGGATAAAAGTTATTTTTATTTTTTAATGCGGGAAACTTGTGGGAAATGTTTTGCGAATCCCGTGCTTCAATTGCCTACGGATACTGACATTATTGAAACGCCACCGGTTTTATTATTTGGTGATTTTATTGTTATGGGGGCCGATAAAGAAAATCGATTTTATGACGAAATGAAAGACATTGTTAAATTGAAAAATGTTTTAAATGTAAGATCTTTTTAAATTTTAATTTAATTTTTTTAAATCATTTAATTAATTTATAGGATTACTTAGATGATTATAATTTAATGAGCTCCAAACAAATGGATTTAATCTTTTTTATGGACGCAATAGAACATACTTGTAGAATAGCCAGAATTTTGCGTTCGGAAAGAGGTAATGGCTTGATGGTTGGAGTTGGTGGAATGGGAAAACAAAGTTTAACCCGCCTATCTTCGCACGTAAACGCTTATAAATGCTTTCAAATTGAGTTGACGCGAAATTACGATCACTCTTCGTTCTTTGACGACTTAAGAAGGTTTTATACTCACGCTGGGGTGCTAAATGAAGACACAGTTTTCTTATTTACCGATACGCAAATCGTTCAAGAAGGATTTTTAGAAGATGTTAATAACATTTTGAATTCCGGCGACGTTCCTAATTTATTCGAAACGGATGAATTAGAAAAAGTTATAATCGGATGCCGACCTGGCGCTAAAGAAGCAGGAATTTCCGAATCGAATCGCGATGCTATTTATACGTTCTTTATAAGTAGAGTTCGAGCAAATCTCCATTTGGTGATTTGTATGAGTCCCGTTGGAGATGCGTTCCGAAGACGATGCAGAATGTTTCCATCGTTAGTAAATTGCTGCACGATTAATTGGTTTGTAAAGTGGCCCGAAGAAGCTTTATTATCCGTCGCACAAAATCAACTAAAAGAAATTATTCATCCAGATCTCGTCGAAAATTTTTCCCAAATATGCGTGTTACTTCATAAAAGTGTCGAAGATATGACAGAGCGATTTTATAACGAAGTTAGACGGCATTATTACACAACGCCAAGCAGTTACTTAGAACTCTTAAAACTCTACAAAAACATGCTCGCGGAAAAAAAAGAATCCATCATCAACCAACACGACCGCATAGCCAATGGATTAAAAAAGCTTTACGAAACCAATTCGGTTATCGATTCGATGAAAGAAACCTTGCAGGTTTTAGAACCTCAATTGGTTAAAAAATCGGCAGCCGTCGCCGAATTAATGAAACATTTAGCAACAGAACAAAAATCGGCCGATAAAGTCCGCGATTATGTAAAGGCCGACGAAGCAGTTGCTAAAGTACAAGCTGAAGAAACTCAAGCTTTAGCCGATGAGGCTCAAAAGGATTTAGCAACCGTTTTACCAGCCATGGAAATGGCAAGTAAAGCCCTTGACTCACTTAATAAATCAGATATTAATGAATTGAGGGTTTTCCAAAAACCACCGGAAATGGTTAAATTTGTTATGGAAGCTGTTCTTATTCTTTTAGGATCAAAGTAATTTATTTTTTATATATTAAAAATTATTAGTTACATATTTATATACAGGTGTCCCAATCATATTGTATAAAGTCATCATAGTCATAAATATTGAGTGTTAAACAATCAAAACAATTTTGATTTGAGGTTTTTACAACGATTTTGCTATTTTCTCTGACATTTTACTAAGTAAAGTGTCACAATGTCAACTTGATAGGTAAAGTATCAAAGTGATAGGTTTGTGTCAAAATGTCAAATTAATATGTTGGAATAATAGTTTCAATGGCGAAAGTGACAGAGAAAATGTCAAGGTGACATTTGAAAGTTCAAAGTAACAGATAGAATGTCAAAATGATAAATTTGACAGTTTAAAGTGACATATAGAATGTCAAGATTACATTATTTGAAATATAGTCAATATTAAGTCAACACAAATTTCCAACCTTCCATACAAAAAACCATATTTAATCACAACTACGCAAAGCATACCAACCCCATCCACACCCAAGCAACATCGTAACCTTGTAAACACAATAACACCAAAACGTTCACCAAATTAGATATAACATTACAACGAAACTTGTATAACAAGTTTGTACAACGCTCAAATAACAATTCTTTGGGACACCTGAATACAATTATATTTATTTAAGCGTTTAAAATTAATTTTAGAACCGATTGGAATTCAGCTAAACAAGTAATGGCCGATGTAAACTTTTTGAAAAAACTCCAAGAATACGATAAGAATCACATGACAGAAGCAATGTTAAAAAAGATTAAACCGTACATTGAAAATAAAAATTTCGTACCGGAAATTATAGAAAAAGTCTCAAAAGTATGTAAGAGTATGTGCCTTTGGGTTAGAGCAATCGATCAATACGCCAAAGTTTATAAAGTTGTTGAACCTAAACGAAAAAAGTATTATATACCACTAAAATTTTAATAAATTTCTCTCTAATTCATTTAATTTTAGATTAGAAGCTGCGGAAACTGAATTAAACCAAGTAATGACACTGTTACGTGAGAAACAACAAAAATTAGCCGACGTCGAAGCTTTCATTCAAAAATTACAAGACCAATTCAATCAAAGCATAGCCGAAAAACAAGCATTAGAAGATGACATGGCATTAACGGCCGCCCGATTAGTACGAGCAGGCCGACTAAACTTAGCGTTAGGAGACGAACAAATTCGATGGGAACAAAGCGTCGAGGATGCCAAAAATCAATTAGTTTCGATCGTCGGTGACATTATCTTAGCGGCTGCTTGTGTGGCTTACATCGGCGCTTTCACCAATAATTATCGCGTCGAATTAACCGATCTTTGGGTACGCCAATGCGAAGAATTAAAAATTCCGCATTCTCCCAATTTCAGTTTAATTAACGTTTTGGCCGACCCATATGATATAAGAACATGGCAAACATGCGGACTTCCCCGGGATAACGTTTCAACGGAAAACGCCATCATGGTCACGAAAGCCGGACGTTGGCCGCTTATGATTGATCCGCAAGAACAAGCGAATAGATGGATTAAACAAATGGAAACTCCCAATGAGTTAAAAATCGTTAAATTAACGGATTCTGGATTTATGCGAGCTTTGGAAAACGCGATTAGAATCGGACTTCCCGTTTTATTACAGGAAGTTGGAGAAACTTTAGATCCCACTTTAGGACCAGTACTTTTAAAACAAACTTTTGTTCAAGTAATTAATTTATTTTTTGTATACCGGGAATTTCATATAACTCGCAATATAGGAATGTAGTAACCATAGTTACGAAACTACTATGCGCTTGCACTGTCCCACATAAAATGCAACATAGCTTTATAGTACAGGCATTCGGTAGTTTTGCAAAGGAAAGGTTTTGTTTGGAAAAGGTAACGTCCTTATGATAACTTTCAGTATCCGTGTTAAGAGACGCATGGCTAAACCCGAATGATTCTAGTTATAGTATTATTATTAATATACTATTAACACAGAGTCTATTGATACACAGTCTATCTAACGACGAGTCGTTATGCATTGAAAGCCTAAGAAAAACAAGGTTATACAAGCCTCATATCGAGGTTTTACTATAATGTCCAATTATATTGATATGTTGCATTTTATGTGAGACAAACTAAGTAGGTACGCCCTGGTTTCTATGGAAATATATTTTTGTATATTGCATCTTAAGTGAAATTCACTGTATACAAATTTATTTAATTGTAGAGTGGGAGGTTGCTAATCCATTTAGGGGATTCCGACGTCGATTACGACACAAATTTCCGATTTTATGTAACAACGAAGTTGGCTAACCCACATTATTTACCGGAAGTTTGCATCCAGGTGACGTTGGTTAATTTTACAGTGACCCCATCGGGATTAGAAGATCAATTATTAGCGTAAGAACCTAAAACATTAATAATGTTTTAATAATTATACAGGGTATTTCTAAATTGATGCGAAAGATTTCAAGAGTTTTTTTAGCGAAAATAATGCTGAGATCAATTTGACATAACTTCATTTCTTTGGCTAATAATAACCAATGTCAGAATTAATTCATTTGAGCCTGTGTATTATTTTATTTTTTTGTGATCAAACTAACAATTTTAGGAGAAAATGTCAAGAGATAACTTTAAATCAAAGTTTTTAAATAGAAAAATGTAGACGCATTAAAAAGTTCTGATGCAAAGTATTAAAGGGGTTGATTTTTTCAGCCCCTTGTAATAATATTTTCGGGTTATAAAAATCATCAAAATGTATCATTTTATTAGCAACAGTTATCTGCCAAATTTCATTCTTCTAAATTTCTTCATAGTGGATTTATTAAATATAAACAATTTTTTCCCCTAACTTTAGAGTGCTATAACTCGGTGGGGAAGGGGTTTTGAACAAAAAGTTATATGAAAGACCTCCCTTAATATTTTGCTCAAAAATCACTCCTTGAAATCAATCGCATCAATTTAGAAACAGCCTGTATAAATATTAGCTTTCCCTGTCGGACATTTTTGAATGAGCTTGAGAACGAAACTAAGTTTTATTTCAACATTTTTTTTCTCAATATTTTCCCAATCCAACCCAACGATTATTATACATCATTTTAAAGAGAAAGCTTTGAGCTTTAATTTAAAATAAGTTTCATTCCTTAATTTCAATAAATACGGCTTCCAGGAATTTTTAAATTAGCATCTTTTTTGACACTTTTAGGTTATACGAAAATGTAAGTTTTGTTTCAACATTTTTTTTCTCAATATTTTTCCAATCCAACCCAACAATTATTATACATCATTTTAAAAAGAAAGCTTTGAGCTTTAATTTAGAATAAGTCTCATTCCTTAATTTCAATCAATACGGCTTCCAGGAATTTTTAAATTATCATCTTTTTTGACACTTTTAGATTATACGAAAATGTTAGTTTTAACTCAATACTATTTTCTCAATATTTTTCTAATTCAACCCATCGATTATTATACATCGATTTAAACAGAAAGCTTTAAGCTTCAATTAAAAAAAAATTTTTTTTCTTAATTTCAATAAACAAGGTTTCCAGGAATTTTTAAATTAGCATCTTTTTTGACACTTAGATTATGCGAAAATAGGGGGATTACATATTTTGCTAAAATGTTATTCCAAAGGCCTTTACTGAGTGTATTTTGATAGCGTTTTAATTCTGTCTGATTCTGTCACAAAGTTTCAAAATGTTTGACTTCTTGGGACACAAAGGGTTAAGAAAGAGGACGCAGTGTAATATTCCAGATGCTTTGTGTAATGTTGAAGATCTGAATGACTTCTTTTTGAGGAGTGTTTCGGACATCACTGACAGCTTACCGCCCAATCCTGCTGTCTTTGAGTATTATTCTAATTTAAATGTTAATAACGAGAAATATTTTAAATTCAAATCGGTATCAACTGATGTAGTAGACAAATTGATCTATAAATTGAAGTCTTGTTCTGAGGGCAGTGATGGGATTCGGGCGGATATGATTAAACTGACTTGTCCTGTCATTTTGCCTTATCTTACACATATTGTTAACTGTTGCATCGTTGAAGGTCCCGAATTGCTGGAAACACGCCTATTCCTAAAAATCAAAACCCATCAAGTTACACTGACTTTAGACCTATTAGTCTGTTTCCTACTTGTTCGAAGATCTTGGAAGGGATATTGAAGTATCCGTTGAATGATTACATTCAAACACCTAATTTTCTGCCTGACTTTCAGTGGGGGTTTTGAAAAAATTATAGCATTGTTACTACTATGACAGAGTTTTTGGATTCTAGTTTTGTTAGATTTTAAGCCGGGCATTTGTCACCGTTAACCACGAGATCCTTCTTTCTATTATTTCTTTGTTTGGTTTCACAGAGTATTATTGAGTGTTATCTTCATGACAGGTCTCAACGCGTAGCTATTGATGGTGTAGTATCTCAGAGCAGATTCATTGCTGATGATGTTCCTCAGGGTTCTATTTTAGGCCCGATCTACACTAGTCATTTATTTAAATGTATTCAACACTGTACACCATATGTTTATGCGGATGACACTCAGTTGGTGCTCTCCTTTCCTCCCTCCGAGTCTGGTCCTGCTATTGACAATATAAATAGAGATCTTAATAGTGTGTTTGTCGCAGCTTCGCAGCATTGTTTAAAAATCAATCCAGAGAAGTCTGTGGTCATGTTTTTTGGCAATAAAAAAATTTGTGCTGAATTGTCTCAGGCTGCTAATATTGCTGTGAATGGCTCAAAACTACCTGTACTTGAAAAATATAAAAGTCTTGGACTTGAAATTTATAACTCTAATCAGATCTCTAAGTATGTTAGGAACTTCATACTTATTGTGCACTGAGACTACTTTATCCACATAGAGCATACTTATCTTTTGATGTTAAACGAAACTTATGTGAGAGTTTTGTACTATCTCAATTTAATTACATGGTGCCAGTTTACCATGTAACAAAAAAGAATGATCCATGTTTTTGTTTTTTTTTTTTTCTCTGCACTTTATATTTTGTTTTTGGTACAATAAAGTTTATTATTATTATTATTTTCAAGGACATTAATTTTTTTTTAAATTTTTTTAGGGATGTTGTGAGATTGGAACGACCAGAATTAGAACAACAACGCACAGAATTAATTGTTCGTATAAACAATGATAAAAGTACGTTGAAAAACATCGAAGTGAAAATCTTGAGGCTTCTATATCAATCGGAAGGAAACATTTTGGATGATGAGGAATTAATCGACACGTTAAACGAGAGTAAAGAAACTTCCGAAGTTATAGCGGCGAGATTAATCGAAGCTGAAACGACCGAAGAAAAAATAACGATAGCTCGCGAAAAATATCGATCCGTTGCAACTCGTGGATCAATTTTATACTTCGTAGTGGCCCAATTGGGCGATATCGACCCCATGTATCAATACTCATTGAAATACTTCAACACGATATTTAACACGGTCATCGAAACCAGCCAGAAAAACGATGATTTAAACATCCGCTTACAAACGCTTTACGCTGAAATTACTTTAGCTGTTTATACGAATATTTCACGCGGGTTATTCGAGCGGCATAAATTAGTTTATAGTTTTATGTTGTGCGTGGCGATTTATCGCCAGAATAAAACGATAACTGATAAGCAATGGAATTATTTATTGAGAGGCCCGGTTGGAGCGAAAAAAGAGTTACCACCAAAACCGAATTATCCTCAAGTATCGGATAACATGTGGGTGGCGGTGAATTATTTATACGCCGCTTTTGATTTGTACAACGAACTACCGGATGAGGTAACAAATGTTATACATATAATGGTTGGGGATTATTCGTTGAGTATTCAAGTGGTGCCCACTTTAAATAAGGATAGCCCAATTAATTGGGAAAAACGATTAAACGACATGGAAAAATTAATGTTAATAAAAACTTTGTGTGAAGAAAAATTGGTTTTTGCCATTACTGAGTATGTCAAGAAAAATCTTGGGAAAGCTTTTATAGAGAGTCCGGCTATATCTTTAAATGTTTTGTATGTTATTTTTTAATTCATTAATTAATTAATTTTATAGGGTGTGGCGAAATGAATGGATTATTCCACAATAATTAAATTTAATCCAACACAATCAGACTTATTAAAATTAAATATTACTGCAAGATTTTCCAAATTCATTTTTCCTCCTCTACTTCCTCCATTTCTATATCTGGTTGCATATTAACCCACTGTGAGTTTCTGCCTCCATTCTGTGTCCAAAATTCACCACATTTAAAGAGAAATAATCGAAAAGGACTCAAAGCAACACTTAACGAGGAACTAATCATAACAAAAATACAGGATGGTTTGGACACCTGATACGAATGAGGGAAAATAACCTGATCAAACAGATATGGGAGGCAGGATGGGATGAGAAGAAGTCCGGGGAAGAGATGAAACCAAAAAATGGGTGATATTTGAAAAAAAGATTTCCAGGATTTTCAAACAACTTCCTGAGATTGAGGAAAACATTATAATTGAAACTTATTGGAAGAGATAGAAATTAAACAAATTTATTTTAAAAACTTACCTTAACTTGGTCCTAGAATCATGGCGACGCTCTTGATTGCTTTGGTATTCATTGCAGTAGTTGTCGGTTATCCTATGGACACGGTTTCAGGAGATGATATTGACCTTTATAGGTTCTGTTGATTACTCTAATGTGGTTGAGATCACTAGATTGCCATGGTGGCGGCTATGACACGGTACCATAACATTGCCTCCTAGCCGGGAACCTAACAAATCATCCACGTCCATTAATTTGGGTTGTATGTCTCAAAGTAAGAATACAATTTCCTGCGAATCAAAAGAAAGTTTCATTGTAAATGATGATAAATAATATTTTCATTTTGAAAAGATACATTTAAACATTTAACTTAGATTTTTCAGGTATTCAGAACCCTACTTAGTACTTACAACAAATTAGGCTGTACTCCTAAAGAACTCCTAGAAAACTAGGCACTTCTAGTAACAAATTAGAAATTGCTTGCAGAATCTAGATCCTGCGGGCAGATAAATATATACCGCCAACAAAGTATTTGATACTGCCAATGGAAAACTTGCTACTGCTGGTAATCGACTATCTGATACAGGACTAGATACTGCTGACAGACGACTGGATACTGCTAATAGAAGAGTACATATAGCTGATAAAAGATTAAAGACTGCTGGCAGAAAACTAGATACTGCTGACAAATCAGTAAATGAGTAGATATTGCTTATAATAGAATAGACACTGTTAACAGAAGACTGGAAACTGGTTGCAAACGACTAGAGACTACTTACAGAAAACTAGATACTGCAAATGGAAGACTAGTTACAGCTGAAAAAGTTGCGTTCTTTTATGAAAGTTTTAACAGTTATTTATCTTGAACGAAGTAACTTTGCCTTTAAGCCATCCAATTAATAAATTCTTACAATTTGTGATAAAAGAATTTGATTAAAAATCCAAACATTATTGACCCACCCTACATCAAATTTCAATTTTATCTAATAAACTTCTTATCCATCTAGATACCACGATATAAACAACGTAATCCCATTAATTTTCGTTTTGAGTACCGGTTCGGATCCTTTCGGTGCTTTCCAACGATTCGCCGCTGAAATGGGATTCACAGATAGAATTCGAGCAATATCTTTGGGTCAAGGCCAAGGACCTGTTGCTGAAAAATTACTCGCAACTGGAATTGAGAAAGGCGATTGGGTTTTCTTGCAAGTAAGTAAAAAAAATGCTGCAAAAATTTGACATGATTAATTTTGAAATGTTTAGAATTGCCATTTAGCAACATCTTGGATGCTTTCCATGGAAAGAATCATATTAAAAATAGCCGAAAATCCGGATACAACCCATAAAGAATTTCGATTGTATTTAAGTTCGATGCCGAGTAAAACATTCCCGGTTTCAGTTCTACAAAATTCCGTTAAAGTGACGAATGAACCACCGAAAGGATTAAGAGCTAATTTAAGAAGAGCCTATTTAGATATGACGGATGATCTGTTTCTTCATCGTAAATCATTTATTATTCGCATTTATTAATATAAAATTTTTTTATTAATATATTTTTTTAGCGTTTTTAAAACGAAAATGGAAAGCTATGGTTTTTGGGCTTTGTATGTTTCACGCTGTGATTCAAGAACGAAAAAAATTTGGTCCATTAGGTTGGAACATCGTTTACGAATTTAACGATAGCGATAGAGATTTCGCTTTTAACACGTTAAAAATGTACTGCGCAACCCCACCGATTCCTTGGGATGCATTAATTTACATAACCGGGGAAATCACTTACGGCGGAAGAGTTACAGATAATTGGGATTTAAGATGTCTCAAAACGATTTTAAGTGGATTTTTCGCCCCGGCCGCCGTTAAAAAGAAATATGTTTACTCGAAATCCGGAACATATTATTGCCCCGTTGCCGAAAATATCGAGGAATATCGCGAGTTCATTAACCAATTACCCCTAATAGAGGAACCAGAAATTTTCGGGATGCACGAAAATGCCAACATTGCTTTTCAAGTAAAAGAAACTCAAGCGATTATTAGGACTATTATGGAGAGTCAACCGAGAGCTGGCGGAAGTGGTGGTGGAAAAAGCAGCGATGAAATTGTTTTTGAATTATCTGAAATGGTTTTGGAAACGATTATTAAAAAGATTTCTATGGAGGAACCATTTCCATCTTTAATGAAGGTTGGTTATGCTTTCATGCGTTAGTTGTAATTTAATTATAATGAAATTTTTAGAAAGATGATCAAAATAGAATGCCTTCATTAACGACTGTTCTTTTACAAGAAGTGGATCGTTTTAATAAATTATTAAAATTAATCGATAACTCAATGATTAACCTCCAAAAAGCCATTAAAGGATTAGTCGTCATGTCTGAACAATTAGAAGAAGTTTTTAATGCATTTATCAATAATTCCGTAAAATTTAAAGCTTATTTAAATGTCCTCTTTATTATTATTATTATTTTAGGTCCCCAAATTATGGTCAAGTCACTCATATCCGTCACTAAAAAGTTTAGGAAGCTGGGTACACGATTTAGACATGAGAACCGATTTTATTTGCGTTTGGATCCGCAGCGGACATCCAACTTCATATTGGATTTCCGGTTTTTACTTTCCACAAGGTTTTCTAACAGGAACCTTACAAACGCACGCTAGAAAATATAATTTGCCCATCGATCAGCTTCGATTTGAATTCAATCCGTTAAAGAGAGTCGTTGATCAAGAAGATCTGCATGATGCTCATGTTGCGGCCGATGGTAAAGAAGTTCCAAAAGCATATGGTGATTTGGTTTATCCAAAGGATGGTGTTATCGTACATGGATTGTTTTTAGATGCTGGGAGATGGGATATGCGAACTATGTGTTTGGTTGACCCCAATCCAGGTAATCTTGAAAATATTCCATTAGTTCTAGTGACAGTGGTAGGTAGCGCTAGTTAGCATAAGATGTCACTATGTTGCATGTTTTTATTGCACTAAAACTAGAACTAACACAAGACCTAGACTAGAATCATTCGGGTTTAGCCGTCTTGAAAGACGTGCGGCTAAATCCGAATGTTTCTAGTTCTAGGTCTAGTGCTTGTTCTACTTTTAAATGTTGTTTAGCGTTAGATTGTGGTATATTTTGATTGAAAGAAAAGTAGAACTAACACTAGACCTAGAACCTGGAATATTCTGGTTTAGCCATGTTGCATATTTTTATTGCACTAAAACTAGAACTAACACTAGACCTAGAATTAGAAACATTCTTGTTTAGCCGTGCGTCTCTTAAGGCTAAACCCGATACTTTCTAGTTCTAGGTCTAGTGTTAGTTCTAGTTTTACACTAACACTATCACTAGAACTAACACAAGACCTAGACTAGAATCATTCGGGTTTAGCCGTCTTAAGAGACGTGTGGCTAAATCCGAATGTTTCTAGTTTTCGGTCTAGTGTTAGTTCTAGTATTAACACAGAGTCTATCGATACACAGTCTATCTAACGACGCGACGAGTCGTTATGCATCGATAGCATAAGAAAAACAAGGTGTTTTAACCGAAAATATACGTTGTAATCTCACCTAGTTTAATAAAAATAACTTTACTTTTAAGTTTATCAGATTGATTTTTTGCGTGGCTATGGTTACTATACTTGCTATGGCTAGGTGTTGACCGGCTTAATAGGAAAATGCGTGGTTAACATTGCTTGTGACGTCACAAAACGTGATATCACATCGAAACTTTAATGTGACATTATGACACATAATGATTGTTGAATTTTTCCAAAATTAGATTTAATATCAATTCTACCTGTCATTAATCGCCGTTTTTTTCATTTTCAAGTTTAAATTAGGCTTCTAGGTTCCATTGCCAAGCCTTATCATTGTGAAGAAGAAGAAGAAGAAGCTTCTAGGTTAAATTTCTATTCAAACAAATCTTGACGTTTAATGTCTTAACCTTCAAAAACAACAATAATTTTATATTAATAATTGTTTAAATCAATCATAATTATAATAACAATACCAATATCTTCCTTAACAATTTCTTTTCTTAACAGTTCACGAGATGTGCGCAATTTTAACAATTAAAAAGTTTAAAGCTTAATCAAAATATACATTGATAATGGCGCCCTCTATCGATGAGTAGCATTTACTAAAAAATATGCTTAACAATTTATTAAACATATTAATTCACTTAATTTGTTTATTGTAAATATTAATATTTGCAAATTAATCTAATTTAAAATATTTTACTTAATATAAACCAATTACATTCAAATTCGCCACAAATAATTTATATAAATTCAAATAAGCGCCCTCTTTCGTTGTGTAAATTAATCTTATTTAAATTAATTTTATAATTTATTATTTTTTAGGTGAAATAAATCCTCCACTTCCAGCATTTAGATTAGAACCAACTGTATCAAAACTTTCCGATGATGATAAAAGATATCTTTGCCCGCTTTATAAAACTTCAATAAGGGCTGGTGTGTTATCTACAACCGGACATAGCACAAACTTTGTTTTACCGTTTTTATTACCGTCTCAAGAGGACAGCAGTTATTGGATTTTAAAAGGAACTGCTTTATTAACGCAGATAACCAATTAATTTTTAATAATCTTTTATAATGTTGTTATATTAAACCGATTTTTACTTTTTTAATTTGTAAATAAAACGATTTCATTTATATTTTCTTTTAACTTAAAGATTTATTCAAATGTCTAAGATTACAAAAAAAATCTTTTTTATTTTTTGGATTTCTTCGCTTCCTTCGGGGCTTTTGTAACGTCATCTGTGTTTTCTGCAGCTTCCTTAGCGCGTTTGGCTCTGATTCCAACGAGACGTGCATCAGCTCGTGCCTTCCTCAATGCGGTGAATGCACTGAATTTCTTCTCATCCTCAGAAGGTACCTTCGCTTTCGTTCTAATAACTGATTTGGAAATTGGCAAAACTTCGCCAATCAACTGAGAAGCAACTTTACGTTCCTCTTCTGTTGCTTCACCAGCACGCAACTTCTTCTTATTATGTTGTGGGAACAAAATCAACTTGGATTTGTATTCTTTCAAACGTTGAGCATTCAATTGGAGAGACTCGACGGATTTATTCCTTCTACGATAATCGACTGCAACTCCAACGGAACGAGCAAAAGATGAGTTTAACCCAGCTGCTTTCAATTCTTGGAGAGTAAATCCACGACCAGCCCTCACTTTAGTATGATATCTAAATAAAAAATTCAAAAAAAAATGAGGTTATGTTGATTAAAAAGTTATTTCCATAGCATACCTGATTGTAGGGCATCGAACTACCGGTCTTAATGGACCAGCAGCGGGTCTAGGAGCGATAGCTTTAGCTTTTTTAATCCTATTTTGCCTTCTGCGGAATTTACGGGCCGGTTGATTAAACCATGTTTTCACGAACCTTTGCCAATCCTTATGGAAATGGCCATTCGGAATCATATTATTACCTTTCGGAGCCATATTTTATATTTAAACGCAAGCTGTGCGTTTCTATAGGCGAAAATTGTTAAAATAAATCATAAAATTCAAGTTAGAATTAGTTTATTTCATAAAATGTGGAACTTACCTCGACACCACAACACGTTTTCGGTAAAAGAGAAGTAGGCTTAGTGCGCCATCTAAACACCGTAACAAAATCAACCGGGAAATTCGAAATTTCCCTCAAAAATAATTATTTTGCGTTCAAAGAAGCTTTATTTATAAAATTATCGTTTGATAAATTGAAATAAGTATATTATTCTTTAAAAATATATTGATTTTGATTAAATTAAGAAACGATTTTTAATTAAATAGCAAAAAATCGACATATGCGAACTTCATGTTAGTTCCTTTTAACCGGATATAACCAACAGAACAACTTCACGTTTATTTTTGAAGTTAACCTAAAATAATGTCTGGGGATTTAGATAAATCTATTATTTATCTTACAGAAGTGGAAAAGTTAGGACAGGATATTTTAACACAAAAAGAAACAAAATTGCAACTCTCCAACGCGCAAAATAAATTCAGAGAAGCGTATAGGGCTTTACAAGATTGTCATGAACGAAAAACTTGGTTAAAAGTCGGATCTGTTTACGTTCAATTACCTGTTGAGGAATGTAGAGGTATTTTAAAAGAAGGTGCGTTAAATATTTCTTCGGTTTAATATTTAAATTGAACTATTTAAATTTTGGTTATTTGGCATTTATGTCATGTTGGTGTATAATTGGTTGCATATCTTAAATGTTTAGTTTCTAAATTTATTTATTTTTTTTTAGAAATAGATAAAGTAACGATCGATATAGATAATTTATATGAAAACATAAAAGATAATGTTTCTAAATTGCGGGATTTAGAACATTTACCAGGAATTGAAGGATTTCGGTTAAAACCAATGACTGGGAAAGAAGCAGATGCGATCCACAAAGCCTACGGTTTTAAATAAAACCATGCAAAAATACGGAATAAATTATTATATTTGTTGATTGAATAAATCAGCTACATTTTTAGTAGGTTTTGGTAAATTTGCATATTGTTTTGATTCTTAATGTCGAATTAATTCTGTTTTCCGCATCATTCCCCTCCAAAAAACAATATATTCGATTTCCTTTTGACTTTGAACTTGTCTTTTGACTTTGGTGAAATTTAGTAGTCGAAGACGGCGCCAGAAACGTTTTGACCTCGGGGCCAATTTAAAATAGATGGTGAAAAAAAAGCGATTTCACCTTTGTAGCGGAATCTGGAAGGATTTAAGTTGTTACATGTGAAGAAAGTTGTTATGGTATCGGAGGACGATGACGATTAACAGGTCGTTGGTCTCTGTGTAAATGTAAAAGTGAAATTTATTTTATTTTTAATTAATTATTTGGAGATGATTTATGATTATATTAAAAAAAATATTTAATTTTCGATTTATATACGAAACTGCTGAGTAAATTTTTAAGCGTGGTTAATTAGTTTTTGAGGTCACAATGTCTTTGAACAATAACCCACAACAACTTCAAACTTTTCTTTTAAACGCAGAAAAAAGTCCCGATTTGTTTCGCTTAATATAAATTAAACCCAAATTACGTTTAAACTTCCCAGTTATTTCCTAATAATCGTAATAACAAAATTACAGTTAATAGTACAATTTTTGATGACATTGCTTTGGTAAATTGGAATAATGATTTATCGCCAGGATGAGTCACTTAAAATAATCGATGTAGAAAAAAAAAGATGTTTCAATACACTTTGAACGGTGTCGTAAAAAAGTATGTAACGATAAGAAAATGATTCACAATTATTTTTTGGTGAATTTCAATTTTGTTGGTTTTGTTTCAATTACTCCGGGTGTTAAACTTTCTCCTTTTGAAAACATTTTCGCAATACTCGACCCGTTTTCACTGTCAATGTTAATCGACCCACGAACCGCTTTGCATTCATCGCTATGTGTCGTAACATATTCCGAGATTTCTCCTTTTAGTTAATGCTTTTAAATTATTATTGGTATAAACAGAAAATTTACCAAATTTTATTACAAAAATTAATTATTAAGTTATAAACAATTTTATCGTATTTATTGCGCAATTCTGAAGTAGCATTTTCTTTTTCAGCCTTAATCTTAAAAGAAAGACAGAGAATGTGAGATTAAGCTCAGCGGCACGCGATCAGGAAGTGCGAGAGGAGATAAAGGAAGCTCCCAAGGTCGTGGTCGAGGAAGGGAGGAATCCAAAAAAATGGATTTATGACCAAGTTAAATCATTTGGTGAGTGATATTAATTCCTTTATTGTTCTAAAATTATTCCGTTTCGTGAATAAATCAATTTGTAATTGGTTTAACTGTAAGAGCAACATTTTTGTCAATATCAGCAGTTATTTTAGTTTCTGATTCAGTGTTAAAGAGTTTAAACGTCATTTTAGTTTTATCACTAAATCTCACTAACGTCTTTAATTTACAAGATGATATTTCACATTTGCATCTCTTAATAAAATATAATATAAATGCATCAACAAGAATAAACTTGCTTGAAAATTATAGTATAAAATAATTTATATCTGGAGCGAACTCTGAAATGAGGCTGTTCGTAAACAACCTCTCCTTACAGCTCGCACAGACTACATCACACCTACTTTCTTAAACGGGCCACATTTTGGCATTGAAACGATACCCTAGAGCAACTTTAGCATAGGTAAAATGCTGGCCATCTACACTGATGGATCAAAGAATCTCCAGAAGAGATTAACACCTTTCCCTTTCGCTAGGGTTGTACTTAGGCCGAAATAACTGCTATAAATATAGCAGCTAATGTGATCATGGACTCCAAACAAGTTGGCAGACACGTTGTAATTTGCACTGATAGCAGACAGGCTATGCTAGCGCTTAGTAGGCATCGAACTACATCATCGTTAGTGAAGTCCTGTCGGGAATCACTTGAGGAGGCTAATGTTTATAGCAATGTCACGATAAAGTGGCGGAAAGGACATACAACACTAATTTTCTATTAACTTATTATGTTTTTTCAAAAACCTCATAATTCAATGCTGTATGTGGACTTTTGTCCGTCACTGTACCCTTCTGTTCTACATTAACGTTCATTAAAACCTTGGGTTGATTTTTTGACCCCTGAATGAACTGTAAATTGTGGGAATGTATAAAGGGCCGAAGTGCTGTGGAGGAATTCACCGCCACATGAAACTACACATATAGTTCATTTTTTTCTATAATACCTGTCAAATTGTTGTAAAGTTGGCAAAATTAACAGGGAGTTTTGTTTTATCATGTTTTGAAGAAAATATGTCACATTGACGTTTGAGCTTTCGTTATTCAAAAAGAAAAGGTGCATAAAAAGTGTTGTGGGGTGTTTATTTGCCATTTATTTACCTAGAAAAGGTATTTTATTCTATTAATTACTTTGTAGCACGTTTTTACAACAAATATGTACTTCGTTAAAATCGTATTTATCTAAAAATTTATTAGTATTTTAACCTCAACTAATTAGTTACTGAAAATGTTACTAAAAATCATGAAAACAACATAAATTTTATAAGGGTCCTAGATAATACCAACAGAAACCCTAAATAATTTACATTGACAAGTATTATAGAAAAAAACGAACTATACAATTTATATCTGTCAAATTGTTGTGAAGTTGGCAACAGTTTGCAAGATTAACAGGGAATTTTGTTACCTCAAGTTTTAAAAGTCAATTTATGTCACAATGACGTTTAAAATTTCTTTATTCAAAAAGATAAAATTTAGTGTTTGTTTATACACAGATTATTGAAATAAAATTGGACCTTATAGATTTTAACATATTTTAAATTCTAAAAGTCTGCTGGTATGCTGTTAGAAAATCATTCATGACTATGATTAATAAACGAAAACGGTTTGCATTTGCAAAAAAATGCCAAAGTAAGGATTTTAACTTCTAGAAAATGGTAATTTTCACAGATGAGATTAAATTCAATATAAAAATATCGACTGGACGAGTAAGAATTTGTCAAAAGAAAACCAAGAGTCTATATCCACATAATCTGATACCTATGTTCAAGCGTGGTAGAAATTTGGTGATGATATGGGGATGTTTTTCAGCGGCAGGAGTCCGAAATCTTCATTTTGTAGTTTTTAGATCATGTACAACTGTTCAGAGCATCTCAAACCACCATCACAAAGCTCAGATTTTAATCCTATTGTGAATATTCAAGAAGAAATTGAATTATTATGATATTAAAAACGTAATCGACATAAAAATAGCATTGAAGATAGAATGCACTAAAATACCACCTCAATTAACCACAAAACTAGCGGAATCGATGCCGAGGTGTCTAAGTGCTGTTGTTAAACAAAGAGGCATGCAGCAAAGTTTGGGTATTATTCCAAAAGTATAATTTTCTTAGATATTATTAAAGTTTGTAATGTTCGAATACGGTTTTTGGCGTCAACTGTTATTAAAATGTCCTTTTTACCATTCGGCTGTCAAACTATAGAGATAACCAACCTATCTACTTTTGCTTTAACTCTTCTAAGTGAAATAAATCATAAAAAATATTTGAAATTTCTACTACCAGTAATTTCTTGAGTAATTTTTTAATGTTTCGGAGAGTGTTCGAATACGGACTTTGCATACTGTACATTTTTTACACCTTTTGAAAATGAATATTTTAAACTAACACTGCTGTGCAGCAAACGCTATTATCGATCCAACTGACGTCGGAGACCGTCGCAAACAGTCGACGCCGCGACGTCTCCGTCTCCGACCTAAACCCCAAGGTATTTTTCGTTCGGTCATTTCCTGAAAACAAACACTAAAAGAAATCAAAATTTCACCGTCTACCTCGAAAGAAAACATTCCATTTCTAATCCAGATTAACCAGAAAAGAAGTAACGTTAAACGTTTAGTGTGTAAAATAGAAGTGAATTAAAAATTTTCAATTAAGGATTAAAATCATGGATTGTCAAGTTTACGTAACCCGCATAAAGGTAAATAATAAACTTATACAATACATACATTAATAAAAAAAAAATTGTTTTTATTCATTTGGCATTGAAATGTTATAAAATCGTTTTTTTTTATTACTTGGCTTTTAGATTATTATTTTTTAGAATAATATTTCAAACGTAATATTTTAATTAAATTTTTTTATGGTACTATTTAATATGAAATTATTTCGAAAGTTAATTAATTGTATAATTTTTACCTTGCAATCTGTATAATTTATGCGAAATTGAAATCAGTTTCAATAGGTTGCGTTCTTAAGTAATTAATTATGAATTTTATGATTTTTAAAAAATTTCACTAAATAATGTTTATTAAGATATTTGAAAACAAAGCTTTCATTTTAATGTATTATTTATTAAATTATTAACAACATTTACATCGAGATGAGGCTTCACCTTCTATAACGTAAAAAATACATTAATTTTTTTTAACGTTTGTTTTGAAGCCGTAAAATTATATTTTATAGAGAAGTTTCCTTTCCTAGAATAAGTAAACAGGTAAGCCTTGGGGTGATTGATATCGGTCACTTTTATTTCTTTTTGGATGGACATTTTGCATAGAAATTGTGTGTCAGTTATTTTGTATAGCAGGTAATTTTTAAAAAAACACGCATTAGTTTGAGTGTCTTTTAAAAGAATTTAAGCATGTAGACTTCGAATTATCTTTGTTAGATAAAAGAAGAGCAAGTATAAAATTCCACGTAAATCTCTTTGATATACATACCTGGATGCTCCTTTTCTAACAAGAGAGTAATAAATCGTTTTTAATTTGCTTTCACAGACTTTAGTGTTATTCTGAAAAAAAAAAAAGGAGTTTACGATTGTCAGAATGCCCAAAATGACGAGCTCAACAAACTTGTACGGCAAAGTTCTCTACAAAACCATTTAACAACTTGAAAAGTTCTGACACCGATGGTGCCCTTGAGGCTCTTAAAGTCTTAGCTAAAGCTCCTGATATTTTTGTGGCTATGTATAACGCTTACATGAAAGAAAGAGTTTTTCACCAACTTTCTATACTATGCACGAATGCTATTATCGATGTTTTTTTAAGATTCTTGGAGTCGCAACGCATAAACCTAACTATTAGGGACTAAGAAGTTAAAGCTAAAATAGAAGAAAAGCAGAAAAAAGTTGGTATTTTAAAATATGGCAAAACAAATAAGAACACTAGCAAATAGGATTATGATCTGCGTGATTAATATCTGATATTGCCGTTTGAAAGGAGAAAAAAAGCACAAGAATCTTCTCTGGTCTGTAAAACCATTCGGAAAAATGAAGGAAAAGAATAGTATGGATTTGATAAAGATGTTGGACTCATACCGAATCATTAATAGTTGCTTTGATGGCCAGCTATGAAATAAAGTGAAATAAGATGTGTAATACGCTAAAACTAGAATGGCTAAGTTAAGTAAATATCCCAAGTTTCTTCAAAGCGAAATAGTTGTTGAAGTACATTTTAGATAATTATTGTTGGTGGAGAAACGCAGTTTTACCAAATGTTGATGAAAACAAAATAATGAAGACGCAAAGTTATGTTAGCGTCTATTAATATCTGATTTTTGATAGATAACTCTTGATAGATACCAATAACACAACTCGTAATTAGATTTAACCAGATCTAAGTCAAGTAGAAATTCTCGGAGACTATACTGACCATGTTCTAATTTCATAATCTACTTACTGATGGATGGTGGAGTCATAGTTTTCATATAAACTTAAAAGCACATAACTTTTATTCAATACTTTATTTCAATATTCAACACAGCTTGTTACTCGAGCATAGTAGTGGAATGGATTTCCGGCAACTATCCGGCTTTGGCTGCCGAAATTAAAGTATCCTCTTTTTAATGTAAAAAGCCGTTTTGAAAAATCACTTTCAGTTTTTAAGAAATAAATTTTTGAAATGATCGAAATTTTTTCGAATTTTGCAATTTTCGCCGATTAAGATTAAAAAATTCGTATAAAATCCAGTTCTTGGAATATGAGTATGAAAACTTCCCAAAGTGATAATAAAAGTGTATTCTTTCCAATAAACCAACCCGTTTTGAAAAATGGCTTTTAGTTTTTGAGAAAACAATATTTGAAGTTTTGATAAAATTTTCGATGTTTCAATTTTCATCGATAATTTTCAAAATTCGCTATAAAATTAATTTCTTGAAGGATCCTTGTGGAAATATCACCAATTAATAATTAAAATGTCCTCTTTTTAATGCAACAAGCCGTTTTGAAAAATCACTTTTAGTTCTTGAGAACAAAATTTTTGAAATAATCGACAATTTTTTCGAATTTTACAATTTTCGCCCATTAAGTTTTATAAATTCGTATAAAATCCAGTTCTTGGAATATGAGTATGAAAACTTCCCAAAGTGATAATAAAAGTGTATTCTTTCCAATAAAACAACTCGTTTTGAAAAATAGCTTTTAGTTTTTGAGAAAACAATATTTGAAGTTTTGATAAAATTTTCGATGTTGCAATTTTCATCGATAATTTTCAAAATTCGCTATAAAATTCATTTCTTGAAGGATCCTTGTGGAAATATCACCAATTATTAATTAAAATATCCTCTTTTTAATGCAACAAGCCGTTTTGAAAAATCGATTTTAGTTTATGAGATATAAATTTTTGAAATGACAGACAATGTTTTCGAATTTTGCAATTTTCGCCGATTAAGTTTTAAAAATTCGTATAAAATCGATTTTTTGGAATATGAGTATGAAAATTTCCCAAAGTGTTAATAAAAGTGTCTTCTTTCCAATGAACCAACCTGTTTTGAAAAATACCTTTTAGTTTTTGAGAAAACAATATTTGAAGTTTTGATAAAATTTTCCATGTTGCAATTTTCATCGATAACTTTCAAAATTCGCTATAAAATTAATTTCCTGAAGGATCCCTGTGGAAATATCACCAATTATTAATTAAAGCATCTTCTTTTTAGAGTTGAAAAGTCTAACTCAAATAACTCCATATACAGTTTCTTAGAGGCCTCGGATATATCCACTAAGTGTGATTCAAACACTGATTTCATAGAATGAGTGTGTTCGTCAAAATCTTTTTACTGTCAGGTTTCCTTGCTCACCTCCAATACACAAATATTCAGTCTTCTTAAAATTTACTATAATACCACAGTTTTCATATTTATTATGTAGTTGTGAAACGTTTTCTTGGCATAAATTCAAATCCATTTTATTCTGTGCAATAACTATTTGGTCATCATTGGCATTTAGGTTAAATCTACATGCATGAGTGTGGAAGGGCTCCATTGAGTATCTTGTACAATTCCTTTTGTCACACCAAGCTACGGATTTTCTAAAAGCAAGAATGCAACGCTAAAGGTTATATCAGATGCCTACCATGCGTGGCTACTCATCTCTATAGTATTTAAATTTTAACTCCTTTAGGGCCAGTTTTACAATAGTGGTTTAAACTACGTTTAACTTAATCTATGGTTAAGTAAAAAAATGTTTTACAGCTACCGTTTAACGTTAAACTACGGTTAGAATCGACCAGTAGTCATCGACCGTTTAAGTGCCAAAACTTAGTTTACGCGTACCAGACCAAACCTCTTTTCTTTATATAGTTGGTGCACGGTTCACATTTGTTCAATTTGTGCCTAGTGAAAAATTGTTTTAATATTTTGTATACCTAATAAATTAAAAAGGACGAACAAGGATATAATCAATTTATGTAAGTAGTTACTTTTTTAAAGTAAATTTAATTTGAAAATGTTTTACAAAGCTTCAAATAGGTTGGAAATGTACCTATAATTAGATAGTCTAAAACGTTCCAGAAACTCTTGGTCTGACCATTTTTCAAAATCACGAGAAACTTTTGCTTTTCTAGGAAAAGCCACCATTTCAACTACTTCTAAGAAATCTTCATCGTCCGTGAGTTCATTAAATATATTATTCATAGTTAAAAAATATTTTTACAAAATGAAAATCAAACAGTTACAAAATACAAAATTAAGAGGTTATAATTTTGACAGATACTAAACAATGAAGTTAGTTATATGTACAATATGAAATTGACACTCACTACCAACTGTAGTATAAATAACTCGTTGTAAAACATAATTTTTGTAAAACTTAGTTTAAATTTTAACTACCAATTAGTTAATCCGACACTTAAACTATGATTGTAAAACCGGGCCTTATGTTTTTTTCTTCTCCTAAAGTATTTTATATAGAATGTTGGAACACTTTGCATGTTTGAGAAAGTAAAAATTATTCATCAGATTTAGATGTAATATTTTCTCTCAAATTTGGCAAATTAATATTCCCTTCAATAAGTAACTTTCTCCTGATTTAACTTTCTTCGTTGTGTTATAATTTCCGAGATCTTACCGGAATATCTTAACTTCATTTAATCCGTTTGATTCTCGTTAAGCTAAAACAAAACTATTACATCTCAATTAAAACTTGTTTCAATTATTCGTAATTAAAGAAAATCTATTCAGCTTTAATAAAGAAAATGACTAAATTAAAAAAAAAAATGTAAAATCATCGATCAATTCCAAAAAAACAAAAAAAAATGAAATTAAACGGTGATTTATTATCTTGTTTGGAATAAAACTGACGTAAAAATCTCAGATAATCACTTGGAAAGCAAAACGTAATACAGCTTGCAAGTAAACGTCACCGATGACGTTTATCTGTCGTTACTTGAATCGGCTTGAATAGAATTAAAATTGAAAAAAAATAACACTTGGCATACTCTCCCAAACGGGAAGTGAAATTGCGAAAGTCCAAAGAGAGTAAATTCACTCTGTAAGAGTGTAAGGTTAAGTTAGTTACGATTGTACGCGTAACGAGTGCCGTTCACTTCAACTCAACTTCACTTCCGTTATAAATAAAAAAGTTAAAAAAAAGTAGATTAGTCACTTGTAAATGTTGCAATAACGTTTTATAAGTAGAATTTCATAAAATATCGTCATTGATAAGAAAATTAAAATTAAAAATGTATTATTTTAAAGTTGGCGCATGTGTGAATTTGTGACGAATCACGTGACCCTTGGATTCAGTACGGTTTGGTTCAGTTTATTTGCGAACGTGGGCGCTGGTGTATCACGGTTTTAACACACCAAGAATATAACAATAATTTATTGATAAATCGCCAATTATTTTTTATAACGGAAGAGTTTTAACGGTGTTTGTGAAACAATTCGATTTTTTCGGATTCTTAGTGAAAATTACTTCTCCACAAAACAAGGAATCAAAGACAACAGGTAATAAACATGTTTTTTTTCTTCTTTTGATGACCCTTTCCTTTTTTAGGTACGTTTCCGCATTGATTTCTTTTTGAGGTTATAAAAAAATTGTGAAAGGTTGAGGTGAATAAGCTTTTTAAAAAGAAGAAATATTTGTAGGTTAAGAATCTTTTTTAAAGAATGAATAATTTGGTTTTAGATTTTCTTCTTTGTAGAGATTTATCGTTTTTATCACTCAATTTCTGTTTACTTAAAGGAATTGGAGCAATGTCAGGAATGTTTATAAATTTAAGTGGGTTATAAGATTTTTATTGTTTTGAGGTTAAAAACGTTCTTAAATTTAACATAAAAATTATCTAAAAATAAAGCCAAACAGTTAAATTAAGATGGCTTTAATTATAAAGTTTGATATAACTCAATAATTTAATAACAATTTAATTATAAATTATCGATATTAATTTTTTAGGTTAGATTGATTGAAAGAAATCTGAGATTATTGGACATAAATTCCTCAGTAGGTTGTGTATATTAACAATATAAACATGAATTGAGGTTATGTTGAAAGAAAACTCTAGGATTAGTTTACATCGAGATTTTGTATAATTTTAAACATTTTTCTAAGAAACTAAAAGTATATTTAAAAAAATATATTTAATAAAATTCAAATTTGAGGTTGAATTCGTAAGTAAGAGATGCAAATGAATAAATCTTTTTACTTTATTAACATTAAATGAATAATTAATGTGATGGATGTGCCAGCAAATATACTCAAATCGTGGAATTAAACTGCACAAGGTCATCCTCACTTCCTTTTCAAAACTTATTGAAAATTTTATCTAACTAGATAATTAGCTATGATGTGCTCCTTAAACTTAGTGTTTATAACTTTAGAAGAATCAAGTTCATTTATTGTCAAAAGAATTTCTTTTAAACATTTCTCATACAGGTGGTCAAAAATTGAATTACCGCTTTCCCCACTTCAAAAAAAATTTAAAATCACTTACCAATCACTTTTATCAAAGTTTCTATATTTTTTTGCGTTTAATAAAAACTAGCATTCCATTTAAAGTAGCAAAGTTGTGGTAGTAAATATTTACTTTTTATCTCTGTTATAATAATATATTATGCAATTTCTTTTTTTTTGCTCTGGTTTAGACAAACAAATCAGCTGTATTCTTTTTGTTTTGGTGGTCTGTCTTTTCTCATAAGATTTTTTTATTCTTTCATAACAAGACATGTGTTAAAAAAAGTATTAACGCACAAGAAAAGCGTGTAATCTGACATAGATAATTTCTCTTTATTATTAGAAACTCAATATAAAACCTGGGAATTCAGCGCTATTCTTTATAATATATGAATTCCTACATTTTGGTTCAAATAGTATATGCGAAACATTGTATATATCTTCGCCAGTGCATAAAGAAAAATGTTATCAATACCCTCTTATTGTTACTTCAACGACGCTTGTATATATTTTGTTTATACTTTGTTATTACTTGTATACAGGGTGGTTCAGTTTTTAATTGGGAAACTTTACTAGGACGTAATACTTGCCAAAATATCACAAGTTTTTTTATAAACATAGGGGCTGTTTTCGAGCTATGAGCTGTCAAAGTTGAGCCAAAAATTTACATTTTATCTTTTATTTCGGGTATAAATAACCGTAGAATTTGAAATTTTGTAAGTATGTACTACTGGTTAATACCTTATTTTCTACCATATCTTAAACTTCCCTAGCGCCCTCTGAGGGGATGAAATTCACAACCCCTTTGATTTTTTATAACAACATGGCACTACATTTTATTTTTTTACACGGAAACTATTAACTTTAAGGAAAATACTAAAGAGACAAAAAAGTACCAGTAAAGAATGAGCTTTACAACCCATATTTTTTATCTTAATATTCCATAGCGTTAAAAAGTTCTTATAAAAAAATCAAGAGGGTGGTGAATTTCATCCCCTTAGAGGGCGCTAGGGAAGTTTAAGATATGCTTGAAAATAAAGTCTTAACCAGTAGTAAATACGTACAAAGTTTCAAATTCTATGGTTTACTCTCAACTGAAATACAAAACAGAATATAAATTTTTGGTTCAACTTTGACAGCTCATAGCTCGAAAACAAACGATTTGCGTCGCTACGTTTTTATAAGAAACTTGTGTTATTTTGGCAACTTCTGATTAAAAACTGAACCATCCTGTATACTTCTTTTATATATTCCTTGAAATGAAATCAATCTTTTTATAGCATCAAAATTCCTCAATTGCATATATTGATGATGAACACAATATAACGCCTCGATCACAAGCGACCTCGACTTACTTTCTTAGATCGCCTACAGCCAAGGTGTTGCAATATTCTGATCAAATATATATATATAATGATATAATATTAGTTACAAAGTCTTATGAAAACAATTAACAATGATTATCATATTATTCCAAAAATGATCAACATAATATAATGCCTCGGCTGTAACCAACCTCGGCTTGGTTCCTTGGATCCATCCTTTTGACGTAGTCACCTGTGGCTGATTCGAGCCAAAATGGCGGTTTGATACCTTGTCGGTGCATGTTACCACTTATTTACAAAAATAATGCCGTCTTGTTGCCTTTGGAGTTGCAAAAATAGTAGTAAGAAAGGCTTTCGACTCTTCAGAGTACCACGAGAAAAAAAAAAGAAAGGAAATTTGGCGTAATTTAATCAACAGAACGGCATAGTTTTAAATTTCCCGCTTGACTTTCGAGCCAATATGGCGGCAAACCGGCAAATACGTTGATCAAATTTAGGTTGATATGATATTAATTGTTGAGTCTAGGTTGCAAACGACCTCGGCTAAATTTAGAGCAAAAAATCTAAGTATCCTGATTGTTGTGGAAATGCTTAAGCTGTGATTCAAAAGTTGATCAACACAATATAGCACTTTAACCGCAAAATTAGTTTCATGAATTCATAATTTTTCCTGATTAAGCGATTACATGTGAGGCATGAAGTCGTAAAATCTTTATCAGAATAACATATATTACTTTCATTAAATCCCTCTTCATCAGGCTTCATCCACTTGTACCTCTCAAGGAAAATAAAATTTTCTTGTCATCGGCTCTTATTTCCTTTAAACAGTTATTTAAAAAAAATCTTTCAATGGACGAATTTTCCTAAATTTGCCATATTCTAAAACACGATTCCGATGCTTTGATGCAAGCGCTTCTATGAATAATACAATGGTTACACATCACCTTTTGTGTGCGTAATCAGCACAAAAATTCAATACAATTATGCAATTCTCCATAGCAGCCAGACATTGAGCAAGCTCCATCAATTTAGACATCGCAATTATACGACTGTAGTAAACATCTCGGATAGTGATTTTTTTATGATTTTATTTAATTTTAATTCTGCGTCATGAAGCAATTTCCTGATGGTTGAGGCGCTGGCTTTTTTTTCCTAACTCATTTTTAGCAATAATGAGCAGCTGCGTTGTATTCTTTGTTTGGATAAAGACACTTTTAAATGTAGCATACCAGCTGACTCACCAAGCATGATGTTTACCACATCTATAGCAGCCGGGAAAATAAATTCTGCGATGATATAAGTCTTCTTATATTTCGTGATTCTGTAAGCCGCCTTGTAAGATGTTAAAGGATTGTTTGGTATTGATGCAGTTTCAAACAGTTATTTTTGTTGATTTACAATTATTTCTTGTAACTATTTGGCAAATGTTACAAATTAGTGTAACACAGTTAGTAAACACTGTTGTAGTGTAACAACAGAGCAAACAGTTTCATAGAGGTGTTCAGTAGGCATATTTACCGGATCCGATGTTTTTCCATTTTTGAACAGCTGTGTATTGTGACGCTCTTTTCCATACGTCTGGTGTTCTTGCGTATTTCAGTATCTTATTGTATAATTTGATAAGCTGTTCAGCTAGTTCTTCTCCGTTTTTCAACAATTCATTGGGGATTTTGTCCGTGCCTGCGGCATTCCCATTTTAGAGGTGTTTCATTGCGCTCATCACCTCTTCTACTGTAATTTGTGTATCTTCGTCAATGTTTATTGTATCTTCTCGTCGCCTTTCAGGTCGTTGGTCTCTGCTTTATGAATACAGGTATAAAATATATAAATATAAAATTGAATTGTATTTTTGAAAAACGAAACATCAAACGTCAAAGTGACAAATTGATATTAAAACATGATACAACAAAACTCCCTATTAGTCTTGCCAACTTTACAACAATTTGACAGGTATAAATAAAGAGTGTAAATTGAGGTTACATTAAAAATCGAAATCTTATTTGTAGAAACTAAACCATTTGTAATCAAGATGGGAATTTTGTATTAATCCTAATTTTAACGTCAACAAATCTAGTTGATCGTTGCGTGTTTTCCCTAACTACAAATCGTTCAACCTTGAAAAGAAACACAGTTGTGGGTCCCCGAAGGTAGTATATTATAAGAAAAAAAACTGGATTATCATAAAATTTCCATTACGTGCATATTAGCATTAATAATCGGTGATTTTTTTTTCTTCAATAATTTGTAACAAAATATATATCCTATTTTATTTGATTCATCAATTATTGTTATGAATTAAATAATATTAAATTAGAATTGACATTTATAAAGAAATTGATGCCACCTTACCCTATTATAATCATTAAAAAATAATTAAGCCCAACGATGAAAAAGAAAATAGAAAGCAAAAACATAACGTAAACAATTTATATTTTAAGGAAAACGATCCGTGTTGTTTTGTATTCGATATCCTTCGACCTTGTAAAACTCGAAACAATTGACTATCGAATGCTTCGTTGTTCAATTGTTAAAAACACCAACGTACATTCTCTAGGTATAAGAAGTATTAGTAATTGTTTGATATTAATTTAAATCCTATTGTGTTCCATGTGTTTAAATTCGTTTCATGTAATACACTTTTTGTTTAATTGCAGATCGTTGGGGATTTTGCCAGATTTGCAAACGTTCGCAACAATGGTAAGTAAACAATTTAATCTATATTAACACTTAATTTCGTTTATTATTTTCGCATATGTTATGCAACTGTCTGCGAAGAAATGTATTTACGTTATTCAAGTTGCAAATACGACAAATTCATTTTTAATGTCTATTTGAATATTGGTTGTTACGACGTCACGTAATCTGTTTAAACATTGCATCTCATAAAAACAAATTGTTTTATACTGAGTGATTAAGAAGTGTGGGCACCAAATTCGTTTTCTTAATTATTAAAAAAAAATTATGATTAAGTAGTATTCTAAACCAATATTTGAATAAGGTTTAAGGTTTCAAGGTCAAATTACTATTAGAAATCTTTCATATCGAGTAGGCGGATTTATTAACCTTTATACCGCCACTTATAAGATTTATTGTGTACCGAAATACCTTTCAAATCAAAATTAATTGGTACATCAATATTGTGTTATGATACTACTAATTGTAAATGACACGCATTTCTTTATTAATCTCTAAACGCAAACATCCTATTGTGTTCAGAAGTCATACGGAAATTTGAGAGAAGTTGAGCTTCATGAAGTTGGGTTGATTAGGTACTGATTTCGAAATTCTTGCATACAGAGTGGAACAAAAGTTTGGAAACGCCTAATTTACTTTTAATGGGTAGCAAGAGTCGCAAATGTCGCTTGACATTTGCAATATTTAAGAATTAATGCAGTTATACCTTACATAATTATGATAAAAGGTTGATTGGCATGGTAGAAGAAAGGTTTTGCTTTGTTACATATAGATGGTAATTTGCACTTCGAAGAGGAACTCATTTCAAATAATGTTGACGACAGTTCTTCCGAAACATAGAAAATCGTTGGATACATAGAGAAAAAAGATGTTGATGTGATTCTCTCATATGATGTTCGTATCAAGAAGGAGGCCATGTTTTGAGCGAAATCTCTCATCAATCACGAATGCTATTAATAATATTATCGATGTTATCAATTTATTTCTTGATTTAGTTGTTGTTCATACAGAACATTCCAGACGGTGCTGGGAGCAACTTTCAATTGCTCGAATACTCGTTGACGCGTTTCTTCAACGTGATGCAGTATGGCCTCTTCCAATTCTGGAGTGTGGCATCTTCTTGGATCACCACGATCATTCCTGCAGGCCGTGAAGGTATCCCTTTTTCGAAGCTGTTGATGAAGTCGGACGTTGTGGATAACGATTTTGATAAAGGCGACGAGCAGCTCTTTTCGCCATACAGAAGGATCTGCAAACTGTTGGTGTATTCTGCAAACGTGTACTCAACCATGTTGCTCTAACACTGAAAGACATGCGAATTAGACTCAAACCAACTCCGAGAGGTCAATTGAAATCACCTCATCCGACGTAAGCGACGTGAAGCGCTGAATCTGTATTTGTCCATTGTGTCTGTCGTGCGCGATTCCTACCCGGATATTATGATTGTTATTATAGGTGATTTCAATATGCCAACTATCTATTGGTCTATGTTTGAAGATGATGTATTAATTCCAACAGGGAATTTCGACCGTTGCGGCATTGATTTTCTTAACATTTATTCATATTGTAATTTCAGTCAATTTAATAATGTATCGAATATTAATACTAGAATTCTTGATCTTGTTCTATGTGCTAACGGTCGAGTTGAAAGCATACACATCTGCAATGATCCACTTGTGGACCCTGTCTGAGTGATGGTCCGAATGTTCGCTTTCTTTTTAAGAACGCGAATTCCGGAGTTATCAAGTGTTTCTTAAATAGTATCGATTGGCAGACTGTTTTTGCTGGGATGGACGTGGAGAGCATGGTTGAAGTTTTCTATGACTGCGTTAATTATTTAATTAACAAAGACGTTCCTAAGCGCATTCTACCTAAGCAGCGTTTTTCTTATTGGTACAAACGTTCAACAACTCGAGTTATTAAAGTAAAGCTACTTTACCATAAAAAATGGAAATCCACTCGCCATAATAGTGATTATTTGACTTTCTCTATCTTGCGATTCAGGTCTAAGCGGCTTATTGCGGCTGATTATAGAGATTACTTAAACTCGATTCAGGTCCTTTGATCATGCCAGCCACCATGTATGTATGTATGTATGTAGAGGGGTGCGTAATTTTTACGCGCACTTAGGCCCCAGTGGGCCCCTTGTGCATACTCCCTTGGAGGCTCGAGATGGTAGAGAAGATCTCGTTAGGTGACGATACCGCTTACTCGTTTCCAATGACGAGTTACCGCCGCCCCGACCCCGAGGGGTCAGAGGGCGCTCACGCGCATTCGTCCCTATAAGTCGAGCCTCACACACATGCGTGCTAACGACAACCAGAGATGTTAGACTGGTTGCCAGCCACCATGTTTTCCGTTGATGGGTCAGTGGTGACCTCAGGTCCTGGTATCTCTTGTGCATTTGCAGAGTATTTCACCTCGGTTTTTGTAGATGGTATCATTGACCGTTCAATGGTCTTCGGTGGCCAGGGTGTTTCACCTTGATTCTCTGCTGACGCAGTCCTTAATGTTTTAACCCATCTTGACAAGTCCTGTAGCTCCGGTCCGGATGGTATTCCATCTTCCTTTTTAAGGGAGTTTGCTGCCGAACTGTCGACCCCACTTTTTTTATTTTTTCAAAATCCTTACTCGAAGGTACTTTTTCGAAGGGTACTTTGAAGTTGCTTTTGTGGTTCCAATATTTAAATCCGGGAATAGACAGTTGGTATCTAATTACCGTCGAATTTCTATTCTTTCGTCTATTCCCAAGGTTTTTGAAAAAATTGTTTACGAATATTTTAACCATGTTTCTTGTCTGGGCGATCGGTTGAGTCTAACTTATTGTCTTATGTTAACTTTATTCATTCTTCCTTAAATGAGGACTCACACGTTGACGCAATTTATACCGATTACTCTAAAACCTTCGACAAGATTGACCATGGAATTCTTATACAAAAGTTGTCCTCCTTTAACATTCCACCCGGCATTGTACGCTGGATAATGTTATATCTATCGGACAGAAGTTAGGCAGTTAAGTTGGGTAGCTTTCTATCGGACTACAAACCCATCTCATCTGGTGTACCTCAGGGAAGTACTAACTAAACGACATTTCTTCTTGCTTTAAATTTTCTAAATTTCTGCTCTATTAGGATGATAATAAAATATTTATCAGAGTCAGCTCTAGTCATGACTGCCTGAGTCATCGTCTGCATGATTAATGTGGCGTTAACAAACTTTATTTGAACTATGACAAATGCCGAAAAATAATTCCATGTAAACGTTACATGGAAACGCTATCCTATTAATTTTAATTACAATTTTAATGTTAGACCTATTATCTCTACTGACACAGTGAAGGATCTTGGCATTATAATTGATGCCAAATTAAGATATCACCTTCACATCGAATTCATGGTGGCGAAAGCCCTGCGTAACTTAGGGTTTGTTATCAGAATAAGTAGATATTTTACAAGCATTAAATCGCTCTATATGGCATTTGTTAATAGCGTATTATCCTATGGCTCCATAGTGTGGAATCCTATGTACGCGGTCTATCGTGATCGCATCATAGTCTCTACTTAGTCTCCTCTACAGTCCTAGAAGTTTGTAATGGAAATGTTATTTTTTAAAACAGGAATGGAAAAAGATTGTAAAATAATAATAAAATAATAAAATGTCAAAAGTCGAACTACGACACATTTATGGGAATTTTTATCTCAGCGGGAGCGCTGCACATCAGAAAAGAAAATATTGCAGAAATGTAAAAGTGGAAATGCCAAATTTAACCTAAAATTGTTGAAAAACTACAAATGTTAGTTATGATTACAAATGTTGCTGTTGATCCTAATAATGAAATGTAAATCTGTCATTTAATCAACATCAACGGTAATTGAATTGACATCATCATCCATTTACGAAATAAATATAATATGTCAACACAAAGCATCAATATTATAATAATGGTGCAAACGTAAATTCTATGACCGTTTTCTTTTCTGTTAGATAATATGTTAGATATAGATGACTTCAATTTTTTGGGTAATATAAGATTAGCCTTATCCTGCCAACATCTTGTCAATTGTTTATGAAGTTTTATCATATATTTCGCTCAAGATACAGTTTTTTTTCTAGCAGATGTCAAATTGTGATTATACAGTGCCTCACAAAAGTATTCCTAATTCATATCTAGTATCATATCCTTCCATTTAATAACTTAGCTTAAGTTCATCCTCATAGAAAAAACCAATTTTCATGTTCTCTAAGCTAATTTTTTTGCCATTCTTTAATTAGTGTTGTTTTAAGCCTATCTTTTAATATTATTTCGTGTTTTCGGATAGCATCCTCCAAATTTACCCACAAGTTTTCGATCGAATTAAGATCTGAAGTCTGAGATGGCGTTCCTAAAGCACTTGGGTGTTGTACAGGTCGGCCAAAAAAACATGTAAAGTACTGTATCTCGGAAACTCCTCCTTGTAGAGACTATTTTCAAGTTTCTAAGATAATTACTAGACGAAAGAACTCCCGTTCGTGCTCCTTCATGTGCTCCACTAGATTAGGAAATTGTTTTCTTGGCAACCTGAAATAGTAAAAGGCATAAAATTAGTCTTGTTCAAATCAGTATTAAAACGGTTCGATATTAATATTACACAAGGCACGATAAGTAATCCCAGATGTCCTCGGCATCTTTGTGATAAAGGATGTAAAGATATCTAGGAGATTGTAATCTCCGAGCTCACATTTAAAAATTGTGGCTCAAACACACCAATAACAATTTCAAATCACTACAAAGCTTAAAATAAACTTCTTAGATATGTTTTCACTTCAATGAAGCATCCCTTCTCCTAATAGTTTAGGTGATCATGATTACAACATGACTATCGGTTTTGACAGAAAATGTAGAACATGTCCAACTTGTTTAAATCTCCGGGATTTGACAGAAAGTGCCAATATGTCAAGAAAATTGTAATTTCTACTAGGCAAACATAAATTACATGCAATAAATGTCATCATACAAAGTATATTTCTCATAAATATTAACTATTTTTAGATTTTTTTAAAAAATAAAAATCGATTTTATTTATTTGCTATAGTTTCATATCTAAATATCGTCTGTGAGTCATCTAATTAATACAGAGACATTTTCCATTGACATTGAACCGGTAATGTATGTGTGTATAAATTATTTTTTGGCACGATTATCGAGAGTGTGTTAGTATGTACACGAACTCAACCGTTCGATGATATAAATATAAAAAAAAATCCCAATCGGAACCCACTGTTACTATTTTTAACCAAAATAAATTGTATTTATCAAAACTATCGACTACAGCAAAGAATTGATGTTGCTTCGTTTTTTCGATTCGCTTGTTTTGTTTAATTTGAAAGTCCAAAGCCGTAAAATTCCGATAAAAATCAACATTTATTTATGTTAATTTCTTACTTTTTTAAATTGTTTATCTCGGCGCCTTTGAAAAAAATCATTTTCGAAAAAGGTTGGGTTTTATTTCCATTTCGAATTTCTTCAATGCCAGGTTATAACCTTCCATTAACAATCATATTCAAAGGCGTATTCCAAACATTCCTTTAAAGAGATTATTTAAGGTTAAAAGGCAACCTTGCATAATAAAAAAGAATTAAAATTTCTTTCTTTTAAATTTCAGGATATTTCAATAAAACCTTTGAATAAAAAAGAAAATTCATTCAAAAATGACTCCTCCTCAATTACATCAATCGTTATGCGGCGATAACTTGCTCTTGCTCAAGTCGACGTCAACAACCACTAATAAGGGTAGAAGACGTTCGCAGTGTTATAGCGCAGCTTGGGCTGAGCCCCCTTCTATATTAAAAGAACGACGTCGGGCTATATGTTCTTGGTCGGTGGGTTACGGAACGTTGGAAACTACAACAACAGCAGGATCACCACCCTTATTAACTGAACGCTCCACTCTGAAGACTTCTCGGAGAATCCGGGAGGAGATTCTCCCTTTACCTCATGCTGCCACTTCACCAGCGGCGGACAAGAAAACGACGACGTCCACCGAAAATAATAAGTAATTAATAAATCTAAAATTAATAAACAAAATTTTATTTTATAAAGATTTATAACCTGCAGAGATAATATAACCTGTCGTTTGTTAAGTTTAGTCTTTTTAGACAAATTTTAGACTGATAAATCAAATGATACCTTTTTTTTGAATACAAAGTTGATTTTAAACGTCAAAATCCAACATTTGAGGTTATGTTATTATTATTTATTTTGAATTATTAATGCAGTAAATAAGATTTATTGATTAAAAATGTAACTCACCTTTAACGTTAATTCAAACCATTTCGTTTTAATTTCCTTTTATATTAATCTGGAGTTTAACCGAGTTAGGTGCTAAAAAAATTTCCAAATCCGAAATAGACAATTGGTTGACAGGTTAGAGGTTAAAGTGTCAAATCTAATTACCAACTCAAATTTACTAAAATCTTTTTAATTCAATTATATTTAAAGTTAATAATTTGAATTAATTATAATTTAAAATGTTGTTTGTATTTTGAAGATTAAATCACGTTTATTTTAATTAATCGAAATCATTAATTGGATATTTTTTGTCACATTTCAAAATGCCAACCTAAAAAGTTTTGTGGTTACTATTTTCTACAGAGAAGGTTAAATTTTTGTCTTGAGAATTAGAATGATAAATCAAATGATACCTTTTCGAATACAAAGTTGATTTAAAATATTGCTTGGATTGTTTTTAACTGAATTATTGTTAAATTTTATTAAAAATGAAATTTCAAACGTCAAAATTTAACATTTGAGGTTATGTTGTTATTATTATTTTGAATTATTTAATTAAATAAGATTTGTTGATTAAAAATGTAACGCACCTTTAACGTTAATTCAAACCATTTCGTTTTAATTTTTTTTTAAGTTAATCTCGAGTATAATCGAGTTAAGTGCTAAAAAATGTTTCAAGTCGGAAATAGACAATGAATCGGTTGACAGGTTAGAGGTTAAATTGTCAAATCTAATTACCAACTTAAATTTAAAAAATCTTTAATTCAAATATATTTAAACTTAATAATTTGAATTAATTATAATTTAAAATGTTGTTTATATTTTACAGATTAAATCACGTTTATTTTAATTAATCGAAAATTGATTAATTGGAATGTTTTTGTCACATTTCAGAATGCCAACTAAAAAAGTTTTATGGTTTGTATCAAAATTCATTTATGATAAAAAGAATAAAAATAAAAATATAAACAAATAACTTTTAATCTAGAATCGCAATAGATTAATCAATTAGATAAACCCTTCAATTTACACAAAAGGAGATAACATAACTTTTAATCTAATCAACAAATTTTTCCTTATAGTTTAATTTCGTTCTTTTTTTAGGCGAGCTCGAATCGATTTCTTAACGATGCCCGGTTTAAAATCGTTGGTGAGACGAAGAAACAGTGGCGAATCCGGAGACACATCATCCCCTTTAATGAAGAAAGAAGGCAGTTGTGGAGCGTTAATTAAACCTGCGGCAAGTTTAGCGAGTTTAAGAAAATGTGAAACCGTAATTGCTCTCACCGGGGTGTTGTCTTCGGGCTCATCAACATCGAGTGTTCATGGAAGCATGGAACGTTTACGTCCCGTGAATCGGTTACGCGTTTCTCCCCATAATTCCACCAATCGGCTGTGTTCGCGATGTTCCAGTCTTTTAACGTTAGCCTCCAGTTCGAGGTACTCGTTAAATGCCTCCACCGGGGGATTCGTACAAGTTCCAGATGAACCTCCGATTCTTTGTAAACTTTGCCTCAGCGAGGTGCCTTTTAAGAAAAGTTTTGGAATATTGAGTTGTGGATGTTCTTTTTGTTCCGATGTAACTAATTTAATTATTTCAATAATTTTTTTTAAATTAATTAATTACTTTTTTTAGTGTATGCGGACTTACGTTGAGATAGAAATAGCAGAGGGAGCTTACGATATATCGTGCCCAGACGCTCAATGTCCACTACAAGGGGTATTAAACCAAGAGGAAATTCGTAAATTAGTCGGTGATGATTTATTGGTTAAACACAAAAAGTATCGATTGAATCGAGAGATTGAAATCGACAAGAACCGTACGTGGTGTCCCCAAGCTGGTTGTGAAACGGTGTGCAATGTGTGCCCTTCGCAAAGATGTCAACCGCAAAGCGTGCATTGCCCGACTTGTTCGTTGGATTTTTGTAGTAATTGTAAATTGGAGTGGCACCATGGGATGTCGTGCGATGAAAACAACAAGAAATTGGCGAAACAGGGCAAAGTTGAAGAGGCGGGAATTCCGTTCGATTCGGATCTAATTAAATGTTGTCCGATGTGCAATGTTCCTATCGAAAAAGATGAAGGCTGTGCACAGATGATGTGCAAAAGGTGTAAGCACGTGTTCTGTTGGTACTGTTTAGCTAGTTTAGATGTAAGTACCAAAAAATATTTTCGTTTATTATTAACAACATTATCCATAACTAATCTAAATCCTACCCTTCTTCCCAGCCCCTTCTTGTCTCCTTACATCTTCCTGCTGCCACCACCTCTCAAGTTTTATATATAAGAGGTTTTGTAGGTTCATATACTGCAATACTTTGATTTTCGTTTGTGGGTGAGGGGCAAGAGCGGGAGTGTTTCGTGACGTAATTGGCCGTGGATTGCGCGCGCAACCTCAAGGTCATGTTTAGTGAAAATTGAAGTGTCTTCTTTAGTATAACAAATCAATTTCTACTTTATCATTATTATTATTGCTGCTGGGTTGTGAGGGGAGCGGCCCTTCTCGTTATCGCGACCTATAAGATCTATTGTAACTTTAGCCCTCCAAAAGTTTAGGGCAAATGTAGGTCCTTGATGAAGTTTAGTATTGCCCTGAGGTCTTGAACCTTTATGTCGGTAGGTGTCAAGAAAGTTTGTGTCTTAAACGGCCTCTGGCGACGCAATTGCACAGTATATGTTCAGCCGTTTCTGACTCGTCGTTGCAAAGTCAATAAGTTTGATCCTCAGCTTATCCAATGTGGAAGAGGTGGTATTTTAGGGGCGCATGGCTGGTCAGGTAATCTGAGAGCGTCCCTTTGCTGAGGCATAAAACCTCGTTGGTTTTGTTTTGCGGCGGAGTTATCATACTCTTCGCTTTTTTGTGACCTGGAAGTTCTTTCCAGCGTAAGGCTACCTTTGAGACCTCCCAACTGTTGATTATTTGTTTTAGGTGGCTTTTTTGTAGTCCACAACAGGTTGGGGTCCAATGAAGGGCGTGTTCGCTGCTTCTCTGGCCAGCTTGTCCGCCTTCTGATGTTGCTCTATTCTCAATGTTGCTGTGACCTGAAACCCACCATAGGGTTGCTGGTGCACTCTCTGATCAGTGCGGAGTCACACTTGTAAGCCTGAATTGCCTTTAAGGCGGCCCCGACTGTCTGTGAAAATGTTTATGGATACGCCTTTCTGTCCCTTCTGTAGGTTCAAAGCGGTGCAGAAGTTTATAGCAAGAACTTCTGCTTTTAAAATTTGTTATGTCCGAGTTGAGGGGCAGTTTAATGTGGCTATTTGGTCCACTGATGCCTATACCTACTCTGGATCTAACTGTCTTTGAAGCATCGGTGTATCAGGTATCAGGTACTTTAGTTTCCCTCAATTATTTTATGATAAGTGAATTTATATCGAAAATTAAGTTGAAATATTCTTTCATTTCACTCCCGCCGTTAATTATATACCACACTAAATATATTAAAATAATTGAATTACATTATTTTAAAAATTTGACCTATTTCCCAGTATTATTTTCTGCCAATGACGTAATACGCAGTATGGTTGCGTATAAACCTAGACATTCTCATATACAGAGTGTTCAGAAATTGGCGGATAATCTGCACGTAGCGACATTTTATGACCGACTCTGAATCGAAAATCCAACATTAAGATTTTCGATGTTAGAAATGTTGTTCTACTATGTTGCCAAATGTGTTTTTCATGAAGATATGCTAATGAAAAAATGTTAAAAACGAACTTTAAAGCTAAAGAAGATAACTTTAACAAAAAAACTAGTTCTCAAAATTCTTTTTATTTTAAATTACAGCTTATTTATCAACAGATATTGAATATTAATGATTATTTATGGACAAATTATCCGACTTTATGTTGTAATGTTTGTAAAGTTGTTTTTCATTAAATTATCCGACGTTTGAAAACCTCATGAAGACATATGAAGCATGGTACAACATTTTATAATTAAGATTTTCGCTTTAGAATCGAACGAAGAATGTCGCTACGTGTAGATTATCCGCCAATTTTTGAACACTCAATTTTTGAACCTCCGCCTTCTCCCCCAACAACTGTCGCCATCATCTTCTTCCTCAACTCACTACACTCCACCAGCAAATGGTGTAGAGGTAGAGACTTCCAGCTAGGGTTGCCAGCTCTACTTTTTATTTTACGGAGCTTACTTTTAGAAAATACGAGATTTAGGATCAAAATACGGGACATTTTACATAATAGGGCAGTTTACATAATAACACTCCATTTATTTATGTTAAGAAAGTGCCCAAAAGTGACTAATACTAGATTAACTTCAGTGATAAAACTCCTATTATATGATAACTAAGTTCAGATTTAAAATATCAACCTCAATTTTGACATATTTGTAATTTTCATTAAAAATCCTTTAAAATGAGTACAAACACGACATATTTATCTTCAATATTAATGAAATTATGGTCAACTTCCGGTTAAGAATGTCAACGTCAATTTTGACATATTTGTAATCGTCGTGAAAAATCCTTTAAAATGAGTCCAAACATGATACGTTTAATTCCAATATTACTCGAGATATAAGCAACTTCCGGTTTGAAATGTCAATGTCATTTTGACATATTCTTAATTTTTATAAAATGTCTTAATATTTGTCACAAAAACAAAAATATAATTAAAAAAAAAATAAAAAATTAAGGTTGGTATTAATATTTAAAAATTAAACTGCTATCTTCATTGTTGCTAATAGACAACCTAAGCCTTGACGTCACAGAGATGGGCGGAGCTTATACTGACTCCAAACATTTTCGTTGCTAACGGTAAATCACCATATGCAATTTTCCATTAGCGTTAAAATAAAATAAACTAAGTGATGACATTTCAAATGACATTTTTTGGCGATTTATCTTAGCAACTGTGGTTAGCAACGAAATTGTTTGGAGTCAGTATAAGCTCCGCCCACCTCTGTGACGTCAGGCTTAGGCAGTCTATTTAGATTTAATGTTTTTTATTCAAACTTTTTTGTTTCTTGAGATAAGTGCGTCATCTTTGTACTCATTTTAAAGATTTTTTAATGAAGTAGAAAAATATGTCAAAATTGACGTTGACGTTTCAAACCGGAAGTGATTGTATTTTCATTAATATTAAAGTTAAATATGTCGACTTTCTACTCATTTTAAAGGAGTTTTTATGAAGTTGACAAATATGTCAAAATTAAAACTTGAAAGTTCGAACTTTTTGGTTTTTTGAGATAAATGCGTCAAGTTTGGACTCACTTTAAAGGTTATTTTATGAAGATTACGAATGTAATAATAAAATTAAAGTTGACATTGACAACTGAAAGTTTTTAAATTGAATTAAAACGACCAAAGTTCACGTTGGCGTTATCAGCAGAGTAACTGGAGATATTTTCTAATTTCAAGCCATTATCGGCAAGTTTGAGGCCTCTTTAGCGTCTTCATACTAATCCAGTAAATAGTTTCTCACCAGTAATGAAGTGAAGTATCTTACCACTAAAGGATACATTTTGATCTTACCATGGTTTGCTGAGTCTGTAACTATTGGATAAAAAATGTCTTAATCAACCAATCTCTTCATGGCTGGGTCTATGGAACTTGCTATACTGGATGCTTTGTTTCTTCCTAATTTCATGTCACCAGCAATTTTGGAGTCCGAGTACATGATAGGAGCCAGTTTAGATGTGCAGTTTAACGAAGGGCAAGATTGTCCATGCGCTATGTTATTAAGGAATTCTGATATTCGACACTCCCGTCATGCTCTTTTACGTCATTGAATCCGCCATTGGCCACTTTGAAGTGCTTTTTGCGCAATGTGCAGAAATCTTTGAACACATTGTCCTCACAAGGTTTTATCCAAAAATAACTGGTCTCCCAATCATGCTTGTATTGGCAAAGGCGTTTACGTTTTTTAAAAGTAACTGATTCGCTGCCATTGCTGTCATCTTCAGACACTGTGATGAACAGAGCCCGGACAGTTTAGGAAAGTTATCCTAAAACGCCTCCCACTCCAGTCTCAAAAATTCAATCGAAGCGTGCGAAGCTGTCAGATACGTCATACCTTATGTCACGAAATAAATTATAAATTAATTTATTAATTATAAATTTAATAAAACCAAAAATGATTAATTCAGTGCGTATTTTTATATTATTTTTATTAATTCATTAATTAATGTTGCACAGCAAGTTCTTCGCTAAGGTACGCTCATCGCTCTTCGAAATTCAATTTTGAAGAGTAACTTAGTGATCAAAAGGTGTCAAAAGCGACAACAACGTACTTACGTCGTTGTCATGGAATTCGTTTCGTGTGGAGGGGCGCACTTTTCCTAAACTGTCCGGGCTCTGTTCATCACACACACATCCCGTTCGTCTCCCTCAGTCGAAACCTTCTCAAATAGACGTCGAATCTTTTATTGCTATTTTCAAGTCTATTTAAACGCTCATCAAGGTTTTTGAATATTTGGCTTTGTTTATATAGATGCATTAAAATTAATTGTAAGATTTGTTCTATTGGCATATTTTGGCTGAGCAATCTTTTCTTCGTTCGGATTACTCTTTGGCTGTTGTCTTAAATNCATCAAGACGAGGTGTGGTTGTAGTTTTTATTTGATTTTTTTTTATTTTCTGATCATTTTAAAACACTATTTTCATTTTAATTTTGTTTTTGGCGTTCCTCGTATCTATTTTATTATTATTTTTTTTTCATTTAGAAACGATTTTTTAATAAGTAAAAAAATGTCAATTAACGATACTTAATTAAAATTAAATATGATTCATCGAAAACAAGTTGTTATTGACAGCTTCGTTTTGGGATCTTTTTAATCGTTTGTTTACGGTTCTAGTCTCGTTAAAAAAATAATAAAAAAGGACTTAAAATGACTTGTTTACGTTTTGAAGATAAAAATGAATCGTTTCTTATAATTATTATTATTACTTCTTAGTTTATAAGATAATATTATTTCTTATTTGGATTATATACCTTAATTTTTTTTAATGGGTTTAAACATAGACGGGAAAAACTGTGATAGTTGTTCTGTGATGTTTGACTGAACCGTCTGTGTCGTAAACTCTTTAGTTGTGATTGTAACCCATTTTATTATTATTATTTTTTTTTATAAATAAGTAGAATGTAAATGATAGCAGTAACAATAAATTAATTTTTATCAAAACTTAATTTCGAAATTGGAGTATATTTGGTTGCATAACTTGTACATATTTTTATAACATTGTTATTGCTATAAATTTTTAGGCACTAAAAACACCAAAAAAAGAATTATTACGTCGTTTGTGTTATTTCTGACTTTACAATGACAATACACCCCTTTTTAAAAATTAAAATAATGTATATTAATGATATTACTCTTGTTAAGGTCCACTTTTACCATCCTGATAAACTATCTAGGCGATAATTGCCGTGGTTATAGAGGTTTTAAGTTTGAATTTATTTATAAGAGGTGGTAAAAGTGGGTCCAAAAAGTTACGCTTTAGATTTAACAAAGAAAGTTCATATTTGGTTAGGGACGTCATACTTTATACATTTCTCCTTTTTTTGCGCACTTTTGTAAATACAATTTTAACGAATAATACTTAAATTGTTTTAAACTATCATAGACCATAATGGATAAAGAAAAAATAATCGAAAAGAAGAGATATGTTGTTATATCTTTACGAATGTACTTACAAAGTTATTATTATTATTAAAAAAAGGTAAATACAAATACAACGGCATTTTTCTTTTTATTTATTTAATAATCATTTTAAAGTGCAACTAACAGTATTACTCAGAGGACCTTCCATCGTTTCCCCTTTATAGCACAAAAGAAATCGAACCAAAAAATGTAACCTAACTAATTTTGGAAACTCCCTTAAATATATTACAATTGGAAACTCGGTATCTTTATTAATATCTTTCATATACAATCTCGACCAATTACTTAAATCCACCGTAAATACGCTTCCATCAAGGGCATAAACCTCCAAACCAAGAATATTTGAAACATTCGGCTTTTTCGGCAAATTAACCCCAAGAATTATTTCATCTCCATTTAATGAACAACTTAAATCTAAAACTGGTTGGAATCCTTGATGCTCCGCAAAATAAATATACTGTTTATAAACATTTTTAGTTATTTTATTATCTTTGTTCTGCAATTCATCTTTTATATGATTATCCTGTTTTAAATTTTCATCAGGACTTAATATAATTGATTTAACTTCTTCTACAACAATTTGTTTTCCATAATCAGTTTCAATGAGAATTTCCAAAACTGTTTTAAATAAACAACAAATCCAAATTGAATCGATCGTTTCGTTCCTTAACGATGTTGTTGTGGTGTTATTTTGCATTTCAATACTTAAAAATAATTGTTTAAACGACGTTATTTCATGGGATGAAAGACAATCAGTTCCCAAACCAAATTTTGGCTCAATAAAAATCGGTTTTAAATCACTTCCGGTTTTAACTAATAAAATTTGAGATACTTTATTTAATAAGCGCTCTGAAATTTGGTTGATATTCTTATTTAATATTGTTTTTATAAACTGTTCACGTTTATATTTTAATAATTTGTTGTGGATTTCAAACTGTATATTTGAAATGTTTAATACACACTCAAAGAATAAGTTTTCTAATCTACATCTTCGGTAATTGTCTAAGCTATCTGAAAGTTGTTTCTTGAATATTGATTCAACTTCTGCGAGTTTTTTATCAGAAGGGAGATAATCCGTTGATTTCCATTGACAATATTTCACATAACCTGTAACAAATATTTTATAAAACTTTATTAAAATAAATAACCCAACTTACTATGTTTATCAAAAGAAAACATTTTATTAACTAATATTATATAAAAATGATTAAATCAGTGAATAATGCGAGGTATAAACAACTTTTTTAGGTTATGTTTCTTAATTTTGTAGGTTGGAATTATGAAGCTTAATTTGATGTAATTATTTAATTAATTTTTACTAATAACCCAACTTACTATGTTTATCAAAAGAAGAAGTAAACATTTTATTAATTTATTTACTAATGTTATATAAAAATGATTAATCAAAATATAATCAGAGAATAATGCAATGTATACAACTTTTATAGGTTATGTTTCTTAATTTTGTAGGTTAGAATTATGAATCTTATTTAATATAATTAATTCATTAATTTTGACTAATAACCCAAGTTACTATGTATATCAAAAGAAGAAGTAAACGTTTTATTAATTTATTAGCTAATATTATACAAAAATAATAATTAGAAATAATCCAAGATATAAACAATTTTTTTAGGTTATGTTTCTTAATTTTGTAGGTTAGAATTATGAAGCTTAATTTAATTAATTTTGACTAATAGCCCAAGTTACTATGTTTATCAAAAGAAGAAGTAAACATTTTATTAACTAATATTATACAAAAATAATAATTAGAAATAATTCAAAGTATAAACAACTTTTTTAGGTTATGTTTTTTAATTTTGTAGGTTAGAATTATGAAGCTTAATTTTGACTAATAACCCAATTTACTATGTTTATCAAAAGAAGAAGTAAACATTCTATTAATTTATTAACTAATATTATTTAAAAATGATTAATTAACGCTAAATTAGTCAATAAGGCAAGGTACAAAAAACTTTTTAGGTTATGTTTCTTAATTTTGTAGGTTAAAAGTATGACGTTTCTTTTCAAAATTTAATTTATTAAAAATAATTTACAATTTAGTTATTTTTGTCCCGGTTGTATAGCTTTGTAACTTTCTGGATTTTTCTTAACAATTAACTCCATAAAAGTAATTGTAAGCAATAAAGACCTCCCTAATAACTCTTTTGAGTCTTTTGGAACCGTTTCATATTGCTCAATGAGTAAATTATCCACCGAAATATTTTCACAAGCAAGTTGAGTATCCTTTTCAATCAATTTCGAAACTATTCCAATAGTAGAAACTTTTTCCCCACCAACAAACGTTTTAAATAACCTAAAATTAAAAATAAATAAATCAATCATTTCCTTCATAACATTTTACCTCGACGATAAATTATTCCTAATATGATAAATCCTATTTAAAGGGATATCGCCGTCACTATCTCCATTTCTACTATTAATTAAGGCGTAAAGCATCGAATTTAATTCGAAAATTTGTAGTTGAGTTGGTGAGGATTTTCCACTTTTTGATGTGTTTAATTCGAAAACGTAAATATCCGCAATTGGAAGCATTTTTAAAATGGTTGAGGCTAAATTAAAGTTGTCCAATGGTAGTATTTTCGTTGGTAAGTTAATAAAGCTATAAAAATCCCAATCATTGATTGTATTATTAAATTTATTCATTTTTGTCCAACTCATCCCAGCTGAGTCCAAATGTATTCCTAAAACTGACTCAAAATCCTTCAAAAAGAAAATTAATAAAAATAAATCAATCAAATCCTATGAAAGTTTACATTAGAAGATGACCAAGGTGGCCAAACGAGTTGTTTCTTATTAAAATTATTCCTCCCGCTTTGATTTATCACATTTTCAGCTAAAATTTTTTGGCACAACTTTTCAGTGTTAGAAACTTCCACTCCATCTTTTAGCGTATTTACAAGATCATTAAAATTACCTCGATTATATTTCCATGTTTGTAAACTTTTTATTTGACTATGGGATAATTTTAACCTAAAAATTTAAAATAAATTTTTAATAGAAATCAATTTATACATTATACCGCGATAATTGAGTCGAATTCGATGTGTTTAACACATCCAAAATCTTATTTTCTTGTTCTTTTGTGAGCTTAAAAGGAATTTCATTCGAAATCGATGTGGATTCATGTTTAACCTAAACCAAAAAATGATTAAAATTTAAATTAATATGATAATAAATTGTTACTTACGAATAATTTGGGTGTATTTAAGGGAATTCTAAAGCGTTTTAAACGTATCATTAAGTTTTATTAAGAGAAATTTGATGAAAAGTTTAAAGTTATGTAGAGGTTATGTTAGGTTAAGGATGTTGTTAGTGCCATCTTTTATTGAGTGGTTAAACTAATTTTTTTGACATGAAAATTTTTGAAAAAAATAAAATTTATGATATATATTTATTAAGAAAACTCTATTAAAAAAGAATAATTTATCACAAACAATAAACGTAAGTCCTTATATTTCGGCATTTTAAATGTTTATTAATTAACCTTCTTTTGAAGTTAGATGATATCGACGCTTACCGTATTTTTTTTTACATTTTCTCGTATATTACAATTTATCTCAAATACAAAACACTGTCTTTCTCATTTAATTTACTTAATCCAATCAAAATTACTAAAAAAAAAGTTAATAAAATAAATCGAACAAATACAGCTTCTTTATACACAATAATTCATCCTTAAATTTTAAATCTAGCGAAAGAAATGTACACATTACCATTCAGAAATTGATTTACAATATATTTACAATGTAATAGTTTGAGGTTCACTAAATAATCCTACCCTTTGATGTGAATCAACGGCCCTTACCGCGAAATAATACCGATAACCAACGGCGAATTGCGTTAACGTAACCGCCATGGGAAGTTCCAAAGCTTTAACGTCACCGATTTTACCCCAACCGTCCGTTTTTTGGTTAGCTTTCGGCACTTGATACGCATACAATTGATAACTAACTATTGCATCGAACATACTTAATTGATACGGCATTTTCCATTGTAAAACTATACCCGTTCCGCAGGGTGATTTAGTTAAATTTAAATGAGGTTTAGGTGGTACCATTCTTCCAGGATGGTGTTGATCCGGTGGTGGTGGTGGAAGTGGGGATGAACTTTGTCGAACTCTTTGTACGGGTGATCTCGTAGTTTGGGGATTTGTTGGTTGAGGGGTCGTTGCTGGACGAATTGGGGTTAATTTTGTTACAACCGATTGTGTTGTTGCTATCTGCGTTGTTGGGGATTGCGTTACTACAGATACTTGACTTGTGGGGATTGTTATATTAGTCGTTTTAGCTAAAATTTAAAAAATTATTAAATCAAATACAATTAAATAATTAATTACTTACATATTACGTTTGGATTAACTTTTAACATGACTGGCCTTGTTAGGACGGTTGAAGGAATCACCATAACTTTAGTTCCGGTTTGTGTTGTCACCAACGAAGCATTTTTTGTAGCTTGTCCGTTAGTTCTAACTGTTTTATTGGGACTATTAGAGATCTTTTCATCTTCGTCTGTTAAATCGATTACAGCTTTTGCGGTATCTGCTGGTTTTTTTCCGTTAACTTGTGCTTGAATGAGAGTAGTTTGACGATTCTCTTTTTGTGCAAGTTGTTTATTAAGAATTGTTTGTTTAACATTGCCAGTCGGTTGCGATGGGGATCTATGTTGTAAGTTTGTTAGCTAAAAAATAATAAAAATTAAGATTAAATTAAGTCAAAATTGATCTTGTTTTACCCTGGTGCTTTGAATAACACTTTGTTGAGTTTTTCCGGGAGATCTTATATTATTTAAATTATTATTAGTAACAGTACTTGTAACATTATTATTATTCTTATTCACATTTTGTACATTATTCACATTATTTATATTATTATTATTACAATTAATGTTTTTTCCATTTTGTATAACCCCATTTATACGGGTCTGTCGATTATGCTGATCGAGCACAGCTTGTAAACCGACCGATCTTGTAATTTTAACTGGCACCAACGGTTTACTTTTTTGTTCCTTCGCAACTTTCAAAGCGGCCGTAACTTTTTCGTGAACAATCTTTAAATCTCTAGTTTGATTCGCAATCGTAACCGATTCTCTTCGATATTGCTCGATGGTTTGTTCGAGCGTACGTATTTTTTGACGTAAATCTGCCAACTCACTTTTATCAACGAGACATTCGCACGTCTTTTGCAAACAAAACTCTTCCAATTGGGCCCTCGTCATGTTCTTCAAAGCTTCGTCTTTCATGTATGCTTTAAACGAGTTTAGCGCCTTCAATTTGACAGTTTCTGATTTCTTTTTAATTGCGTTTTGATCTAATTTCATTTTCTTCGCTTCATCTTGTTCCGTTTCAAAATCATCGGGTAGTTGGCGCTTGGTTATTTTCTTCAATTCGGTATTATCTACAAAAAAAATATCAACAATCAATATAATATTTTCATACATAAATTAAAAAATTTACTAAAGTTTGTCAAATCATCGAAAATCGTTGTAGAATTAATCAAATTCATTGTCAACATAAAATATGACATTGACAGTTTACTATGTGTATTTTTGGTAACCATGGTAACCGTTTTTAAGTTGGTAGGACGAAATCAAAATAGTTACTAACATTCACAATTTAATATTAATGTATTAATCAAAATAAATTAAATTAAACTAAAAAAAAAATATGTAATGTTTATTTTATGCGACTTTTATCTATAATAACAACGTCAATTTTGATGGTTAATGTCATATCCAATCAAAGGTAAGAAACGTCAAGATGAATTCGTCACTTCTCATATTAAAAATGTTAATTTTTCGTTAAAAACGTTGCATTTTATGATAAATACACGTGAAAATATCTTTCTGAATTAAATAAGTTACATTTCAATATAAAAAATGTTGAAATCGAAATCAAATTACAAATGTCAATTGTGACGTTTCAAATAATTTTTATGGTTAAAAAATGACAGGTTAAGTTTAAAATGTCATTTTTTAAAAAGAAATGTTAATTTTGATGTTGTTAATGTTATTTTAAGTTTGCTAAATAATGTTTTTTTTAATAATTTAATGATTTAAGTTTTAAATCATATTGTTAACATTCCATATCTGATGTCTAGTCTATATCTATAACGATTTTTGTCAGATATTGAATGATTATTATAAAATATTTTACAACTAAAGTAAATTTTTGAACCTACAGGTTATCTCAGACACGAAGAATTTTAGATGTTGCTCTTCAACCAAACATAGGACTACTTTACGAAAGAAAAACGTCGCTTTTGAACAAGTTAACAAGAATGTACCAAAGATAAAGTACAACCAAGCGGTTTTATCTATAAATTAAGTTCAAATTTTCAATTAAGCTAGTCATGGATATCGACACTGAGGTTGATATGTATTCTAAGTCGTGTAGTAAAAACTATCAATTGTAAAATAAAAGGGCAAAGACCCAACGGCTAATTAAAAAGTATCAGAAAGCTCAACTACAGACAGGGAAAGGAAAAATATAGGACAAAACTAATATAACAAAGAGTTAAAGAGGAAGAAAGATTTATAACAAACCATCTAGACGTTGATCTTAAAAGCATTAAAAGCCTTACGTCTCCTCTACGTTGAGAAAGGATATCTAAACCACAGGTTGGCAAAAACAGCCGATAATAATCAACTCTTTGCTTCCTCATGAAAGTGTAGAGGATGCCACAACTAAAAGGGTTAAGGATTCCAGACAAAGTTTCCAATAAAGTGCTGAAATGAGTAAAGGAATCAACGAATGTATATAATGCTTGTCTGGAGTAAGGCAAGTTTCAAATTATCTATAAAAAAGTTCCTGAAGTTGTAATGCTGCAGAATGGGACAAATATGGATAAAACTGTTGCTGTGGCACAGACGAGTGGTGAGCTATATCCTGGGCAATTTGCTTATAGCAATCTGGGTAGTCTAATACGAAATGCTTCTTGTCCACAAGTCTTTACAGACAACTCGGGGGTATTTGTCATCCTTTAGAAATAAAGAAGGAATCTTAACATATTGAGAAATTACTGCCAGGATAAGTACGCTACCTTAGACGTAATAAAACGAAAGACACCTGTAAAAAACTGACAAAGCGTTATCCACAAGTGTTTGGGTTTGTGGAGAAAATTGGATAGAAAGAATGGAAAGAGTGGAGGAGAATAATAAGAGACTATTCGTTGTTTAATCTACCCACGGATATAATAACGTTTACACTATGAGTAAACAAAAAATTAACATGCTAGAGTGCTATGCAAATGATGCTCTTCTGCAAATCTCGAGTAGCAAGACTAAGATCATGACGATAGGAAGAGAACGCCGTAGATGCAAAATAATAATTAACAAGATCATCAAAAGTATCGGAATTTAATTACCTAGGGATGTAATGACGAATAGGTAACACAAATCTAGTGCAACGAGTGTGTACAGCTTAGTCTATGCGAAATCTGGAAACGATTGCACAAAAGAATCACAAAATAAAACTTATGTCGATACAAAGATATATGAAAGCGGTCATGGTATAATAACTTATTAACTAGATATAAGGCTAAGTACAGAATAATAAGTACGGATACGCTCTGTGCTGTTTAACACTTCCATCGATCTGGAGGGGCGGAACTGAGCAGATAGGTACTGATTAAAAACAAAAACAGAAAATAGAAAGCTCTACGTGTTTTTTAAGAGACGTCTGTGACATTACCGAAATCAAACTGAACTTGTGACCGAAACGGTAGCTGATCTCGAATACTGGAAGATTGGTATACTTATTTTCTTTGTTATGTAAGCGAAAAAATTGAGATGAATGCCACAACTATCTCATGGACAAATATAAATGTGGACAAGTTGGAACACTAAAGCATATCCTGCTTGAATGTGAACTCAAAAAGTACTCAAAAAGACCAAATAAGAAACAAGTCAATGTATAACATTATAAGAAATAGGGAACTACTTAAGGTACTGATTAACATAGCTTCTATAGTACAGAAACTGCCTAAGTAGAAGCAACAATCCTAGTCATTGTTAAAGCTTATTATTAAAGCAAGATAAAACTGCTGAACAAAGGGAACGTATTCTATAAAATATGGAGGCTCAAAAACGTCTTTGATGCGTTGTATGCTACAAATAATCATCAAAGTGGTTGACAACGCGTAAAATTGAAGACTCCTCTATTTAGACATCATCACTACATTTTTAGTATTGACTGTGTATTTTGGTGTAGCACAATAGAGAAGCAAATTTTCCTTGTAACAACCAAAAGAATTCATGATGCTTAAGAATCAAAATCTGCATACTGGTATTCTCCTTGCAGCTATGTACTACAGATTACTCTTACTTTAAAACAGTCTAATTCAATAAGTCTTTTGATATTGCACTGCAGAGAGCATCATGTTAAGAAGTAACATTTTGCCACAATACATTATATTTAAGAAACCAGTTATTAAAATCCCTTTGCATTTCAATTAATCTTTGTAAATGTATAATTTAGCGACATATAACATTCACTTAAAATTATTTCCAATAAATTTGAACTTACCACTTTTAACATTTTCATTAAACAAAACACTTTTGATATCATTTTTGTCATCATCAGTGGTGGTGAACTCAAACGTTTTATTTGTTGCATTAACATTATCAGATTCGCCTAGGTTATCTTTAGAATCATCACTTTTAATTGCTTTATCAGAATCACTTTCAACATTTTTCGAATCACCTTCATAACCTTTCATTAATTTAGCGCGCATTTCATCACTACCATCCAAAATGATAACACCACCAACGTTATTCTCTTCAATATCCATCGCACACTCATCATTTTGATCACCATCTATATCTTTATCGATTTGATTTTCAATATTTTCTTGATTTTGATCTAAATCGCCGTTAATTTGATTAATTTCGCTGGTTTTTTCTAGTTCATTATCGACGTCTTTTGATTCTTGATTTGAATTTTCATCGATTGTTTCGGTATTTTTTGAAACATCTTCAGGTTTTTCTACTTTTTTATTTTTTTCTTTATTAGTTCTAATATTTTCTTTATTATTTCTAGTTCTTTCTTTTTTATTTCTAAGATTTTTTTTATTTCTAATCATTTCTTTATTACTTGTATTACTTTCTTCATTATTTGAATTAATATCATCAATATTTGAACTAATTTCTTCATTATTTGAACTAATCTCTTCGCTATTTGAATTCATTTCTTCGCTATTTGAATTCATTTCTTCATTATTTGAATTCATTTCTTCATTATTTGAATTCATTTCTTCATTATTTGAATTAATTTCTTCATTATTTGAATTCATTTCTTCATTATTTGTATTCATTTCTTCATTGTTTGAATTCGTTTCTTCATTATTTGAATTAATCTCTTCATTATTTGAATTAGTTTCATCGGTTATTTCTTCATCATCTTTCCTAATATTATCATCATCTTTTCCATTTTCTTCTTTTTCACTCGAGCTGCTTGCATCATCCTTTTCTTGTTCATCAACAAACGACGTTTCCATTACTTGAAGTAAATCTCCATCTTCTTGATTTTCATCATCTACTTTTTTATTTTCACTACTATTATTAGTTGTAGTTTCTGCATCATTTTTTGACTTATCATCATCAATATTATTTTCAGTCTTATCCTCTTCATTTTCATTTAATTGGCAGTTAATGGTATTATCATCAATAGTTTTTTCATTTTCTAATCCTAATTTTATAGATTTAGTGGATTTAGTGTTGTGATGATCATCATCACCAGCACCAGTCTTTTTAGTTTTTATCTTTTCTTGATTATTGATGTTATTTAGGTCGGTTCCATTTTTAACATCACGAGATTCCTTTTCTTCAACTTCATCCGTTGATGCACGATCGATTAATTTGTTTCCGATCATTTCTTCGTCATCATCCGCGATGTATTTATTGAGGATGTCTTCTTCCGAAACTTCTTGAAGCGTGTCTTCTATTAATTAAAAAAAATGGAATAAATAAAATTCAAATTTTGATTGTATTTATTAATCTTACTTGAATCGTCAGAAACATGAAGATCTAAAATGATGCTTTCAGAATCATCGTCTGAAACATTCGATTCTGTGTTAGATCCGTTCGTTACGGGTGGCGGTGAAATTACCACCACATTCTCCATGTGGATCTCTTCTTCCTGTTAACAAAGAGAAATATTTGTAAAATACGTATTTCGCATTGAAAAGGTGGTGGTAATCCGGTTACGAACAAGAGTCGACTGATAACAATCCGGTTTACGCCGGTTAACATAGACAAAATGGCCGAGTTGCGACTGCGCATAAAGATCTATGATATGATCTAATATCACCATTATATATATATTCTTTTTTGATATCGTAATATTCTGCGCATTAACTACGCTACATTAAGTTCTTTTATAGAAAGTACTTAAAATATTTAATAAATGTGCGATGTAATACAACCTTTTTGAACAAAATCAAATTTATATTTTTTGTATCGTGATATGTTTGCAAAACTTTTGGCCCTTTGCTAAAAAATCAATATTTGCTACCTCTTGCCAGTAAATTTAATGGAAAAGGCACACTCAATATTAAACACTTAATCCCTGCTAAGTGGTTTGTAATTACGAGAGAAAATTAATTACAAACAGAAATATTAAAGATTTCTGCTTACATTTAAGGTAAAATTGGAAGCGAGTACACTAATGATGTTTAAACAGTTTTAAGGTTCATTAATGAGCCAATATTTATGCACCACTTCTTAAATAATCACAAAAAGGGTTTCAGAGATTGCTTTCTATGCCGCTGGCACCTACCAGGTAAATTCAATTTTACCCGTTTTTGTTCATTTTCGAGAAGAAACTGAACTCTATTGCTTTTTTCAAGTTATCTTTAAAAATCTAGGCTATATTTTTTAATTTTTGATTCTGAAGCTTAGTTTTTCCAAAGAAAAAATAATAAAGTTTGTAACTACAGAGCGCGAACTCCAAACTACATCACTCAGATTTGAGCGTACGATTGGAGCGTATAAAAATCAATAAAATTCCTGGAGAGAGAGAGACAATGCTACGAATTTTATGCGTTAGAAGAAAACGGGAGAGAACGTAATTCATAGCTTGTACCACCTTATACTCAAGGTCGAACGGAACCGTTTTAGTTCGTTTCGGGGACTGTATAACGTCCAGTGAGAGATTCTTATGTGGTACGACTGCTGGGTTTAACCGTAAATTAGTACTTAAGTCGCCTTGCTCCTTAAATGTTTTGAAAAACATCCAATTTTCAGCGTCATTTTCAAACTAAAATGAAAATGATTAAATAAGATAACTAATTTAAAAGTATATAATTTATTATTTAAACTTACATCAAAGTGTTGTTCACAGCAAATAAAACGTGTTGTGATGTTGGGATTTTTATCTAAACCTACTGCCTTAAACCATCGTTTTCGACGTTCTACATTTAGTGGAACTGTTACAAAATATAGTTCTGGATTTTTATTTTTATCGTTGTCACAAGTTGGCACAAAGCAAATATTTTTAAAACTCATCTTAACTTTACTAATTCTTTACACTTAAACAGTCGACGATGTTATACGTTTGACGTTTGGAGTGCGTTTGGAGAGGTCACATGTAGCTAACTACAAAACATAGAACGTATGTGATTTCTTTCTTCTTACTTGCAACGTCATCTGGAGTTGGGGGTGGGGAATTTTAAACTTTTACATTAATCATTGCAAAAATTAAACTATTTTCGAACTTGAAAACGTTCTAATTTAATTTAGATTATCGATTTTTTTAAAGACGGTCAAAAAGTCAATCAAGGACAATCATTGAGAATTTATTTAATAACCTCACTTCATACTTAATTTCAACATTAGCTCATCCAAACCAACTCCTTTCTAAAGAAACTTTCATTACGCCTTTTCTTTCTAATATGTAATTATGAAAGGATCATGTCATTTTGTTAAGCCCAGGCCGAGATGCTACAATAAAACTAACACCAATACTAAATTACGCAACAAATATGCCTCGGCCACAAGCGACCTCAGCTTACTTTGGTGACATTGAGTATTTCAGGTGATTTTGCCCAAATCGCTTATTAATGATTCTAATTTTAAGCAGAGGCCACCTGGTCAAGGCGCCATGACATAACTTACACCAACACAAAGTTATGCAGCATACGTACCTCGGCTTAATGCGGTAACGTTGTGCCTCAGCGGCAAGCGATCTCGGCTAAGTTAATGACAAAGAATAAATCATGTGGCTTTGTACAACAGAATTTACACCAATACAAAGTTATGTAGCACACGTGCCTTGGTTTAATTTGATGACATTGTGTATTTTAGGTGATTCAGCCCAGGTTGTTTATTAATGGTTCTAATCATTCTGTTAAGCAGAGGCCACTTATGGTCGAGGCGCCATAACAAAACTCACATCAATACAAAGTTACGCAGTACAGGTGCCTCGGACACAAGGAATCTCGGCTAAGTTAATAACAAAGAATTCAGAAAATTATGTGACTGTGTTAAGCCAAGCCCGCTTGCGGCCAAGGCGCCACAATAGAATTCACACCAATACAAAGTTATGCAGCACATGTGCCTCGGCCGCAAGCTAATTCGGCTATGTTAATTACAAAGAATAGATTATGAGGCTTTATTAAGCCGAGGCCACTTACGGCTGAGACATCACAATATAAGTCATACCAATACAAAGTTACGCAGCACGCGTGCCTCGGCCGCAAGCGACCTCGGCTTAATTTGATGACATTGTGTATTTCAGATGATGTAGCCCAGGTCGCTTGTTTATGACAAAGAATGGATTATAGCATGGTGGTAAGCCGAGGTTGCTTGCGGTTGATGCGTCATAACAGAACTTATATCAATACAAAGTTACGCAGCACAAATGCCTCGGCCGCAAGCGACATCGGCTAAGTTAATGATAAGGAATAGATTATAAAGCTTTATTAAGTTGAGGCCGCTTACGACTGAGGCACCACAATATAAGTCATACCAATACAAAGTTAAGCAGCACACGTGCCTCGGTCGTAAGCGACCTCGGCTTAATTTGATGACATTGTGTATTTCAGATGATGTAGCCCAGGTCGCTTGTTTATAACAAAGAATGGATTATAGCATGGTGGTAAGCTGAGGTTGCTTGCGGCTGAGGCGCCATAACAGAACTTATATCAATACAAAGTTACGCAACACATGTGCCTCGGCCGCAAGCGACCTCGGCTAAGTTAATAACAAAGAATAAATTATGAAGCTTTATTAAGCTGAGGCCGCTTACGGCTGAGACACCACAATATAAGTCATACCGATACAAAGTTACGCAGCACGCGTGCCTCGGTCGCAAGCGACCTCGGCTAAGTTAATGATAAAGAATAGATTATAAAACTTTATTAAGCCGAGGCCGCTTACGGCTGAGACATTACAATATAAGTCATACCAATACAAAGTTACGCAGCACGCGTGCCTCGGCCGCAAGCGACCTCGGCTTAATTTGATGACATTGTGTATTTCAGATGATGTAGCCCAGGTCGCTTGTTTATGACAAAGAATGGATTATAGCATGGTGGTAAGCCGAGGTTGTTTGCGGTTGATGCGCTATAACAGAACTTATATCAATACAAAGTTACGCGGCATACATGCCTCGGTCGCAAGCAACCTCGGCTAAGTTAATGACAAAGAATAGATTATGTAGCTTTCCTAAGCCGAGGTCGAGATACCACAACAGAAGTTACACCAATACAAAGTTAGGCAGGAAATGTGCCTCGGCAGCTAGTGTTAATACCAACGAATGGATTAAGTCTTGCGTTGATGTGGCATTAAATGTAGCACCTCGGTCGCAAAAAGTAGATCATATCTTATCTCATGTCTTTCTTGAAAGAACCTCAACACGACTTCGTCAATTCATTATTTTCATCAACGCCAAAAATTACGCCGGATTTTCACACTGCAATTTCATTATCTACTTTATTGTATAAATGTTTCTCTGTTTCTTCATACCCAATGGTACCACATCAATTTATCTTTACTCGTTCTTCTTCATAGGAAGTCAAAATAGTCCTGATAAGTTCATCGTCCTAAAATCTTGGCCGCACGGATTACCAGATAATAAAAAAGTCTTTGCAACTTCATTCCATAACTTACACTTTAACTCACGATTATAACCGGTTTTCAATTTTATGTTGTACAACGTTTACAATAATGTATTTTTCGATGAGATAAAAACGAAAATATCACTTTTAGTTAGCATTGCTTCTTTAAAGAGAAATGGGCAGGTAAAAAAGGTTATTCCGCAAAAACAAACTTACCCGATGACCAGGTAAGTTGCATTGTGAAATAAATAAATTCGATCAACTCAGTCTATTTTTCAATGAGAATGAAAATGTAAAATAATTTTTAATTACATAATCATTTTAATAATTTGTATCGCATACCTAACTTAGAAATTTAAATGTCATTGAGAGAAATGTCAATAAGGTTATGGATGTAAAATAGGTTATGTCACAAATCGATTTTACCGATTGTATCACATACCAGGAATTTCATATAACTAGCAATATATGAATGCAGTAATCATAGTTACGAAAGTACTATACATTTGTACTGTCACATATAAAATCCAACATAGCTTAATAGTACAGGCATTGGGTAGTTTTGCAAAGGAAAAGTTTTGCTTGGAAAAGATGACGTCCTCATGATAACTCTGAGTTTGCGTCTTAAGAGACGCATAGCTAAACCCGAATGGTTCTGGTTGTAGGTCTAGTGTTAGTTCTACTTTTCGTTCAATAAATATATACCGCAATCTAACGCTGAATAAGAATTAAACCTGGAGCTAACATTAGACCTAGATCTAGAAACATACAGGTTCAGCTGCACGTCTCTCAAGACGGCTAAACCCGAATGATTCTAGTTCTAGGTCTTGTGTTAGTTCTAGTGATAGTGAAAAACTAGAACCAACACTAGACCTAGAACTAGAAACATTCGGATTTAGCCGCACGTCTCTCAAGACGGCTAAACCCGAATGATTCTAGTTATAAGTATTGTGTTAGATAGTGCTAATGTAAAACTGGAACTAACACTAGAACTAGAAACAATCGGATTTAGCCGCACGTCTCTCAAGACGGCTAAACCCGAATGATTCTAGTTCTAGGTCTTGTGTTAATTGTGATGACA